GTGGCAGAATCGGACGTATACTGGCCACAATTTTTTCCTCCAAAGTCTTTAGAGGTATGGAGGTGTGTAAATGAATCGATAAATTCTTTAAAAATGCATTGAATATCTAACTGCTTTCTTAGTAGGTAGTAGTAAGCAAGGCTAACTTAGCGTCCATGTGCAATTTAAAGTCACACCATTCATAAAAAAACAAAATTTCAGCTGTTTCATTCAGAGACAGATTTGATTAAGTTTTGAAAACAACTGTTACACGGTGCTGTATTAATTGCAGCACACAGGTCGCGGATTAGCTTACACAGCACCGTTTCTTTTATTCGAGCATGGTCAACTCTGTGGAGAGACTCGGATTAACCCGTCGGAGCCCAGTCGCGTTGTCTACCAACCCACAGAGATTTAGCATAAACGCAGGGGTAACTAAGAATTGTCGGAAAATCGGCCAAAGGGTTTTGACGTAGAACAAAGTTTCCGCCAACGCTGGGTCCTCCATTTGTTGAACAATGGTTTAACCTACAGCCTTTATTCCAATCATTTCATAAGTTCGAAACACGCCGTGTTGTAACATGCAAAGGGGCCGCCAATAGATGAACATCATGAGAGTTAGCAAATGGTCCCACAAACCACAACGTTTACCTGTTTCGGCTTACACGCAGTTAACCGGACCTGTTTACCTATGTGGCTTCCGTGAACTGCTCGAACCGCCTACTTATCATAACGGACTTCATTTAATTGGTATGGTTCCATTATGATGTACTTTGTAGTAAGATGATACGATGATATTGATTTTAACTTAGGTGTATTCTGTGGTAACCACTTTGTATCATGACTTTATTCAGAAGTATGATACTGACCCTTCATAATCTGTTTAAGAGATTCTCTGACTACACATAATGACAGAAAAGTGCAAAACGAAAGCAAACACGTTGATCTAACTCCTTGACTATAAGTGTAGCCCTCAAAATTGCAAAACCAATTTCTGAAACGAAATTTGCACTTCAAATTGCTTGAAGAGGACAGCATCTTAAGCCAGCAAACATCCATCTCAATTTTATTTGTTTCCTCCTGTCATATTAATATATACTTTTTGCTTCTTGACTCAATGGCACGGCATGCTAGACCAACATACACATATTTGTACCTCACTTTCAGAAGAGAAGAAACTCGACAAGATTGATAGTTAACTTACTTATCAGTGAGAGAATTCTTAATACAATCTACATAACTGATGCTTTGGCATGTCACATTATATTTCGAGGCTTAAATTCAGTCCATCTTCTCAGCAAATGCCGGGAAGGAACTAAAAAATCTCGCAACATGACTTCAGTTACTGGTCTAAGCATCTCAATGACACAACCACGAAATTTCCAAACAGTGCATCAGCCGATTGTGCAAAAGTTGATAGAAAAGTAAAAGGCGGAGAATTTGACGTTGGATTAAATGATTTCACCAGCAAGGGAAAGTGATTCAATTGTGTTTTTGTTCTAATTTTTGATATCTTGCTCCCTGCTTCAATATAAAGCAAGTGCAACGTAGCAGATTTTTAATTCTGATCGAAGGTTGAGAAGCCCACCCCTAATTTGATACTGCTAACTAGCATTCGAACGCTTACCCCTGATCGTTGTTTTCAGATATCCGTTGGCAACAAATTATGGTTGCATGCTAATCTTAATTGTTTGGTGTCATTTATAGGACATTAGCTCCTCGTTTTATATTTTTGCTAGGCAAAGTGAGTGCCCGTGAAAAAAAGAAATGATATCCAAGGCATGCAATCCTGGCCATCCATAAAATAGTAGAAATAGCAAATGGTTTTTTTTTTTTATTTATTTTTTTTTTTATGCTAACAGATCTGCCCTGACCAGCAATTCTTACTAGCCTGAAAGCAATTTCGTTGCTATGTTTTACCTGCAAACGAAGGTTTGCAAGGGACCGAATAGTGGGTGAGATAAAGTTTGCTGGGCTAAAAACATACCAAATAACAACATCTTTCGCGACAATAAGACATACATTTCATACTGAACTACAGCAAAATGAGGACTCATTTTGATCAAATAGTCGTTTATTTGCCTATGCGTTACTGAACCAGTTCACTAGCGGCATATGGCCGTCACAAAGCAAACTAATGACGTGAGAAGCGGCCATTTTGAGATCGAAAACAAAGCAAACACCACTATAGGCAAAATACGACCAAGGAAGAAGCACAATTCAGGGGTTTGCGTTACAAAACGTTCAAAGAGACCGCTTGTTTTGGCGGCGAACTTTTGAGTCTAGACGGTCGTACAAAGCAATGTTATTGTACGAGGTGCTAAAGAGTTCGTTTCCGGATCGCATTTGCCGCATGCAACTTGAAATCTCCTTTAAAAGCAATGTCATGCCACTTAATTAGCGAGATTTACAAATGATAAATGGTTCGAACGTCCCATCCCTGTGTATCCTTCTCTATATCAATTACTTTGGTTTTGTTGTTTCAGCAGACATACTTTTGCGTAATGTCGCATTTTTTTTTCAAAAACTGGCGGCCTTAGTCATCACGATATATACGTATATTTCTATATATATATATATATAAGTTGCACTTGAAATACAAAACGAAATCAATCATCCATCTATCACCAGTTTAAAGTGAGTTAAGGTCCGTAGTTGAATTGTGTTTATCTTAAGTTGATACGACTAACAGTTAATCAGATTACTCTCGAGAAAAGTGGCTCAACTTTTGTCTTCTTGGCTTGTTTTTCTTTCAGTTATGAGGGTTCTAAAACAAAAACAGAGCTGACAGAAGAAGGCAAATTCTGAAGGGCTCCTGACTGGACCATGCTTGAGCGGGTGAGTGATTAAATTGATGCAACGGTTTTTATTCATCGGAATGATAACGCACTTTACCGGGTGATTACTGCACTGATTTAAAGCGACAGCACCACTTTAAACTTAATCTGAACCAAGATCATTTCTCGCAAACCCTGGTTATGGTGATATCAGCTTGAAAAGACTGAAGATTCAATTCTACTTTTCCTCTGCAAATGAATGATTTCATCCGGCCGCACTGCACCTACCATTTCACGGCTCTACTAATTCCGAACAATCAAAAATCGCATGAAAGTACAGTCGTAAAAAAAGTAACGCAAAGTAATACCTAAATTGCGAAAAAAGAATCATTTCAGATCTCAAATACGCACATAGGAAGTCGTAGGCAAGCTGTAGTCTTCGATAGATTATCGTGTAGTTGCACGCAATTTGACCACTGACTTGATGATTGCGTTGAACTTTAAGTGTTCCTATGACAAAGAGGGCGGCTAAGCCAAGCGAAACCTCACGGAAAGGGAAATTAGTTTTACCAATGCACGACTTTCCTCTATAGAAATCACTTCTTAAAAAAGGCAAATACGTCATACTTGCGATTGTACTCAACTCAGAGTTGATTGTGCTGTGCCAAAAATATCAGCCGGTGTCCTACCTACCAGGTCTCAGAACATAAAATGGGCCTAGAGTAGACTGACTTCGACCATTGACTAGATTTAGCTTGAGATTCCAAGAATAGTTTGGGTATTAACCGCAGTCTTTCCTATCAACAAAACATACACGAAACTAAGCTACAGCCAAAATTAAAAGCATAGCTGGCGCTTAGCCGTCATTAACTCGAAGCAGTCTTATGTACACGAGGTCATTTGAGACATTCAATAATTTGTAAGGTGCTCGCCTTAAACGATGCGAAAAACTTAGTGATCTTCTTAATAATTGAAGTTTCAACTGAGTCGAACGATTTTCACTAATTATGATAAACTGGAATAGAACAACGCTGGTCATTTTATCAAGATTTCCAATAGTTTCGCCCTTGTTCAGACTTTGATCTTTTTAGCAAACACGCTATTTTCACGCCGCTTCCTTAGACCTCTGGTTACTTTTGGTCCAACTTTACCGCGCTGTTGTTGTCATAGAGACAACATGGTATTTTTAGCAGTCTCTCGAGAGCAATTAGCTTCGTCAGAACACAGGCACTTAGTAATTTATGCATAGCTTATGATCTAGGACTTCTTACGTTTGAATCAACAAATAGTACACTAGAAATGCCGCGGAAATGTGCAAAAACCAGAAAATCATTACTTTGGTAAAAAGTTGACAGATTCGGGATAAGGTAATTATAAATTTCGGTGGATAAACGTTGTATATGTAAATATATAAGGACCTACATTCGTCCTTCCGCTGCTTTCCCAAACTTAAGATAAGTTACCGTCAATAAACTTCAAAACAATGAGATTACTGCGGCCCGGAAGTTAGAGATAAGTTGCATTTGGACTCTTTTCTCAGGGCCGACTTCGAAAAATATTTTCTGTGTACAAAAAGAGTATGGCTTCCGAAGGAGATGATGGGATAATTTTTGAGGCTTTTCGTCTGACCGAAGCACAAACATTTGAAATACTATAATCAATAGCGGTAATTCACTCATTTTGTTTCTCTAAGTGTAAGGCTTGATTTTACTCTAGACTAGCGAAGCTCATCGTTCTGTAAATAGCTTAAGGTTAACAATTAACGCGAGCTGAAATGTGGCAAAATTCTTCAATATGTGACTTGTACCCATGTGCAAAGAACACCTCCTCAAGCCGCGGAAGTCGCTGAATACACTTTTATGATGTTTTCTCAGTGACTTAGGGCGCTTTTGTTCGTTTGCCGAAAAAGAGCAGTTAAGACGAGCAAAGAATTCCAATTATTTGAAACGGCCCGTTCCTTTCTTTTACCAAAAGGCGCGGTAAAAAGTTATCCGAAACAAATGCCACTCATCTGATCACCAAGCACTTAGCTTTACGAGTGTTTGCTATTTCCACGTTTGTATCAACTTTGGCCACAAATAACGCAGTATTAGGCAGCTGAACGGATCAGTCACAAGGGCCCACATGTCAACTGCGACCTCGGTATTTTTAATACATTATTTTTCACCGCAAACCGGAGCAATTATTCCTTAACAATATCGCGGTAGTCTGGGATTCGGTAAAACGAGTACGCAGCTATTGAATCTCTCCTGTGACGGATCGAATATAATAAAAGCATTCTCGTAAAAAGACCAAAGCGTAGATATGTCGTAAAACAATAATGACATCTACGCGTAAATTGCGGTCACATTTTCCAATGCGAGTAAATGCAAAAGGAATACTACGCGATGGAGACGGTTACGAGAATGGTAAGAAGTTTTTTAGTAAGAGACGTAAAAAGTACAGAACGTGAGGCCACTTTGACCGTCCATTGATTTATAGCATCATTCCCCAAATAACGACCTCTGTCTTTCACTATTCCTTTAATTTAATCTGTACTTTTTAGGGTCTTGGGAGCGCTATCACCACTTTTCGCGCGAGGGTGGTAACTCTGTGATTTTTATCAGTTTGCTTAAATTATTAACAAGTCGTAATAATCTCTTGTCTATTTTCTGTAATATCTAGGTAACGTTTGCACCCATCATTTGTCTGCTTATTTGTTCATCAGTGGCCTTGCCGTCAAAGCAAGCTGCAAACGCTAGCGACGAAAATTTTCAGCAGACGCAAGCAGCAACAAGCCAACGAGAGGAACTAGTACCAAAAACCACAAGATTGCACAAAATGGGCATTCTCAAGGTACCAACAAACACAAGATTGGTTCGACTTTTCAACAAAAATGGATATTTTCTGAAAATCTCTAACACAGGGAGACTTCGAGGAACAAGGAGCATCGACAATCCAAACAGTAGGTACACATTATTCAGGCAAATCGTGCAAAGCGAGACATGCTCCTTTGTGTGATTATTTGTTCGATTACTCGCAATGTTTTGGTTCTGCGATTTCCATGCTAATTAGCTCGACGCACGATCAAAAAATTTGCCTTTGACCACAGTTCGATTTCTGAAGCCTAGAACACTGGGAAGCAAACAAAACCCCCGCATCGCCAGACGAGTCTAAGTGCCAGTTAGTTAAGGTGTGTTCAGAGTAAACTTTGCTTTCATTGTGCGGTTAACAAGTTATCGAGTTGTGCCTTCTTTCTACCTTGCTTGGCTCGCGCCAACGAAGTCTGGCGTCATCAAATTTCTAAACACTCACTACAATATAAAGACCACATATCACAGCAGAGGAGGAAAAAATTCGTAGACGACCCCCAAAATGTTGATAAGTCATTTTCTACCGGAAAGTAAAACTACTTTCCTTGTCAAGAACAAATAATAAAGAATCGTGTGAGTACTCATTTCCTTAGAGATTAATCCACTTAACATGACAATAGACGAAGCTTCGGGAAAAGACACTGAAACTTTATAAAAACCAATTTCAAGAACGTATTGCGTTGATAACCATCGAAGTCTTCATGCTATCGTTTAAGATGTTATATCATACAGAGACTAAGATTTAAAGGATAAATGATATAGGGGTGTATAACCGAGCGAAACAAGGCGGCGGCAAATCTAGAGGAAAAACTTATAATCTTGTTAGCAAGCACATAGCAACACCATAAATCACGGCTTGAATACGCAGCCTCGGCGAATACGATCATGGAGTCCGAGTTACTCGACTGTCAAATTGAAAAGTCGTCTAAGGGGGTTAAACGCACATCTTATAGGCTTTGAAATGGAGAAAAATAACATTTATCGTTTCGTTTATTTAAAGAGAAACAAATTAAACCGCAGTTAACGTAAAACACATTCGTTAATTAAACCACTACCTAAACTGTGAGTAATTTGCACTAATTGTCTGTGAAATTGATGTCTGACGCTTACAATCGAAGCAGAAATAGCATATCTGAAAAGCAGTGACCGAAACGGTTGGAAAAAAGCTACAATGGTGCCAGAAGAGTTGAATATTTCGCTTCCGCGAATAATCAAACGCAAAGTCAGCCCTTTTATTGCATCAGCAGCGTCATCAAACAAACACAGCAGTTTTATTTGTTAACTCATTTCCGGAGGTCGTGGGATTTGTGGGCGTTCTCTTAACAAACGAGAAAGTTTACCTCCCGCGATAGGGGGAAAGTAAAACACCAACATCGCAACGTTAGTGGTTTAGCGAAAAAAACAAACAAACAAAAAAAACAAATGGCGCGCCTGAAATATGCCTGAGAGAGAGGAAGTGCGCATTGAAATACACAATCAAAGCATTCGATATTTTTAATAAACGAACTCTCGAAATGGGTTTTTCTCCGGAAAAGCGTCAATTCACGCTATGGTTTAGCCTATGAAGTAGTTGCGGATGGGATTTTGAAAAGCGCAATCAAAAGAAACCACAGTTTTACTTTATCGCACATCTTTAGGGCAGGTCCTTGGTCAAGAGGGCGACTCGTGATAGTTTCGTCGCGCCAAACGTCCACAGCCCGGCGATTTAGTTAGAGAGAGATCAAAAATAATACCAATCCGATACACACAGTTCAACTGCAAGAACTGAAGTGTTTCTTTTTATCCGTTAAGCTTTGTTCCTATGACAGAAAATCAAACAATTATAGTAATTTTTTTTTTAACTGTAGAGCCATTTGGCTTGTAAATCACACCCTGATCTTTACTTTACCGATATCAACCATTAGTTGAAAACGAGGTTTGAATTAACAATATGCTATCAGGGGTTGTATTTTCAAATATAACACCGTTGTGGCATGTTAGCTTTCCATAATTGCGTGGTAGTCACACAAGGCCTCGTATCAAAATTACTGATATACGTCGTGACAATTACAATTTCGTTTACCCACCTCATAGCTTGTTGGCTCAAATGAGCTTAGCTATTTTTAGAGCGGTGATCAATTCCGAGCAGTCAGCGACAGCAGGGGTACAAAATTGTTGACATTCGAATTCCGGAGTAATATCTGAGCTAATTGATTCAAGAGCAAAAAAACTACGGCAAACACGATAAAAACTGAGGGAAGACCACAAAAAAAACAAACATGATCAGCTCTATTCAAAGATAAGTCACATTCCCACACAATTGGATGTTTCACATCAAACAAAGATCTCAAACAAAACTACGTTTTATAGTGAGAATCATTGATGCTTTGCATAAAGAGTCATAAAATATATTCTTCACCGTTGTTTAGACCCTTTCCAAATTATAGAAAATTTAATATATGGTTCAATATCAACAGATGGATTAATATACTCCAGAAAATCACTTTGGCAGCGAATATCGTCTTCATAATTGGAATACGCAGCGAATTTGTCTACTCGAGGCGCTTATGTACGTGTTTTGTTATCCTTGGTACTTGCACGACCTTACAATTTGTTATGCAAGCGCAGTCATCGTTTGAATTTAGGCAAAACAAGAAATGGAGAATTAGAAGAAAAAAAGATGCTCTTTGTAAGAAGCAAGTCGTCGATAACTGTTGATGATATTCCAGACAATAAGTTTGTTAACAAAGTCACTTAATATTCTTATACAAAGTTTTTTTAAAGAACTTTTTTTAGTTTTTGCTGTTCCTAGTATTTCGCATCATCAATTTTCAAGAAAATCCGTAGCTAGTCTGAAACCGAAATCAATGCCTCACCGTACATCGATTTTCCTTTTATATGTTACCATGCGACTTCCTCATGTAAAAGGAAGGTATATTTTATACCCTACCGTTGAAAAAACGACATCAGGCGGAGGGGGGTTTGTACTTCTTGATTGGTGTAATAAGCCAATTTGTGTAAATTCTCTTCACAAGAGATTTAAATAGAGAGCCTTGAAGTCATTTCCTTTATTTCTCTGTCAGGTTACCAAATTCAAACGCCGTAAAGAGTAACACTTGATTTTTAGATTTAACAGAACTGATACTCTAGGAGCTATGAACACTTTGTTTCTACTCTACAGAAGAAAATTATAGTGGGGGTCTTCGAAATATTTACCATTACTTTTGCCTCAGGCTTCCAAATTCGCATTTTCGCGATAAGTGGTTTCTATCTTAAGCTTTTCACTCAAGAGAGGAAATAATAATAGTTTTCACTGGGAGGTATGCACAGAACAACCTCTCAAACACAGCTTTCCAAATAGGTATTCAGTCGCTTAAATTATCGCAAAATCAATTAACATGTCTCTAGCTTTCCACTTTCGCAATGTTTCAATTAAATTAAGAGGGCGGTGAATTTACTGACCCCTGGTTGTCAACACATAACAGAACATTTGGCCGCATGAATGCATTTTTAGAAGGGCAGTTAAAACGTCTCAAAAGATTCATGTATTCAGTAAGATACACGAGGCTAACCAACACGGTTTTACCTTTTGAACGTTTTAACTCTGGGTGGTAACTTTAGGTAAAGGCAACGTTAGGTAACTACTAAAACCTTCCAAAGGTCCTACCTTTAAAATAGCGAGGTATAGAAAATGTTAGAGTTTAGGCTCTTGAACTAAGCCTCCCTGATCTTTTGTAAAACGGTGTGTTTCGATGGCCAATATTGATTCTTTGTTTCGAGAGAAGGAGGTACTTTGCTTAAAAACCAAAGAAACGTCTTAAACACGCTATCTTCCATTTATGTAGCGGATGACAGTTTCACGGTTTCGAGAGCAGAAAGAAAAGGATACAAGAGAGCGTGTCCTACAATGACATTTTTGGAATAAACTTGGCTGGAAACTGCACTTTTTTGTCATTAGAGACAGAACGAAATGGGATCAATAAAAAAATAGAAGTGTTCACTTTGATTCCCACAAGGGGCGTTCAAGCATTTATAACTTATTAATTGTATTTGTAAACCATTTGGTAAGAGGAGGCACAATACCAAATGCGTCATCTCTTCTTTGTGCTACTTGAAATGGCCACTTCCGCTTAGCTTCGGTAGGGGGTTGGTTGTATGTGAAAATCAGAAGTAGTAGCCGCCCCTTTGAACGCGATCGGTCACGAAAGTGTCTTTTGAAAGATACAAACAAGGTTTAACAACCTCGTTAGAATCACTCCAACGGCGAGGGATTCCATTGAGGCTCCACGCGACCAATTGGTCGTGACTTTGGAATGTCGAGGAGTGCTTAAAGCCGATGCAAACGATAAGTCATCAGTCATAGCTTAAAGTGTGCCTTGCATAGCCCTTTTTATGTCAGACAGACAACGCGACATTGACCCTCATTACCATTTATTTTAAGTTACACCTGTGCTTAGGATTCCATTTAGGGGGTCTTCTCATGATCGAAAATAGAGCCCAATATTAGGGCTTTCAGCTCTGCCTCAGCGAGCTATTAACTTTCTAGCTTCGACCAACAGGGTTTGTTTTTGGTAAAGGAGCGCTATGTCATTGTCGCGTGGGCGTTCTGTAACACCCTTCAAATAGTCGCTCAGGTAAAGTTGAGGGGATCAAATGCAAAGCCATATTTAATCCTTTATATTGCATCAAATTTTAGAGAGTTATTCGGAATCCTTTAGTAAATAGTTACCTTATTTGGATTTCTCGATAGCAGTTCTTTAAATTTAGAAAGTACTCGATTGAGTTATGCAGTGTATGCTCGTCTTTATCTTGTATTTCATTTCCGTTCAATTTCAGCACTAATTGTAATGGAGTCGATGGGTCCAAGTATCGTTCGACTCAAAGGCGTGGCGTCTAAGACATACATCTGTATGAACGATGAGGGGGTTTGTCACATCATGGTAAGTGTAATTAAAGATTTTTAACACTTTCGGTTTTATTGCGTGGGTAAACCTTGGAGACCAGGGACCCGTTTCTCGAAAGTCCCGAAGCCAAATTTTAAAATCGAAATTCGAAGAATAAAAAGGCAGGTTCTGGCGCCGTAACCAGTCTATTTTTTCTCTTTAGCTTATAGTTTCAAGGCATAATTTTTTTTTAACTTTTGAAACCCCAATCTTGAATGAGAACATACCGGGACGATCAACCGATTGGTTGATCCTTTCTTTTTGGTTATTGGTTTAACTTGTGTTGGTCTGGATTGCGCACCCGATTAACACTAAACAAATATTTCACAAAATGTCTTCTGAGCTGAAAGACCAATTGAATTGACAGACGGTCTAACCGCTTCAATGGCTTAAAGGCTTTCGTTCTGTGCTGATTAATTAACTAAGAGACTCCCTTTGCTAGCTTGCCAATTGAGTGGGATGATTTCTTTAAAAGCTCTTACGCCGCTTTACTGACTAACAAACTGACAGATCGATTGACCGACGGTTTGAGCTACCTGAGAAAACTATGGATTGGCAGGTTTTCACGCCGACTGACTGACTGATCAGAACACCACGGAGTTAATGGCCGCGTGACAGACAGGTGAGCTGGCAGAGAAGATGAACGTAAGACTAGACTAACTGACAGTCTAACACTGTGCATCAATGGTTGGTTAGATATCTAATTAGCTGGATTGTTGACTCGATTTACCCGAGGATAAGGTTTCTGTGTTCACCTTTTCAGGCTCAACCAACAGACGAATGCCTGTTTAAAGAGAAGTTAGGAACGAACTATTTCAACACTTACGCTTCTTACAAGTACAGCGGGAGGAACCCTGGAAACATAACCCAAGAATTCTACATCGCTATCAAGAAAAACGGAAAGCTTAAGCATGGTGCTAACACAGCCATGATACAAAAATCCGTGGACTTTACGGTAGTGCCGCTAAAGTAGGGAAGGAGCCATGGATGATCGTGCTAAAAGCAAAGGCACCGAGAAGCCAGTGACAGCCATGTGTGAAATGACGGCTTGCGGAAATCGTAAACGTGGTTGGCCGAAACCACAGATCTTACAAAAGAAAGCAGACGGAAAACTTTTGAATACTCCTGTTAGCTTGTGAAACAAACAAACAAACAAATACACAGGGAAATTAAAGCCACAGTGCACGACATGGATAGAAGAAACCAGTAAGAAATAACAAGAAAGCCTTGTGGAGTAGGAAATACTAAGAAAAGTTTGAGTGAAGGAGATTAAGTAGGTGTGAACGACTAGCAGCTCCCATGATAATACAACAGCCGAGGGGGACTGACCGTGAGCACATGATGGAAATGAGGAGCGTAAAAACTAATGCGCATGAAAAATGGAAAACTTAAAATCGACTATAAGCCCGTTGAACTTACATCTTGGCAGAGTTGGTTTATGTCACTGACAACTGGCTGGGTAACATTCACAGAGTGTTTTTGAACGAATTCAGCGAATACTCTAACAAATGAAGCTTTGAGTGCTTCGCCCAATGGAGATCAGTTATTTTACTACGGCCAAAGCAAATCGCTTGGCTCGTGACTCCAATAGTGCTCAACCTCAACCATGTTGTATCCATTTTCAGCGAATTTGACTACTGTTAACGGAGAGTTGTAGACGAGGTTAGATAACAGTTAAAAAAATCGAATACAGTAGGTATGATGAAGAGATTCGACAAAAAGTATGTTTTGACCGGAAGACAAAGTACTTCAGGTGTAGGCTGCTACTTAAGTTCTCAACTCTTCTTCCATAGGCACTGCAATTACTCCGGCGGCAAAACATCTATTTAAGAAAAAAAATTCCAGAGGAGGCGATGATGAGCAATATCAATCGCAACATGCAAAAAGTTTCTAATAAGGAAATAAAAAAGGCATAATCTCTTGGTAAAAGGCGAGTCAAAGTTGACGATTCTTTGGAACGGTCAGATATCAAGAGACTAAATATTTATTTTTTCAAAATAGAGAAACAAAAGAAGAGGAAGAGTGAAATTACCACAGAAAAAAAGCGATGTAATGATAATGTAGGATATAGCATTTAAATTTAATTTCATTTGTACAAAGCGATTTCAAACAATTCACATAAATCTTCGAGAAATAAGGATCCAACCCGACAGTGGCTGCTCTGAATAGCCGCGTTTCAAGAAATGTTAAACGTAAGCATTATTATTTCGAAAATCACGCTCTCGAACTATTGTAGCAATTTTTATAATGAATAAAACATATTAAAGACATTTCGGTGGTCTTCAATTATGGCCTCACTTCTTGATTAGGTCCTACTTGAGGGAAGAAATTAAAACGAAGACAAAAAGGGAAATAAAAACGCTCTACAATAACTGTCTAACGATAACCAATTCTTGACGAGCTTGAAGAGGCGTTTTCCAAGGAATTATATCAACTCAACAATTTTCGCATGGTCAAAATGTTTATGACGCTGAGTACAGTTCGAGATTTTCCATTGGCAGTGTGCCAACCCAAACAACTGCAAACGAAAAATTATTGCCCACTGACGTGTAAAACTTCCATAAGGAAGCAAAAAGATAAAACGTGGTCTCATTTTCAATGGCACAGCGATAGTTTATAATCACAAAATGATTATTTCTAGCTATAACCGTTGTTTTCTGACACTATCAGTGATTTAAAGGTGACTAGTATATTCCTATCTACCTTTACAAAAGATGTATTACTTATGAGAATCGTCGGGGTATGACACCTAAAGGCTGATGTACGACTACCACGACATGTTGACCCCGAAAAAAAAAAGAGGAAGGGTAAACACTTAATGCAAATTCAAAACTCTCAAGGCTAAGCTACAAAATTCATCATATCAGTGACGGGAAAGGCAAAAATAGATTTTTTTTTCTGAAGCATCTCGGCGGGCCAGAATCTTAAATCCCTCGATCTGATTGGCTAATCGCGCGTTCTTAAGCAGTCCACACTACTGACCACGTTCCGGGATTTTTTCTGCGCCACTTGCGCACCAGAAGAAAAAAACACTGTAGGTTGGTTCGTATAGGAATAGTCTCAGCCCCTAAACTTAGGTAAAGTTCTCTTTCCCTACGGATCTCTTACATAGTAAACAACATCTATCGCTCTGACGAAGGGCTAACGCTCGAAACGTCAGCTTTTTTTACCCTTTACGGTGGCCAATTTACGTTTTCAACTCAGTTGTCAACACTAAATTACCTGCTATACTCTCCCACCGACGCAGCACTACAGTTTCTTTAGAAACTTACCCCCTTTAAACAACATATATCTTTAGCACTATCGAGACAGACAGTATAACAAAACACAAACAAACGTAGTAAGTAAAATAACACATCTGAAATTTATAGAAAATACATTATTAGAATCGGAAGCCAATTCTAGTATTCAATCATTAATTCAGTTATTCAAAATCGGCGACCTAAATTTATTTGGATGAATTAAAGACATCTTAGAAGGTCAGACGTCTCTCTTTTCCAACTAGAACGCATTCAAATATGATTGGCTTAGCTGGCAGTTCCATCATTCATCGATAAAAGCTGAAAAAGGCATCCATTGACTCAGGCACCAAAGAACCATTAACTTCCAGTCTTGTTTCTCAAGTATGTGCGCAAAGCATGGTGAGCAGGCAGAGCAGTAGCCCCAGCCAATGCTATGCCGCAGTTGTCAGCCATACTGGCCACACCCTTTCAGAATTCTCGGTAGGACATGGGTAAGGGAGTAAAACTTTGTCAGCCTCAGTATCGCATTGCGATGCAACTCGAAACCAAACGCATCGGCGGTTAACTCCAAGTCGATGTGACTAACTCAACGGCCTGTTTGATTGTATTTTCAGGCTAACAAACCGTTTGAGATCCGTCAGAATCAGTTTTGAATTCAAACAGCGATCGGAAGTGATGTCAAAGACAACCCGAAATGACACCCTCCTGAAAGCAACTGGCAAACACTGCTTCTTAAGAACTTTGTAAGCCCTTACAGGACCTGCACAAATTCTATCGCAAAACCATCTTGTGAGCCTTGAATATAGCGTACCTCAACATGGTATTTTACAAGAAAGTATGGCAACTATCAGTGAGCTGATCATTCTCCAAGATTTACAATCTATTGAGAGTAAGTCATGGGTGCTCCCTACCCTCTGGCATATAAAGCCATAGAGTGATAATGATGAAAATTATGGATTTGTATAACGCCTTTCCGTGAGAATATGATCTAATGCGCTTTACAACAATTTGCCCTGACTTTGCCCGGGCTGCATGCCAAGTGGAAAAGGCATGTCAGTAATGCGCAAGACTTCTTGCTAAATTTAGCCAGAAGTCCTTGGCAAAACATAACTCAATTACTTTTCGTTGTGATCAGATACATACAACAGGGTAGGGCAAACGAAGTGTCCTTTCGGTCAAGTTATATATCAATATATCTGATTTCTAATGGTCAGCTCCATGTATGGGGTATGGAAACTAGCAATTAAGTCAGTATTTAGTCTTTTTTCTAACATTATACTTATTTTCAATGTGAATTGAAGGGTACCCAAGTAGTTTACTTCACTATTTATTTTAGGGTGTTCAAATGTAGTACACTGGATACCCTTTATATCCTAACATCAGTATGCATATTCTCCATACTTTTCTCTTACTAAGGTACTGACGAGAACAAATATGTTTCACAATCAATATCTTCTTTAGTCAGTGATCATTTTCTTTACTCTCAGGACCTTGATATTTGATGCAGGGGTGATATTGTAAGGAGAAATTAGGTACTAGTCACTCTCAGGAGTTAAAAGGTGTATGTATAAGCTACTGTGCTACTAGCATTGTAGAAAAATCTTGTTGATGTTGTTGTTGTTGCAAAAATTTTATGTTCCCTGTGGGTGTTTGCCTATGAAGGCTGTCTTAGTAGAGGTTAAAAGCACCCTCTTATCAAAATGAGATAAATAGCTTAGTAGCATGATTTCTCCTGAACTTACACTTGCAAATACCACATTAAAAGGTTCAAATATATGCATCAAGTTTTAAAATTAAAGTAAAGATAATAGTGTTGTAAGAATGTTTTCATGAATTGGAGGCCCACTGAATTCAAGAAGTTGCACAGGCAAACAAAACACATATTGTCATCCCATATACTGCAAGCAAATATGCAAATGAACTGATAATTCATTAAAAATTGTCACAGACAATCTTCAACTTTTCGATTAATGTTCCTTGCAAAATGTACTCAGTATATCCACACGCGGCCCAGGCTCCAGCTGTGAGATGATCATCTTGTGCCATAAATGTCATGGCGGAATTATAAGAGTTTGTACGGGAATATTTACAACTGCTCTAAGGAATAAAAAAATGTGTCAAATTCTCAAAAAAATTCCTAACCTTACTTCCACAGCGTATTGCTTGGAGAACAGTACGGAGAATATGCATACTGATGTTAGGGTGTGAAGAGTTAACCCATTAAACCTTTCATTCCCAGATCACATTTGCAATTCTCCTTACTATCAACCATACAATTCTTACAATTTTAGTTCAGAGAATTTAGTATTGGATCAACTAATTATCCCCAAATTGATATTTTTCTTCATTCTCATCACTTATCTGGTTGATGTTGTATTGATATTGTAAGGAGAAATTCTGTCTTGGTCACTCATGGGAGTTAAAGGGTTAACTCTTAGAAGTAATTAGCATAGAAAATCTCCCTCTAATTTCTAAGCATTACCCAGAAAACAAATAATTGCTTTCTTTCTCTCTTTTCAGATTTCTCCTCTTTCTGTACTACAAACCTAACTTTTTCCTTACCTGAAATACATATTTTCCAATAAAATGGTAAGGTTAACTTGATAATGACACTGGGTAAAATTTTAGTCTGGAAATAAAATTCAAGAGTAAAATTAAGTGTTGCCAAATTGATATATCATTATTAGTAGTTTTTTTACTTTTCTATCACAGAAAACAAAGTTAACACAAACTATTTTGAGTGGTTTCAAGTGTGCATGAGTATGCATTCATACAGGTTGAAAGTACATGAAACTTGAAAGGATACTCCAAAGATACTTGTAGGGTGACATTAAGTTAGAGCATTTAACAAAACTATCATCACTATTCTAGTACTATGTAGGAGGGTTAAGTTTGAAATTCAGAGTTGTTTGCAGGTTTCTCATTTTAATACAACTGTACTTACTTATCCGGTGGATAGCATTATCCATCCTTTGAACAACCAGGGCCAGATAAACAATAAGTGAATGAATAACTAAACACACAGATTCCATGCGACCTTGTGTCTGTTCTATCATACTCTACCATAGACAAATTCAAAATGTGGTAAGAACAAAATAGTGTCAAACAAAGCACAGAAGAGCGTGTCACATGATGTTTTTACCACATTTTGACATTTTCTGTGATCTGTTAATAAACAGACCCACAGCAACATGGAATCTGTTAGTTTTATATGATATAAAGCAAGATATTAATTGTTAATGGTAATGTCACCTCTGCATCTGTCCTATAATAGATTATAGGGCTAGGAATCAATCAAACTGCATATATAATAAAGTTTGTCATTGAAAAATATTAAATGAATATCAAATAAAAGTACAAATAAAAGTAAGATTTCTGCACAATCTAATACTTTTATAAAACAAAGGCATATAGTCTCAAAGGCAATCTTTTCTTTTCTCCGCCATTGTTTTTTTTATCCAAGAAATGTATAATGAAGTATCGGGCTGTAATATTATGCAGCCTGAGCCAATGTTGTTTAAGTCGTGTCGGGCAAAGTGTGTTGGTAATGACTCTTAAATAAATTACTTCATCAAAAACCGTTATGAAATTCCACGTAATCGAAAAGAAAAAAAAAAGGACAACAACAGTATTTTAGAAGGCATGTCAAATAAATTAGGGTTATATCCTTACCAAAACCCAACCAGACTTTCCCTTTCTTCCTATGTTACTGCTAATCCCATTATCGTTTTCTCAAGATCGCAAATTTCATCGTGCTTCGCATTATAAGTGGACACTCCGCTTCCAGATGAAGGCTCTGGTGAAACATCCACGAAGTCGCACAGAGAGTATATTGCTACATTCATGGCCAGGAAGCAGGGTAGTGGTGCCGCTGTTCGTCAAAAATGAGCCCACGCTCCTTCTCAGGATTTGTCGCTGCAATTAAATTAGCGGCAGTAAGATTTTGAAGCGGCTTGATTTAATTTTTTGAAATTTACTCAGCTGTGAGGCATTATCTCAAGATAGAAAATCCTGAAGTTTTGAGAAAATCTATCTTGTGGTTTCCGAGACCGTTCCCAAAAACTGTCCTATGGGAACCCCATAATATTACCATAATGTTAATTAGCGATTGCTATGCCACACCCACTATTTCAAACTTCAAACCTACGTTCACGTATGGGCGAAATTGGTTTCACTGTGAAGAGGGAAGTGGATTTTCGAGTGCTTTGAATATGATTGGTGGGTGTCCCGAAAAACTGTTTCCAGTCACCCTGAATTAAGTGCTCTCGTTTTGCCCTCAATGTGAATGAAAAGCATGGATTGTATAGAGGGCGAAGCTAAGGACCTTAGATCAACCTAGAATTTTGCATCATGAGTACTTTTTCGTATTTGTTTTGGAGAACCATCAACACAGACGTATGGAAATAGATTTATTCGCACAAATTACATGTAGTTGAGAAACATGCAATACTGAAAATTTACAGCAAATGGCTAGTCAATCTTTGTATGTAATTGTTGTCAATTAACCTTTTTACCCCAAAGAGTGACCATCAAACCCCCCACAACAATCACACATCAAGATACATCAAGGTCACGAGAACAAAGGAAATGATCACCAACTAAAGAAGCTCTTGATTTTTAAACAAATTCTCCTCGTCAGTCCCTTAGAAATATATAGAGAACAGTGGGGAGAATATGCATACTGATGTTTGGATGAAAAGGATTAAAATGGCTGGAGCCGTCACTCGTTTACATTGTTGGTAATGAGAATATAGCTGGGGTAAGTAATGGAGATAATTAAATGTGACATATTTTATTTCAGTCTTTTAATTCTTTCCAAGCCTTGTCAATATGGTGTGATTGAGGCAATGTTTTTCTTTTTCTTCTTGCATCTTCTTCTTTCTTATTTTTCTTCTTGCATCGGTTTCCGATGAAAAATTTATCTATTAAACCAGGCACCAAATTAACCGTTAACTTCTCATCTTGTTTCTCCAGTACGTACAGAAAGCTCTATGGGTAGGCAAAACAGCGACACCAGCTAGTGCAATGCCACCGTTTATAGGCACGCTGGTCACACCCATCGAGAACTCTCTATGTTCCGGCGGGACCTGGGAAGAGATAGGAACTTTATCAGCACAAGTGTTGCTTTGCCATTTAACTCGATACCAAAGCACCAAAACCAATTTAGCAAGGAGTAAAATTAGTGAAGACTTTAACAGTCTGTTGGATCTTCCAGTCGAGCAAATCGTCATATTAGCGACAAAAAGCCAAAGAAATTGCAGCTACCTTGTATCTAAAAACACTGCTTCTCAGAGAACTTTGCAAACTTCAATCGCATGGGACTTTTCTCACCTTATTTTCATTGTATTACTACAAGACCCGGGTGATGGCTAATGACAAGGCCTTGAAAGATATGCTTTGAATCTCAAATTAAATCTGAAGTGATCTATAGTACCTTGCGTGCTTTCTTGCAATAGTTCTCTTAACTCCATTGGTGAGTCTTTTCAATATCAGAGTGTGTGTAGCAGCGGATGCAAACAAAGCACTGAGCTAGAAAAAAACTAATTTTGCTCTGTTTTGTTGTGAGTATGACGAATAGGTCATACCTCTTGTGATATCCTGTAAAATGTATTGACGTAACAGGAACCTCCTAGAAGCCCTACATATAAGGATATCAAGAACATGATCCACACTGATGGCAGGAAGGGGAAATACGCTTCGCACAGGAGTATGACAAGATTGACATTCTGCGAAAAAAGAGAGGTATGAGAGACAGTCAAATACTGACTAAGTCAACTGACCGACCGACCAACTGACCAAGAGACTAACCAACAATTAACAGACTAACAGATCAACAGACTAACAAACTAACTGACTTACCGACTGACTGACTGATTTTTAATGACTGACAAACTGATAGACAGAATGACTGACAGACCGACTAACTGACCGACTGACTGACCCATCAGAGATGCTCACCTGTAGAACGGCCAATAACCAAGTCTTTTTGATGGGGAAGATGTTAACAGATGAACGTGATATAAATGTACCAACCCGAAAGCTAACTTGATACCTTAACAAAGAGATAAGAAAGAATATTTAAGAGTGTAGTTATTCTAATATTCCAGAAGCAACAACAAACAACCAAAGGAGAAGAATATTCGAATGTCAGGCTTTTGTTGGCTTTTATATGTGAAACTTTCGAATCACGATTAACGTATAATTATTAATCTGTCTTAAAAAAGCGTAAACATTTATTATGCTGAAAACATGACATTCAGTACCGGCACTGCTGAATTGCCAAATTGTTTCGGGGAAAATAGAAAGTTTCGAAGAAAAAAACAATACGATTGCCAGAACTTCCAATCTGTTAGTAGTTTAAAACGATTACTCCTCCACATCGAAGGGGAAATTTTGTCTATGGCAAGTTATTCCATTAACATTACTTAGTAAGCAGAATCTTAAGGCTCTAAGTGTCTCGCTTAAGAGCACTACACCGCAAATGAGTCCGATCAGACCTCAAACTCGAACGTTTCGACTTTTCCGCTTCTCCCACAGAGAAAACGCTCCTATGGTAAATATTTTATCCGTCGACATCTTATTGTGACTCACCATCTGTACTGGTCAGAAGGCGAAAGCCAAATTCGATTCCAGTATATCAATTCATGCTATAAGAAAACAAAATAATAGGAAGAAGTGACCTGTCACCATGTTTGTACCTAATAGTAAAATTATAAGTAATATAAAGAACGAAAAACACTTTGACTGTTTAGAGCACACGAGCATATTCCACTCACTGCACTTTCAACAGCATAAAACTACAGAGCTTTATGGGGCGATCAGGTAAATCTTATCAGAAATCATCCAATCCCACCTCTCCTCTCACAGGTGATGAATGATGACCAAATTCCGGTAAAGACGTTCAGAGGTAATTTTCCTGTTGTTGAAAGGTGCAGTAGCTACTTCTCGAGTAGAGCTACTTATAGAGTTAAGATGTGAAAGTGAAAGTACTTACCAAACCTTGGTTGATGAAATATTCAGCAAAATAAATAAAGAATATCGGCAGTATAAACTTCATCAGCGACTTTTGAAAAACAGAAGTAAAGAAACTAAGTTAATATAAAACCATACAGTCCCGGTAAATTTTTTGATGAAGAGTTCCCACTACATACCTAGCCCTTTCTATGCATCATTACGTGGGAACGAGCGGAAAAGCAGGGCTTACGATGGAAAAAAAAAGAGAGAGACCAAGAAGAGGAAGGATAAGACTGCCTCGTCCTAACCTGGAGGTAAACTCTCATTCCTGCTGCGGCAAGAAGCCTGCAAGCTGGCTTAGAGCTGGCGAATGAAGTGAGCGTGCTAGAATTTTGTGAGGGACCACTTTCACATTGATAGGGGTTGGCGGCTGGTATCAACTAGTCTTCAAAGTCCCGTTCTTACGAGCATGTTAGAGTGTTTACCTCTAAAGAAGATAGGAAGTGTTATCATATATTCTGCAGTGGTGACTGATTTTTGAGTCTAAAGAAAGGCTCTCTTCAAACAAGACAAGAGCACAAGAGCCAAATAACGAAATGCGTCATGGAGCGGTGTTAACTGATAAAAATGTCTGAGTTGATTACGGAATGGCTGGATCGAAAGATCCCTTTTGACGACTCTCTCAGAGGCTCCTCTCTCTTTTCATAATTAAACTACACGCTGTGTAAACTTGCAACTTACTTTGGTAATGCTAAGTTTCTTCCCAAAGGTTAGCGAAACAACAGGGAGTTTATCTGAAAGGAACAAATAAGCAAAACAAGTACAAATACATTAAGAATAAAACCGTAATAGATTTCGTCCTCCCACTTCCCCTCACTCTATGAAAAAAATTAAATTAATCTCAATATAGTCTCACTTTTCAAGTTATAAATCAGTCTTTGGGTTATTGGAACTGTAATACCATTTATTAGGTTTCTTTGGCTTGCGAACTTTAAACATGAAAAAATTGTAACCACCTAATTTGGTGCAAAATTGATATCAGTGCATGATGCATGACAATTTTCTTGTGATGTGACTCTTACCAGTTCCTTCTGTCCTTGCTTTTCCCAACAAAGGTTCTCGTTCAGTTATACCCTCGGGATGTTCAAGGATAAACCAGTAGCTTGAGGAAGGGGATTTACAAAATAGAGATCAATATTCGTAAAACATTTGGACTTAAGGGTTACCTTCTGCAACCTGCAATAACTCTGTTCGAAGGGGAGCGCCGATGCCTATATCTAAGTATCTCTGCATGATAAGACAAGAGGTGGGTCCTTCCTCTCACATGCACATACGTTTCAACCCTAGCCCTGTACATTCTCTACAATTTATGTGACTACAAGGAGGGAGGGGGAAAGTAGGGATTTGGAGGTCAACTAAATTCTCTATTTACCAAATTCCCATTAGAAATGGTATTATATTCATTATAAGCACTGTGTTTCTTGGAGTGATCCCTGAAGAAATGAGCCCAGCATAGGATAGTGCAGCAAATGCTGAAGAACCCCCTGCCAAAAAAGAAAAAAAAGGTTATGGCGACGATTGTTATAAACTGCGATAATTGAGTTAAATTCTGTCTGTTTTATGGACCTAAATTAAACGATGAAAGTATTGGCAGCTCCTGGCTGCAAGCACTTAAAACTGATCATGCTCTGCATTTAAGCTGGCAGCTTGGTATCCCTTCTCCTCTCATTTTCCTCATGACATTACCTGTGATCCTATTTAAGAAAAGCAAGCTTCAAAATTTACCAGAGCACTCCACAGCTGTTAAATGGGGAGAGGCAAAAGACTTGAAAAACGGAAGGCTTGGGGCTGTATTACATGAATTTAAAAGACTTGAGGTAGGATCATCTTGATGAGAGACATGGCGTGAATGTCTGTCAAACAATGTCACTTGTATCTATGTATTACTCACCAGTACCAGATGACCATGTTGATACAACATCTCTGGGAATACAAAAGAAAGAGGGTTTTACAACAATAAATTTTACTGATAATTTTTTTTAAAGTAACAACCTAGGTGAGTCTTTGGATCGTCGAACCACTTGCAACTACATGAGGGCAAAGAAAACTGTTAGGATCACTAAATCAGAAGATGCATAATTTATACAAAGCCATATCAAGAGTTTCTTCCCTCATCATTTGTTCTGCCAGACTGTACAACTGGCGGTTTTGTATGCTTTTTGAACCAACAAGCCGTGAAGACATGAAAATGAGCTACAGAGTTGCGAAAGGTTTGAATTTGTCATCACTTTTTAGGCACATGTACAAAATTGCCAGCTACGCAGGCTGATAGCTACTTAGGTAACTATGTCGCACAAAAGGTAACTTTCAGTTCTCCTGTTATGAACCCTTTCTCCTGTAATGAACCCTAAAGATGTCTGCTTGTGAGGGGTTGCAATGTGCTAATTGACGTTACTCACCTATCAAAATGAGCTGAATAGCTCAGTAATGTGGTTTCTCCCAATCCAGAACTCAGACTTGCAAACGCTACACCTAGTAGTTCAAATAAAAATATCAAGTTTTAATATCAAACAACAGGCAAGGGTCTAATAACAATTATCATACCTCTCACCTAATACGTGCGCTATGATTAGTCAATTTTGAGGGCGTATTTTACAGTACGACCCGCTAAATTTAAAAGTTTGTTTGAGTAGAAACCTTCCAACCTGTTTGAACCCAGAGATATGATAAATATCTTAATAGCTTTGTTTTCTCATTCCTTACTGTAAGTTACGGAACCTCGTTTTTTCCGCCTTGCGCAACGGGCATAACTCCGTACTAGAACGCCTTGGTTTAGCCGAATTCGTAACAGCAGAAATACATGATTCGCTTCTACCGCGTGACTCCTGTTTCAAGAGAAACTGGAACTATAAAATGAAAGCTGAATGCGACAGTATTTACAGTATATATATTTTCACGATTTGAAACAAGGAATAAACACTCGTGTAAAATTCAAGGGAAAAAAAGCTTATAAAGTAGTATAAAACCTGAAAGTGTAAGTATCACGTAGCAAAATTTGGAGTTTTTCTAAGAATCACTGAATATCAACCATACTTTGTTCTATGCTATTGGAAGGAAAGGTAAACAGTCTACCATCAGGGTAAATAAACAAGTGTTGAAACCAACTGCGAACAAGAATAGTCAACACTTACGAAGCAAGAATACTCATTTTCAGAAAAAGCACTCTTGCACATGTATAGATCTCACCCACTGCTTCATTAATCTCACCCAACAAAGTAATCCAGAGTACACGAGAAAACGCCACAATGGAAAAACTTGCGAAGGCAAACAAAACACATATTGTCATGCGTACACTGCAAAGAAAGCAAATTAACCGAAAGATAAGGTCTTTAATTAAGGCAAAAATCATAAACTTAGTCAAGGTTATTTATATACTCAGAATGCTAGAGACTTGTTTGAACCAATATTACATTCAGAAGTTGTTGCTGACGATCTCGTCATTTATTATATTGTGTGACTGCGCTAAGTAGAGTACAGAGAACGCGCGAGTCCAGTACAAATATCGCGCGATTTTGAACGGTTAGTTATTTTGTACTGCGCGTGTTACACTCTCTATCTGCTTCGCTTTTCTCGCCCTATAATAAATGCATGTAAAATAATAAGCGTGAATCATAAATAACTTATTAGATGTTTTGGTGTATAGCATTGCTGAGTATTTTAAGTCATTTTTCGTATTTTGACTCGCTATTTGGGCTCGTCAAAATATGTCACAATTCACGGTTTGTTTTTCTCTTTGCCGTTCGGACTTCAAAGAGAAAAAAAATCCAGCAACATACTTTCGGTCAGGACTGCGTTAACCGGCACAGTAAAAGAGCGCGAGCGAGAAGTTCAAGTGAGTGACCCGTGCCTAGCGCTCGCTATTTGAGCAAGGCTTTTAAGATGAAAATATTTCAGACTATCAATTTTACGATCTCCTTTGCAGCCGATGTTTTTGTAATCGCTTAATTCTTCTTCTCTGTTTGGAAACAGGGAAGACTAAGACCTATTTAGTCAGTAAGACATCAAAAAATATCAGCGGATTATAACGGCACGAGTGACCCTCGCACGAATAGCATCGCACTGCTCACAATGAACCGGAACGGTCAGGCCATTTTTTCGCGCTGTTTACTCTTTTCACGGGGGCACGCAAATAAAGGCTTAAAACATAGAGTAAGTGAGCGCGGAAAAATTCACCTGATCAGAGGTAACTCGCTGATTGAGCACCGCCTAACCTGCAATTTCGAGTCCCCTGCCGCCGCACTTCGCACTCGGAAAAAAAAGCCCACCTGATCACAGGTTAAGCTCTCTAAACTGCCTGTTCTACATGAAACTTCTTCGATAATTCAGGTAACGTTTTTGTCAGTCGTCTATTGAGTCAAATAAAAATAACGCTGGACACGAATTTGCAAGACGCTTTGTCAACAGAGCGGCCCGCCTTTAATTGGAGCGCTATTGTAAACTCTATCGCACCTTGGGATATTTTTTACGCCTCCAACAGTTTGACTGACAGCAGCTAAAATCTGCAAATAGACTCAAGTATTCCCAAAGCTATATCTGTTGGCCAATCACAGCCGACTAATTCTAGACCTGTAAATTATTATGCCGCGCGTTGATAAATTGGGCACTGTAAGTACATGTCGCGAAAAACAATAGCATTCTGGGCGATGCTCAGCAATACTACACACCAAATCGTCTAATAAAATATATTTACTGCACACAATGCATGTTGCTCTCTGTAACATTTCCTCTACTTAGCTTCCATATAATTTGCTGAAATATAGATCAGCTAAAATTTAATGAATCTATCCATAACTTAGATCAAAATGTGCAGCACTAGCTGCGCTAGATTGATGAGAAAAGCATGGTAACTAGTGTTCGCTGCATTCACAAGACGTGACCAACTCATTTGATAAAACTTAATTACCCTGTTATTTCTATGCTTAAGTCTATTTCTTTGTTTGACTGATACGGTATTTGTAAACAATCGGATCAGCTGGCTAGTCAATACGTTATAATAATGTAAAAAAAGAGAAAAAAGTAAAAGCAGTGGCTCAGACCAGAGTGTGTTTTGTTTGTGCAAAACTAATAAAAGACAGTCATACTTTAAGATCTAAACCATGAATTCTGGTAAAGACTGAGCCAAGAGACATTGTTTCATGTATGTTCCACCCCTGGATGACGCAAAATATGAATTTCATCTAACCTGTATCGCGTTCTTTGCATGAAAAATGGTGCTGTTATCGAGATAACGAATGAAGGCAAAATATCGGCTAACAGAACAGTCTGAAAAATAATTCAATTGCAAAATGAAATGGTACAAAATTAATGAGGCAATCCCATCACACCATTTTTTCCAAGAGAGGGAAAATGATTATACTGAGCCTAAACTAGGGCGACGACCTACTCACTGATGTACGCATGCGCATTACCATTAAAACATGCAACAAACATAATTTTTAATTAATACAAAAACTTTTATTTCAATACCCCGGTTGAAAAAGGGCTGCACTCTAAACCATCTGCTGACTGTAACGATTCAGTAACGTGCCATAAAGAGCTGGTATTAGGCATGTAGGTCTGCAAGGCATATGTTAAGATATTCACACACTGAAATACTGTGTAACAATTCTGTAAAATAATAAACTTTCCTCTGACAGTGTATCGCATGACGGGAACATTGATGAGTTCGATTGACTGAGTGCAAAAAGCATTCTTGCAACTATGTCACTGAATGAGATTCTCCAAACTACTGTGGACCGTTTTCTTTATTAATTTAGTCACTTCACTTAAAAAAAAACAAACAAACAAGCAATGCCAATTATGAAAGTCAGTATTCGTAACCGGCGGATGGCGCTCGCGCATGGGACACCGGCTTGTTGTCTATACCTCTAGAACTGTTGTAGTGGATTGGACTGGCGTGGTAAGAATGGGGAGTCCGTTGAGTTTGGATCATTACTATTATTATAACAGTTGTCCCCGAATGAAACACAGTTGAGTAAATTAGTTCGGAGCAAGGGTTTCTTTACAGCGCGTTGACCGCAAAAAATTTTTGCGGGCCAGAAAATCTTCGCCTTCAGGAATGAGGTCGTAGTGAATATAAGTTTGGCTTCGCCCAAGAAATTGAAATCGCGATATACTTTAAGTGCATGTTTGCTGTCTTTAATATAGGACGGCAAATATTTGACAGTAGGTGCCACACTTTTGTTTACGATTACTTCCCAGCTTCAGAGGCCGAAAAAATCGATTTTTCTTTATTGACTAAACTGCATTCAAACATTCAAACTAACGTTTCCATTAATATTTTCTGAAATCTTTATAAGCACTCGATTTATTTAGAAAAACGTATCTTCAAATAAAAGTTAATAAATCAGGAAGGCGTTATAATCACGGACCTGGGCGAATCCCTTGGGATAATTTTCGGAGTAACCGCTCATGTTGGGGCACGATTTTCATGTTACTTCCATATTTTGTTTACATTGCGCACTTCACCAAATTCGCACCTGGAAGCTCTTTGATAATGAAAAAAATTTTTGCCCAGGGAAAAATCAAAAGCGGAAGAAAGTCCATGGTAAAAAAGAAAAGAGAAAAAAAGAAAAGAAAAAAAAACAGGCCCAAAGGAGAAAGTAAGAGTACCATTCTGTCAAGAGAAGAAAAAAAATTCCTTTGTGAAAGCGAATGGTACTGACGGAGCTCCACGATGGCGTCCAGATTTCTAACAAAGAAGTCGCCGTCAAACCAAAATTTGCCATACGAGATGTTAAACACGTTAACATGTTTAAACATGTTACTCAAGTAACATTAACAATCGCCCCGCGGGTTTTTTCTTGGCCTTTGGCAACTTTGCTCATTATCGTGTCTTCCTCCTAAACGCTCCGCTGAGCGATCGAGATGCAATGGATTACTTTTCCCGGGAAATCTTGATCCATCCTCATTGACGCCAGGAGGTCCCGTTGTCCTATTGGTTTGCGGTTTCAGGAGGAGAGATAATCTCCTGGCGTGGCGCGAGTTTTTTGTGAACCTTTATGAGCTAAAATCTCGTATTAGATTTTGGGAGGAATACAACCACTTTGAGCGAATTTATAGGGTATATAGATTTGACCAATTTTCGTCAAATTTCGCCAAAACATTCAAGGAATAATTACAAACGAGAACGTGCCGGGAAATTTGGATATTTGATATATATATATATATATATGTATTTGAAATTTTGATATTTTGACATTGACGCAACACGCCAATTAGCTATGCCGATATCTAGAGAGCCAATCAGAATATCGAAAAAGCAAGACACACTGTTTTTGATTGATGCCTTTTGAATAAGACTGTGCAGCCATTTTGCTCGTGCTATGGCATCCGAAACCCGATAAATTCAATAGAAGAACCATTGGTCGTTTCACATGTTAACGGCTCCTGACACTTTCTTAAAAGAAAAGTCGCTTGTTATATTTTTATCGTAAACTGTAGTTCTTAAGCTTTCTTTTGATATATAATTTGACAGGATTTTAGTAAAACTTGCGCACGTACGAATTTTTTCCTGAAGGACACCCGCGAGGGTGGGAAGTAACCTTAAATAGCAATAAATAAGTTCGGCAATAACAGGCAGAGACGATACGCCGTCCTGAGTTGTTGGGTTTGAAGATTTTTTAGGTAAAAAGTAAATACACTACTTTCTAGGGATGGTGATCTCAGTAACCGGAAATTCTCATTTTGCTGTAAGATCTTTCATAGTGTTCTTGATAATGTTTTGGTTGGTAGAAGTGCGGTATTTATCAACTTTCTTGATAAAAAGACGTGTCAGAAAGTTGCCGCAAAGCTTTCTTTTTGTGGAGATCGGCTCGCCAAATAACTGTCGCGCAACTTGTGTCGGCTGCTCGGACAACTATAATTCTGCACTTTCGTAGACTTCCGAAAAGAGCTTCGGAACGTAGAAAGGAATCATTCTATGAAGCATATGGCAGTCTACGGCCTTTCCGTCTTAAACTCAAGAACATTTAACAAAGTTTTCTTCGTTTTTTTCACGAAACCATTTTCCCATCAAAAGCGTTACTTCATTATTCTGCAAAGAAACACACAGAACCCACAATTCCTCTATTCGCTCTGATAAAGGGCTTACGAAACGTCAGCTTTAGAAATTCTGTACGGTGGCCATTTTTCAATATCAATTCAGTTCATAAAACCAAACTATCAGTTTTTTCAGTAGTCATGTACAATGTGGATTACCTTAATTGCTTATTTCAGAAACACCTAATTCAAACCATACTTGGTTTCCTCGATTACTTGTTTTCTCTTGATGAAGAATATCATGAGCAGCAATTAACATAACTACGAAGCCAAAGTAGTTACACATGCCGAGAAGCCTGAAAAATGAAGACGTAAAAAATATTGGTCATAAAAAACCCATTACGCAACCTTCAGACAAGTAAAGCACTTCCGAAATATCTTTTTGACTGCTTTCTGTTACTAAGCAAGGAACTTACAGAAACCACCCAACAGTGGCCACATCAAACATGGAAATTAACACGAAACAATCAAAACATATTATTTTTCCCCCATTCAAATTGTAAATACGCGATTTTTGAGCTCTCACTTCGATCTGTTACTTTGAGTAATCAGACTTCCTGTAAAAACAAAGGAATTGCTTGTTGGGCTAAAAGATGTACTATATATTAAACATAGAGCTCTCAGTTCGATCTGCTATTTTGAGTAATTCGGCCTGGAAAAACAAAGGAATTGTTTTTTGGGCTAAAAGATGTAATATGCAGAAAAGGGTAGAATCAAAATAGCTCAATTATCCTCACCAAAAACCAAAGAGATTTCTTTTGCTCTTTCTCTCACTGCTTCTGCTACCACTAAGGACATCTTTAAATGAGGAGAAAAAAGTGCAGCTAAGGTTTCAAAAGTTATCAAAGTTTCAAGAAAGATTTTCTTGACTCAGGGGAATTTTGCCGACATAAGAAGCTAACAAACGCTAGTATTTAACAGTCCTACGCTCTCTCAGTTGGGGAACGAGCGCTCTCCTGCTTGTTTCCATTTGGGGTGAACAAACAGATCAAACTTATTAAATTGGTCACTTGTACCTTCGACTTAAGATTGAAAAAAAAAAAAAAAAAAGAGCACAGATTCACAACAGATCGTTATTCAATTATAGACATTACCAGAAGAGTCATTTTCTTCCTCTGAGACATTCGAAGATGGATATATTTCTGTAAGTTTGTTGCTCCTCTCCCACATGATGAAAACGAGATAAAGAGTTCTGGCGCTCTTGATATAACCACTGGTTCATACGTCAGCGTCCATCATCGAGAAGCACGCGGCAAGTTTGGAGAGCACAAAAGATGTGTAGGAGTTGCTCCAGGCACAGCCATGAGCTACTCAAACTTCTCGACTGCTGTCTAGACTTTCCAAGGAAGACATTTCCATTTTAAAATTGATATCTTCATCTCGCCTGCTAATAATTTTTCTTGATATGGGTTATATAAATCAAGCCTACCAGTTTTACAAATTTTGTTTCAAGGACATTGATCTGAGTTACAGTCACACCAGAGAATTATCCTGTGTCTGGAATCATTCCCTTATAGGAGAAAAATCCCAAATCACTACATGAGGTTGTAGGGTAGGAAGAAAAGATGGGAAATAAACTGTTTGTTTAGGTTCGTCCTCTGCAAATATTACCAACATTCTAGAGGCTGATAGGCTTATTTTCTTTTCTTTTAGAGAAATAATAAGTTTGGAGGAAGAAAAAAATTACTACTTTCACAGTTCTCATATCGATTCTCAATATGAAAAACTGAATTCATCATTCCGTTATTAGGATTCAGTGAATACGTTGAATATTTTCCTATTATCAGTGATATTTACCAACAAGAGAGAGTTCCACAATTAAGGTAACCATCCAACTCAGCAAAATACTAAACGCATATACTTCCGTTTGCAAAATTCGAAAAATCTAGACGCTGCAATCCAAACTTTCCTTTGTTGCACAAGTCAAATTGCACAATCGTTCATTTCTACGTCACGTTTTGCCTCACAGCTGCTTAATAAATATTTACATTGTAACTCAATGATCTTTGTTTACCGGGTTTTCTCTCGCTTGGATGTGATAACAAATCTTAAAGCCTTCTGCCTCGGAACGAAAATACCTCATAAACGCATTTCATGCGACCGCAAGTTTTTTGACTTATTGAGGTAAGTTATGCGACTGTGAATTCCACTAGTTTTCTTTTGTCAGAAAGGCAGAGGATTATTTTCGTCGCCTCTGATCGATCCGGCCTCCGATGTTTATACACAATAAACTGAATTTAATCACGGTTCTTGTTTTAAATCAAATCAAAAACAATCGAAGCGATTCAGAGTGTTAGGTTTGCGTCTGAGCTCGATAAATTTTTCTTCACTTGGAAGGTGATATTTGAAGCAAAGATGATACGTATAAACTGTAACAAAGCCTCTCTACCATTTTATGCGCGGTTACTACTCCAATATGGTTTCGCGCTCGGACGAATTCGGAACGACTAATTATTACAGTCTCTACATCTAAGTGTGTTGGTGAGTGACTCATTTGCATATCGGAGTCCACTTAAAACTCATTCGCACGAGTAAAAAATTAAATACAGTAAAACAAACCAAAACAAAGAAAAATCAAACAACTTATAGAAAATGAAGCCAATTCTGGCATTCCCTCTTTATTAATACAAACTTGAATTTAAACATTCTTGCATCCCATAATTCATTGATTTCGGTTGAAAAACCTATCCATTGACTTAAACACCGAAGTAACCGTTAGCTTCTGATCTTGTTTCTCCAGTATGTACACAAAGCATTATGGGTAGGCAGAGCAGTAGCCCCTGCCAATGCTATACCGCAGCTGTCAGCCATACTAGTCACACCCATTGAGAACTCCCTATGTTCCGGTGGGACCTAGGTAAGGGAATAGAACCTTATCAGCCTCAGTATCGATATGCCCTGCACCTCGATAACCAAAAACACAAACATTTAACATTCAAATTGGAAATGATAAACTCGACGGTCTGTTAGATTTTCAGTCGAGAAAACATTTTTAAAAGTCTGACCAGAATGAATTTTCGACTGAATCAACGATATTGAACAAATATTCACCGAAGTGGAAGTGGTTGGTAGCAGATATTTACCACACCCGTATTAACCGTGGTTTCCTTGCAAGGCCATCGCGTGTTTCGAATCTCAAATCGTATCTTAACCGATGTATATAAATATATGTATGTATGTATGTGTTTGCGGTAGTAAGACAGGCTGGCCCAGTGCAGCTCAGAGCCGATTTAAATGGGGGTCTGTGTAAACAATGACGAGGCCTGACCACAACACTAAGAGCTACGTTCCCTACTCTCACTGAGAAGCGTGTGGGTTCTTTAACGTTCCCTGCTAACCAGATATGGTGGGTACTCTAAATGCATTCTTATAACAGCGCTCCTAAACCCCTTCAGAGAATCTTTTAGAGATGAAGGTATGTGAAGTACCTGATGCACACAAGCATCGAGCTTGAAAGAACACTTATTTTTCTCTGTTTTGTTGTTAATATGATGAAGTGATTTTACCTCTTGTGATATTCTGTAGAATGCATTGACGTAACAAGCACCTCCGAGAAGCCCTTCATATAAGACAATCAAGAACATAATCCACACTGATGGCAAGAAGTGGAAATACGCTTCGCAAAGGAGAATGACGAGATTTACGTTCTGCGAAACAAGAGAGGTACTGATGAGTTTCCTTAAAATTACAACGTTCAGAAGATCGTTCACCAATCCTTCCGTGTACCTGGATTACAAGGAATAGTAATATATAAAACTGCCTACGATATGTTAAAAAGGTAGACAAACAGACGGGGAGACAAATGAAAAAAGGAGTAGGTTTCTAAAGAAACTGCGGTGTTGTGTCGGTGGGAGAGTATAACAAGGTAATTTTGTATTATCAACTGAGTTGATGACGTGAATTGGCCATCGTTAAGAGTTTCAAAGCTGACGTTTCGAGCATTAGCCCATGGCTAGAGCAAAGGACAGCGAAAGACAGAGAGACAGACAGTCTAATGACTAACTGACCGACCGACCCAACAAAGACACTCACCTGTAGAATGGCCAGTATCCAAATCTTTTTAATGGGGAAAATATTAGCAGACGAACGTGATATAAATACGCCGATCTGATAGTCAACTTGATACCTTTGAAAAAGAGATAAGAGAGTTCGAATGTACGGTTATTCCCATGATCCGAAAGAAAAAAATAAGCTTGAATTGTTGAAGGTGAGGTTACACTCTAACGTTTTCGCCTCACGAACAACGTTGATCGTTTAATCTGCCTACAAAAAAATTGAAAAAAATTCAACTCCTATTCCTGGAAGTATGACATTCAGTAGAAGAAGTGTGTCACAAGCACTGTATCCAAATCACACTACAAATTGCCGTAAGGTGAATACCAAATTGTTACAGAAACAATTGAAAATTCAGAAAGAAATGAAAAAGAACTAAAATCCCGGATCTTACATGATATACCAGAACTTTCAAACTGTTGGTAGCGTAAGGCGATTAACAGTCTATTAACTCGAAAGGAAAAAGAGTTAATGGCAGGTAACCCTATGCATATCACCTCATTAAAAGGAACTGTGAATGTTTTGGGTTGCCTCGCAAATGAACCCAATCAGAGCTCCAACTCGGACGTTTCGACATTTCTGCACCCCCCCTGATTGCGAAGACGAACCGGTGGTAGATGTATCTTATCAATCGACATCTAACAGTGACTTACCATCTGTACTGATCTGAAGGCGTTAGCCAGATTTTATTCCAGTATATCAATTCATGCTAAAAAAAAAAAAAACTGGAAAATTAATAACTAAATAAGAGGCCCATGAACGCGTTATTAATTGGAAAGCAAACTAATAAGTAATGTGAAAAAAGCGGAAAACACTCCGTCTGTATGAAAATTTCGAAGTGCAAGAGCACATTCCAATTACTGCTCTATTTCATTAACAAGCTGACTATTAGGTCAGACATCATCACTAACAATACGTTTTCCAATGCCGTGTATTATGGAGTAGACCGACCAAGAAACATCACTGTTGCTTTTAAAAAGTTCAAAGGTCATTTTCTTTAATCTGGTCAAGGATTTCATTTTGGGTTAGGGTTTTTGCCTGTAGGCGGCAGTTGCAATAATGATCAACAGCAGCATGCATGAAACGAAATCTCATGTTTGGCTCTGAGCTACAAAGTCCGCACGTTGCCTGTAAGTAGCAGTTGCAATAATGATCGACAGCAGCACGAAACGAAATCTCATGTTTGGCTCTGAGCTGCAAAGTTCGCACATTGCCCGTAAAAGGAAGTTGTAATAATGATTGACAGCTGCATAAAACGATACCTTATGTTCGGCTTTGAGTTAAAAAGTTCACACGTTTTAAAAGGGGACAGTGGCTTTTTTCCTGACACTGCAATAGTGATTAAACAAGAGCACTTACCAAACCTTGGTTGATGAAATATTCAGCAAAATAAACAAAGAATAACGGCAGCATAAACTTCAGCAATGACTATTGAAAGAAAAGATAAAGGAAATAAGATCTCCGGGGTGCTGATCTTTTTGCATTAATCAATGAAAGGACACCATGAATGAACTCACAAGCTTACCTTAGTAATGATGAGTTTCATTTTCAAAGTTAGCAGATCCACTGGGAGCTTCTCTGAAAAGAACCAAATAAAAAAAAAAGGAAAGGGAAACAAATACAATCAGAATTATATACAAAGGGAACGCGATTGATTAAATAAACTTTCCATAAAATTAAATACTGTAAGTCTCGCCTTCCTTAACTTAAAAACTTTAGGAATACGTTTTACTATCATTTTAAGGTTACTTAAGTTTGAGGGCCATGAACATTAATTAACAAGCTCATTCAGAGCACAAAGTGCATTTTCAAGTTTAGCCTCCTCAAAGATATTCGGTACATGTAGGTTCTGAAATAGAGAATGGGCACGTTGCGTCACATGGTTCATATGATGTGACCCTTACCATCTCCTTCTGTCCTTGCTGTTTCCAACAAAGGTTCTCGTTCAGTTACACCCTTGGGATGTTCGAGGATGAACCAGTAGCTAGAGAAAGGGGTATATGGAACAGATTAGTGTAAGTAAAACACTTAGACCAGATGGGTACCTTCAGTAGCCTGTACTAACTCTGCTGGAGTAGAACGTTATACTTTTAAATCGTTTCATCACTACGAATACTACCACCCCGTAGACAACTGGGAAAATTAATTCATCACTCTCCTTTGTTATTTGGAATAGCCCAGTGCAAAAACAACGAACATTACACAGCTCGCACAAAAACGTTTGGGCCCAAAAAACAGCAGCAAACGACTCATAATTTACTTAAAAATTCACTTGAATGTCGCATGGAAGTAAAAAAGATAGGTTTTCAGGCTGTTGCCATTTTTTGGTCACCATCATACACTAGTTAATGTTTTGTTTTGTTATTGTTTTTTAAGAAACTGTGCATGTATCGGTCAAAGTTGAAATCTAAAAATGTCAGGTCAACCATTCACCTGAACTAAGTCAAATTACCTTCAGAAGAGAATTTTTATCACCACTTAGCTTGCAATATGTTGATAAATGGTCAGCAAAAGTGAAAATTACTTTCAAAAGGTAAAGACTAAGGGACTTCTTTCAAGGTTGCAAAATTTTAGCTTGTCTTTAACCTTTAAATGATACCTGGAGGATCAAAGTATCAAAATGTTTCTTTTCATATGGATTCCCTACCCCTGCCCCCCCCCCCCCCCCCTTCCTCCAAAAAAATTCCCTTAGTGTTTTTTGGATGATTCTTACCACTGTAATAACCTTTAGAAATACTTAATTATTTACTTTAAAGGTGAAACAACACCTGGGTTTTGGGAACACGCGAACTAGGAATAAAATAACCCTTCACTAGACAAAGGCCATGTAAATTGTTTCCTCTCCTATGGATCTCAAACCTGGGCCCTCTCTTCCCTAAATGTGACTATGGGGGGAGGACAGGGAGAATAAAGGTCAATGAAATTCTATGCTTACGTGACTCCTAGTGTAAATGGTATGATGTTCATTATTAGGACTGTGTTTCTAGGCGTGACCCCGGCGAAAGTGAACCCAGCATAGGATAGTGCACCAAACACTCCAGCGCCTCCTGCCAAAAGTGCACCAAAAACAAAAAAGACAAAAACAAAATAATTAAATATCTATATCAAATAAATGAAGTACTACAAGTACCCTAATTTGACAAAAACCTGTCATGACTGCAACTGTTAACCAATGGAAAATTGAAGTTTACCTCATAACAATAAACCACATTTTCAATAGGTTTACCATTATAACAACCCACTTGGGATTTTGGAAAACACTCAAAAAGTACAAGTTCTGTTCTCCCAACATCCCAAGTGGATAATTATGCCAATAGACCATTAGAAAGTGGAGTCCATTGCTGTGAATACTGTGAGCTGGTGGCTAATAAAATAGCACCAAAATTCTACTAAAATAGCACCAAAATTCTAATAAAATAGCACCAAAATGCTAATAAAATAGCACCAAAATGCTAATAAAATAGCACCAAAATGCTCTCATGAACTACCCCTTCTCATTTGCCTCAAAACACTTCTTGGTTGATCCCATCTACAGCTTTATACAAAATTGTATTCACCACGCTTTAAGATTTTGCACTGCACACTGAAGCTGATAGAGGAGAAGACTCAATAGACTCACGAGAATAGGGCATAGGTACAAATGAACAAGTTTTGGAGGAAGGATATCTTAAAATGATGTACAAAAGAAATCTGTAAAAATGTTACTTAGAAATGAATTGCTTACCAGTACCAGAAGACCATGTCGATACAACATCTCTATGAATACAAAAAACAGGGTTACTCACAATTTATATGACATAACATGTACTGAAATCTTTAAATATAACAACTTAGATTAATTCTTTGATTCAGGCAACTCAATTACCCAAACCAGAGGCCTAAGTCATTTAACAATCCAATAAGCATTAAAGCATTTGTTCTGTCAATCCTCCTTTTTTCCCAGTGTTTATTGCTAGCTATCCCTGGTGAAAATCTTCGAAGGATCTTTAACGATCCTAATGAATCTTCATAAGAACCTTAGGAGATCCTTAACAGGAACTTTGTGAAGATATTTGAAAAATCTCAAGGAATTTTCAAAGAACTTCAAGGATCTTTTATTTTCTTATCAAGATCTTCAGGGATCTTTTATTTATTTATTTTTTTTTGGCCAAGATCTTCAAGGAACTTCAAAGATCTTGACAAGAATAAGCTCCTGTAAATAGCCATCTACTGCATTTGCCATTAGTAGCCACTACATGAAGCTTGCCAGGCAGTCAAGCTGTGAATCACTGCATGCTACACAGACCTGGTGGCTACTTCTCAAAATGAATATGTATAACAGGCAACCTTTAACTATGGATATGGTGCTTATGTAGAGTCCCAGTGGAACTAATAAACATTACTCACTTGTCAAAATGAGCTGAATAGCTCAGTAATGTGATTTCTCCAAACCCTGAACTTATACTGGCAAATACCACACCTACAGGGTCAAATACAAATACACGGAGAACATTTTAAACTCAAAGTGAAGGTGAGAGTTTTATAATGATTTCTTCACATAAAAAAAAAATGAAAAAATAATATTCCCAACTGGTAATAACATCTAGGGAGGATAATGACAAGAGGTTTGGATTTGATGCAGTTCATTTCTTTTTCCTTAGTTAGATCATTTTATAACCAGATTTCACTTTTATTTTTGTTTATTGTTTTCTCAAATTTCAAAAAGAAAAAATGAACCATTACATAACATTGCAATGACAAGAATAGAGTTTAAAAAGGTAGAAAAATGCCTAGAAAGGGGCTGTGCCACATGCAAAATTAAATTATAATTGTTTCACAGGTTATGGAAAATAACATTGAACATATTTGGTTGTAGAAGGTAATTAGAAGGAAAGAGAAGAGATACAACCAAAATGACAAACAGAAAAATACACATGAAGCAAGATTGTGGGAGATGCTCAGTAACCAAGTGGTTAACCCTTTACACACTAAGATCAGTATGCACATTCTCCATACTGTTCTCTGTACAATTCCTAGGGCACTGACAAGGAGAATTTGTTTAACAGTCAAGAGGTTTTTTAGTTGGTGATCAATTCTTTGATTCTTGTGACCTTAATGTTTGATTCAGGGCTAACATTGTAAGGAGAAATTAGAAGCTGGTCACTCTTAGGGTTTAGAGGGTTAATGATCCTTTCTGGGTCTTTCACATTGCCTCTCCCTGACCAGGAGTATATAGGGGTAGTATTAAGCCAAGTCAGGGAAGCCTGATAAACTGCTGCGGGATAACCTTAAATGGATTGACATCCCATCCAAGGGAGAGTAGTAATAATCCTACATTGTAGTTGCTTCATGCTACAGAAACCAGCTGAGGAAAAGCTCTGGCTAGCAGGGTGCTTAGCTTGAAAAAAGACCGACTTTACCTATGAAGCAAGATTAACACCCACTTGAAAAAAATATCATTTTGTGACAAACTAAATGTACAAACCATTTGATACTGATTACCTTTTGATTCAATAAGAATTACATGATAATATAATTAATTTACCCCAACAGTGCCATCAGTAATAATTGTAATTGTAGTAATATCAATGATGATGGTAAAAGTGAATGTGACCTTTGATGTCCTCTACAACCTAATTAAGTGTCTCTTTCATTTCAATCAACACTTATGAACACATGTACAACTCACTTTTAGAAAATAAATCTCACCTAACAAACTAAACCAGAGTGCATGAGAACAGGCCACAATGACAAAACTTGCAAAGGCAAACAAAACACATATTGCCATGCGCACACTAAAAAAAAAAAAAAAAGCAAGTGCACTGAGAGTTTAATTATAAGGTAACATTTAACTAAAAAAATTCAATACTCAATTACTTCCCTTAATTGAAAAAAAAAATGCATTCAAAAGTTGTTGCAGATACATGTATTATGTCACTCATTGCTTGTCATGTAAGGTGCTCTGTATTAAGACTGTAGTATCATCTGCTAGTACCAAAAAGATCTGTTCATAATCCTAGCACTAGCTAATGTAAATAGTAATTACCTAGACTGTGTTTCTAGACAGTGTTCACTTCATTTGTAAGACCCCATTTTTAAACTTGTCAGTGCCTACAAGCACACATTTCATCTCTTAAACAAGGAATATTCTGTACTAATACTTTTAATTATAGTTTGCATTGTGTTTATAAATGGTGAACATGCCAGGTATGCATTAAAATAAAAAGTTTACTTCAAAACCTTGGAGGTGTTATAATTCTCAACTTTAGAGCACAATGTCTGCTAAAGAATCTGGGACATCCATTGAGACATAATCTTAGGGTATAGTTTACGGTTAAAGCTTTATTTTGCAGTTTTTGTGGTTTTGTTGCAGTGCTTTACCTGGTTGTAGGAATTTGTGTTTTTTGTGCAGTTGCATTTAGTTGTGTAGTTCCTGTATTTGGAGCTCTTGCTGGTTTTTTTTTTTTTTTTTGTGCAATGTTGTACACATTTGTATAGCTGCAGATGTTTTTGATCTACTCAGCGTGCCTGTGTGTTTGTTGTCAGTGGTAGATTTAGTTTACTACATTAACAGTACTTGCTGTAGTTAATGTAGTTTGTTTGCAGTTGCAGTAGTTTTTGTACTTGATGAAGTTTTGGTAGCCTGTCTAATTGGTCGCTTGAGAGCTTTTTCAAAAGCGGCATATAGACTAAACCATATGCCTCTCATATTGCTAAGAATGTCTATTTCAACACACCTTTGATTCCTTCTTTCTCTGATGTTCATCAGAACAAATGATAATAAATTTGATCTTTTTATCTCACCTGTAAGGTATTCTTTGCATATAAAATGGTGCTGTAATCTTGATAACGAGTGTTGGTAAAATATCAGCCAACAAAACTGTCTGAAAATAACATTCACATGTCAAATGAAATGTTATAAAATTGAAGATGTCATATACCCCCTTCCCTTTTGACCCTAAAAAAAATAAGCATAATTCCATGCATGTCTATGTATCATTTCATCAGTGCATTTAATAAAAACATTACTTTCAATTAATGCAAAATTGTCTTTCCATACCCCAGTTGACAAAGGGTTGCACTTTAAACCATCAGTTGAGTTGAATGACTCAGTAACATCCAATGTCAAGCTTGTGTTGTTTGATGTCTAAAAAACATAAATCAAGATTTTTACGCGGCAAAACACTGTGTATAAAATTATGTATATAAGAAGCTTTAATTTGTGAACAAGGTTTCATAGCTTAGAATACAAACTGAGAAAACAAAGTCAATAAGATATTTATTCCATCTCTGGGTTCAAATAGAGGGAAGAATATTTCAATTCAAACAAGCTTTTAAATTAGCAGGTTCAAACAGTGAAATACAGCCTGCTAAATTGACCAATCATAGTGCACGCACTAACAGTAACAGATATCTATCTAGTCTAACAAATCAAAAAGAAATCAAAGATTGCACAAATCGTTTCTGTCTGTCTTTTTGCCTTGCTCTATAGTGTACTACCATTGCATATTTTGCATGTTCTATTACTGTTTTATGGTAAAATGACATAACAGTGGAATCATAATATGCTTTACACAAATTAATATTTAAGGAAGAATGCAAACCCTTACTTGGTTTCCTTGCCCACTGGTTTTCTCTTGATGAAGAATATCATGAGCAGCACTCAACATAACCACATAACCAAAGTTGTTACATAAGCCAAGAAGCCTGGTAGATGAATAAGAAAAGGGTGGGTAACCTTAGCTAATAACAGTATTTTTAATACTTTTTTATTTTTAACTGGGTTCTGAGTCAACGTGCAAGGAACTTACAGAAACCATCTAACATCTATCTAACAATTTTACTGCACCAAACATACAGCTGTTACGCTGGATGAGCATTGAACTACCAAAACAAATTTGATTCCCTCTTTCACATTGTAAATACGCGATTGTTGAGCTCTCAGTTCAATCTGTTCTACTTTGAATAATTCGGTTAGATAACCAAATTTAGGAATGTTTTTTTTTTTTTTTTTTTTAATGGCCTGTCTCATGAATTTAAAGTGGGAACATATACTAATCACAATTATTATGCATTTATATATCATAGTGTTGATCAAATGGGACAATTTTCTCACCAAAAACCAATTAGATTTCTTTTGCTCTTTCCTTCTCTGCTTCTGCTATCCCTAACAACACCTTTACACGAGAAAATATACAGATAGAAGTTATCAAAGTTTAAAGTAAGATTCTCTAAAATTGGAGATTATTTGCCATCATTTGAGGCCAGTCAGACAGTCTCTGGGTAATGGGCACTCTTTCACGTTACCATTTTGGGGAGAAAGCAAAACAAACTTCTCCAAATGGTCATATCATCAAATTTTGCACCTACAACGTGAGATTGAAAAATTAGCTAGTGCACACCACACCACACCACATCACCAATAGAGCGTTATTCAGTCATAAAACATTAAAATCTTGCCTGTTGTATGATTTTCCTCGTCTGAAACGTTCGAAGACGAATCAATCTCTGTACTTCTGTCATCCATCTTCCGCATCATGAAACCAAAATTGAGAATTCTGATGCTCTTGGAGTAAGATCTTCCATTCGGTTCACCTAATAAGTCGTGATCACGGGAATATATGCAAATTGGATTAACTAGTACGCTATTAACTGTCCTCTGACGTAAGCTCGGTCATAGCACTGGGTCCCAGCACTAGATATCAGTTATTTTAATAACTCTCTCTCTCTCCAACGTACTAAAATACGTTGGAGAGAAACAAGAAATTACAGTGATATTGATTCATCGTACAACAGGTTCTGAAGTGAAAGGAACTGACACTGATGGGACATAATCGATCCCATAGCAAATGTAGTCTTACGTTTGTTCTTTATTTCTTTGATCAAATCTGAACTAACGGGTGAAAAGAAATCCATTGAAATATTGTAACCATCAACCTTGTGCGTGAACAGCCAGTTTAATTTTTTCTTCTATCTATCCAAAAAAATTTTGTTAAACCTATTGTATATTAGAGAAATGGTACTGCAAGAAATAATCACTCCTAGTTAGCAACAGTCACAGTTTTCTCTCGCAGTCTCTTAATTAATGGACTTAATTTTACCGTGAGCCTATTCACCCGAATTGAAGATCAGACAAAAGGCCTGTCTAATGTGCTAAGAATTGAAAGGTGACACGTGGGCTACTAGCGCGACTAGCGAGGGTGTAGGATTTTGAAAGAATCATTCCATTGCAGCGGTATCTATTAGTTAAATCACCATCACTTATCTATCAGTTAAATCTATTAGTTAAATTACTTCTAGCTTTCTTCTTAGTTCTTGTTCGTGAACAACATCTGCTTAGCTTCCTATGTGGCTCTTACATGCGCAACCCGGAATATTTTCGCAAATCTTTCTAAGAAAGAAAGCTAGAGGTGTGGACGAAGAACTAAAATACATCATTTTTCTCTACCCCGGCGTCATCAACCGACGTCATCAACCGTCTGTATTATGATAAATCATAGTCACCCAGCAATCCTGTATCAAGAGTGCTTAGTATATAGTTGTTAGGGGATCCATTTCTTGAAGGATTATAAATAAGTTTGGACGCGAATGTTTTTAGCAATGAAGAATGTCTACTTCATTAACATGTCGATTTTCGTGACTACAGAAATATGTCTAGTGTACACAATCACTGACGACTTCCGACAGATTTTTTGCTTTCAGTATGAAATTGCCCTACCAAAAACAAACTGAAGTGCACGGCATCTGTCAATTTACTGGGATCATGAGAACCCGTATGTATTAAAATATTGGCAATAAACGACCCAACGTGGGGTGCGGAGCTAGAGCCAAACACCGAACAGCAAGACTGAAAACAACACTTTGTGCGTCAGTAGAAAGAAGGATTTCTAACTGAATTCTGCTATTATATGCACAGCCTTGGTTCCGTTATGCCATTTCCGGTTTTGTGGTTTACCTGTGCTTTCGTTGAATTTTAGAGTTGAAACTATTTGCATGGCTACGCTAACTCACTAGGTAAATAAGACTCCGTTTTCCCAATATGCAAAGTGGTACGAAATGAGTTTGCTCAAGTAATTTCCAAGGGAGACAAATCCTTCTCATCCTTATGGAATCCAGCAAAGAACGAGCAAGGTTCTGTGGCAATATTCTGGTGCGAAAGACAAAAAGAAAGAGCTTTCTTGCCAAGTCACTCTTCGAAGGAGTTTTTGGAGTATTGAGCGATAACTTGCTAGAGTATTACCGCAGTTCGGCACAGTGGGTAAGTACCTTAGTGGCATGATCTGTAGAGAATGCTAAAGCTTTTATCTGCTAGTATTACAAAGACCAACGATTAGGAGGCTTATGAACGTTCGTATCTAGCAATAAACCGTTTGGGTTTTTATTGAAGCATTTTTCTGGCCCTTAGCAGGAAAAGTAAAAGGGTAATTCGAAAATCCCAATAAACTCTCCAATTTGTGCTTTGTTTAGCATTGGTTTGGTATGCTTAATTGCTCATATCTCTTCATGGAAGTTACCAAGGGCATCATGGAGTTAATAAGTTAGATCAATGTGTATGGATTCGGTAACTAAAGTGCCAATTGTTACTAAATGAGAGTTCATAGCCTGACTGAAAGAAATGCTACTTCGATCTAAATCGAATACAATCGACAGTTTCCAGTAATTTTCAATAGGAATCCCTGTTTCAATAAAGTTAAAGCGATCACTGTTTCTTGGTTTCTTCACATTTCCACGCATTTTGAGGATCTAAACTGTTTCTTTAAGATACACGATAACTTCAAATATGACTAAATGTCGTCTGCTGAACTGTCAAAGAGACAGTTTCTTTCGGAAACTATGCGCCAAACTTGTCAGTTAGAAGCGCGTCTCAGTTTTCTGACCTTATAGTCAGTTTTCAATGAAAATATCCGAAGAGCCCATCCAACAATGCTAAACGTATATAAAATAAAACGATTACCAGAGACAATGATTTTGGGCAACTTCGCAGACCAGAAATAGTGTTCATTTTGGATACCTTCGCTGTTTAATTAAGTTGTCTGTATTCAGTATAAGCATACACACATAAGCGAAATGTTTATTCAATTTTTCCGTTATTGTTATTGTAATTATCCAATAACATAAAGAGTGGGTGGCATAACAGATATTTCATGCGTAATAAAGTGAAAGTCAACAACAAGCTTTATAAGCGGATTACAAGTTTGCAACAGAAAAGTTGTCGCGAGAGCCACGGAAGAGATTGTCTTTTCGCAGCCTAACTAAGAGGCAGTAAATAATCGCTTCTTCGGAGCGCACTTTCAATGAACATCTTATAGTTAAAACCGCTTACGAAGGCCAATTTGAAGGAAGGAGAATTTCAGAAAGAGCTGCGTGGAAAAGCGACAGATCGAAATAAGTCAGGATTTGTTTTTGCTCTTCATCTAATTAGCTGAGTAGGTTTTTTGTCACAAAGCTCAATGAGGCAACATCATTGCAATCAAAGATTGCCTCCGACCAAAAAGACCACAAATTAGAGTTTAATGAGAGAAATTGTGACTATTACAGGGGAAAAAAATTCGTGAAAAAAGGAGATTTAAAGAACTTTTGTGAGTGAACACAGCGGCCATATGGAAAGGGCAAAATAATTTTGTTGATCTTTGGATTGGACCACGAAAAGGTAAAATGCTGGTCCGCTGGAAATTTTTGTCTTGGGTCAGCCTCGGCCGCCATGTTGGTACTTTGTAAACTTTGTTTTCAATTTCCGGACTCAAGAGCCTTGACGGAAATTAAAACCCATTTAATGCTATCTTTTAAAACACGAACATACGCACACAATTATAAAAAGACAAAGACAAAATTTCGGTAAATGTCCAATGATATTGAACTCAGGCCTTAAAGAAAAAAAAAGCAACAGACATGTATATGCAGTAAATTCTTCTCAAGAAAATTTCTCTCTTGAAGTAGATGCGGATCTGAATAAAAAGAATTTCGAAGGCAGCGATAAAGTAAAATATTATTTCCCATAAAATATCATAATTCTTTTATTTTTGTTTTTGTTTTTGTTTTTGTTTTTTTTTTGATCAACACGTTTTTTTCGCTGCTCAGACAAAAGGAGAAAAACCTGATTTTTTTCTCGAACTGCTCCACATCCAATCAGTCGAAGAAGTAGACGATGATGCATTCAGTCAAGCGCTTTGTTTTCAGGTTGGTGTAACTTGTTTAACGATTCGTATAAGTATCTGTAATTACGCTGAAGTACTATCGCCAATTAAAACGCAGATGCATACACAACCCAAAATGTCACTAGTTTTTCAGTGAATTAAGTTGGCTACTTAGAGAAAAAGAATGACAGCTGTGAATCAGATTTTACTATTTCTTTTATAATTATTTGCCTCACTTGACCTCCTCATACACCTACACAAGGAGAAAACATCCGTACGTATACCATGTATCGATTTTTACGAGGCAGGGCGCTTGCTAACTATACCTAACAATAGGGAGGGTGCTTGTTCTAGGTTGGGCGCTGCTTATTAATGGAATAGATACGATATTCTCGATTGCAGGTAACATATCACTGTCGCACTAAGAAGGATAATTCTAATACTCGGACCCTTTACCTCTCCGCTTATGATGTGGAAGAGTTGGAGTCATGGCTGAGTTCTTTACGATCAGGTGCGTAAACTTTTTATTCTTGACGTGATACCTTTTTAAAAAACGTTTGTTTTTAATTGTCGTGCATTCACAAAACCACGAGTTTTTCCTGTTGTGGTACATATTAATCCTTCGAATATTTACCGGGGAAATCTCTTTTACACACTTAAGAGGAAAAGCAGGAGCGGAAACCTGTTTAGCGCGCGCAGGTGGATGATATATAGGTGCATACATTAAATTTCGCTGTACTGTGGTGCCCAAATGGGTGAATTTTCAGCTTGTCTGGACAATCCAGTGTGCCTGACCCAGTACCATTCGGGTCGCTTTACCGGAAAGGGATGGTCGTGTTGTAAAGCTACCTCATTTCGAGGTTCTGCTGGATGCAAGCCAAGTACCATATATGGTAAGTAAAAACGTAAGCTAAGGAAGGAACATTATGTTAGCCTCTCCCACTAAATATGGGCCAGCTTTTGTTTCATTGTACAATCAGTTTTGTTGTAAGCATTAGGTCATTTCCTTGTAATCCATTTACGAGAAGTCCAGTAGTGCATAGTCGAAGGACTTTTCCAAGCCGCCTTTATCTAGAAACGCACGCGTAAAACCAAAGATATTCTCTCTTCAATACCATGTCACAGTCTCGGCATTCATTCCATAATCAATTGAAATACACTTGATAATGAAAACATCTTGACCCGAAATGTTGCCTTCTTTTGCCAATGCTCTTCTACTTTATTTCCTAGGAATTCCAGCTGCAAAGAAGCACAAGGTAGTACAAAAGTATATAAATTGGTTATTATAAGTGAAAGAATCAAAGAGGACGCATCGATTCTCTGTTACTCTTAGTTTCGCGCCTAAGCGCTCGTTAAACAGACGAAATTAAATACATTGTGAATTCAATAATGATAATAATGATACCAATAGTAAAAATCAATAATATCAATTTTGATAATCATTAATATTTTTTATTAAAAATATTGTTATTATTGTTACTGCAACTATTATCATTATTTTTATCACCACTACAATTATTATACTTAAAATTTTTTGCTTCGTAGTTATCACCGGCTATCAACTTTCACGGCTTCGGAGTAATTGCATTGGAGACTCATTTCTCAGACATGCCAGGGAGCCTTCCTTTTAATGCTGTAAGTCATAATATCAGTTATTTACTGACAATTTTCCTTATTCTCGACATTACACTTGAGAGCTGAGTTTTCTTCATCGCATTAATTATGCGTATATTTAAAGGAAAAGCAATTTTCCTGTTATTTTGCTTATGGTTTTCTTTAAACTACCAGGTTTATCAGATTTTTCCAAAAACTTGATGGAAGATGTTCCGGAGTGTCCCCGAAAAATGCCGAAAACGTTCCGAAAATTTACGAAAAATTGTATGGGAGGCTGGGACTACTTTCAACGTGAAACCCCACGGCAATCACTTAAGACATTCGTGATTGTGCTCTTTAAAGAGACAATGCGAACAAGCTAAAGGCTTAGAATTTTTCAATATTAATGAGAAATTTTGTGATACAAATTTTGATTTGCATGGTCACGGATAATCTTGATAGTTTTCAGAAATGTTTAGTTGGGTGTTGCAAGAAGTTTGCTTTGAACGGCATAGGCTAATCCACATTTTTGCATTGTTTTCTAGTATTAAGTCGTTACAGATTTCATTTAGATTTATTTATCCAATCGTGTGGATCGATGTTATCATAGGGTGATCATCTGACGGTGTCTGGTGCTTCTGGTAGTGTGGAATGGAAAGCTTTTTCAACTACATCGTAAGTGAGAACTATTTGCATTTAGATATTACGTTTCTAAAAGTACATTTGAACTTTATCGTTCTACACAGCATCAGAGTTGTCTTACGTTACAAAATCCTGTTCATATCTATTTTCATTAAACTCGTCCAACGGAAAAAATTCAAATCACTTCCAGTTCCCATTCCTTTTCCCCTTCCCCTAAATAAAATGAAGACAAATTAAAAATACTTCTCAAAACTGGAGCATCGTCATATTACGGTAGTATAACGTGTTTCTAACTTAATAAACACGCGTCCTATGGTAACATTTACTGAGTGCTTTTACACTTTAAAGGACGAGTGGATATGGTTACATTCCAATAAATCTTGTGAAATTAAAGGATCTCGACGAAGAACCGTAAGTAAATGGCGATATTTACCCACAGGTCAAATTATGTTATAAAGATATCATATTTTGTTAACACTTATTTGTGCATCGATGCAGGTGGTTTTTTGGCGAAATTCCGACGTCTATAGCTACGGCCATTTTGAGAGATCAGGTACGGTAATAACTGAAACGTCGAAATACTTCAACTTATCAAATCATTAAGACATGCTACTGGATATCTCAAAAAAGACGACCCAGAATAAGAAATCAAACTACACGAGAGTGAAAAAATCTGTGGTTAATAACCAAAAACGTACTCAGCAATTTCGGGTGATGGCCGACAAAAAAGAAATAATAGTTAATCTTGTTTATTGGTATGTTATCGGGACCATAAATTGAGATATAACATTAATTGCGAAGCAGAAAATACTCGAGTATCATAAAGTGCATTATCTTCTGTTTAAATACAAAAGATTAAAAACTGGTAAATAGAACTCTAATCATTCCTCCTCTTGAACAATCCCTGTTGGCAATGTAGGTTCCGGGATGTTTCATCTTAAGAAGCAGTGGACTGGGGACGAAAACTATTTTGTCGTTCAGGTTAGTGACGTTTTTTTACGTATATCATATGTTTGATTAGAACCAGTAAAATTGAAACAATAGAGTCAGTGGATGATAGGAAAGCTGTTTACCTGACAAAATACGCGTTTATTCATTTTTTCTTCTTTTTTTTTTTGTCTTCTCGTCTACTTTTTTACAGAATGGACAGAACAGTGAAACACATAGAGGTCCTTCTCGATGAGGCAACTCAGAAATATCGTGTCAAAGACGAATCTGACGCAGTGTGCTATGCGAATTTCCTACAGTTTGACAGCATACAGCAGCTGCTGGATCAATGCAAGCAACATCCAAGTAATACATGAATGGACGCATTAATTTCTAAAACTTGGTTTAAGATATCGCTTTAAGTTCTTTTCCTTAGAGAACTCAGCAAACGCAATACTAACTGATAAATTTACGCATTTTGCCAGATGCTCTCCCAAATACCCATGAAATATTTATGTGTCTAACGCATTATGGCTTTTTTTGCCGAATGAAAAGAAAAATCCTACAAAAGCTCAGAAAAGAGAATCGAGTGAGTCACCCCTAAACAACTCAGTTTTTCAACTCTGTCAATTTTCCAATGAGAAGGAGAAAAGACACTTTTGCTTATTAAGCATATCTTTAAAGATTATATCTTTCAATATCTAGTAGTTCAAATGTTTTGTTTTATCTCGAAATCTCAACACGATGAAATCTATTGTGATGCATTTTGTTTGATTGCAGCTCTTGGAATAACCCTGGAGAAATATCCCACCATTAAAAACGCTGACGGTAAATTGTAATTAGGCGCAGCTAGCATTTTACTTACCAGAAAAGTCAGTTATAGATCAGATAACTAGTAGTGGGACTCCAAACCATATAATGAGGACAACGAAACATCGTATTTATAGAAAACAGGTAGAGATACGGAATGCTTAGACTTTCCCATTCATATTTATGTGGAGAAAAACGGGACCTGATTGTAGCTTAGCAGCTCTTAAACAATTCGGAGCAAACAAAGATGGAAGTCACTATCTTTAAGTCAGAAACAGTCAGTCAAGAGGTGTAGCAAAGACATCTTTTATCACTTATATATCTCAGCTATATAAGTTGTTATTCGTCTTTTTGTTAATTTTTGGTAAGTCTAACTTATAATTTGTGTTTGATCTTCTTCCGTCCTGAAGCATCTTTCACTTACCATTGACATGTTTTTTCTTTATAGAAATATGGAGGGTTGACTGGGGCGAGATTGAAACTGGGGGAGAATTCAACGCAGATCTTCCATGGGTAAGCTTAGTAAGCCCGAGTGTCGCCGAACGATTTTCACTGAATGAAAACTTTATGCGTAAATTAAAGTATTTCTGTCACAAAGGAGATACGCCAAAGACACGTTGGTGAAGAAAGGTGGAGGGGAGATGCGGCGGGCATTTTATTTATACAAAGTCCTGACAGTTGTAACTCGTTTTAGGCGTCCTCAATTATCAGCAATGCTTAATCACGTTGACACGTAAAGAAAGTTATTTTTATCATTACTGTTGTGAGGGAACCGGCTGAAAACCCCGTCAGCAAGTTGAATGTGGTGCCCATCGGAAAGTAATAGAATGATCCAAAATGCATTGCTTTTCTGTAGAATGTCAGCTATGGAAAATTTCACAGCAAGGATGCCTTGATCCACGTTTTACCGGAAGGAAGTTCTGATATATTAAAGGAGAAGTTTAGTAACCAGGCCAGACTAATGATGTGAGTAAAAAAAAGATCATGCTCTTCTAAACACACTGACGGTTGAGAAAGGTTTCTTGCGTGGAAACTCACCCCTTGAGTATTTATTATCTGAAAGGTCTGCTAAACACACTTAAAAGGCTTTGGATTAAGTAAAAGACTGGCTAAAGACATCTAGATTAGCGGAGTGAATGTCTGATTGCTTGACTAGTGACTATGATGAACAGGGAAAGTTTGAAGACAACCAATCGCTCAGACTTTTTACTGTTCCTCCTCTGTTGTTTTCGCAGGATCTTTAACCATGACAATGTAGTAAAGTTACAAGGAGTGGGAATTAAAGGACCGCGCAGTTTTATGGTTCACGAATATCTGTCTAATGGTAATATGCAGGATATGATAACTCTATATGATTGCATTTTGAGTTCGTAAGGCAGTTAAAGCTTTAATTTAAGCTAACCCACACATGAATTGACAAACACATCCTCTTCCATAATAGCCATGCCTTGAGCTACTTTATAAAAAACGTACTTATGAACAAAACATAATTGTCAAAGACCATTTTCCTTCAATTTCACGACGCCACTCTTAAAAACTTCCAAAGGGTCTCAAATGACAGCTTCAAATTTAATTATCTATTCGGTGACATAATATGTAACATGCAACTGTGGCTAAGTTGCCTTCGTATTTAAACCTTTTTTTATTTTATTTTCAGGAGACCTTTCAAACTATCTGACGAGAAACTCTTCTCTGTTACTTTCCTATCCCACGGAATTGGGGCATATCATGAATCAAGTGATCAACGGAATGGTCTATCTGCACGAATGCCGTACAGTACACGGCGAGTTGGTTAGTACTAAAACTGAGGTAGATAGTACCACTAATTTTCCAAGTTGCTTTAACTAACACTGAAACAACACAATCTGCATTAGTTTGATAAAAAAGGTACATTGCATGAAGGTGTCCGTTGCTGGTTCAAAAATCACTAATTCTGTTGTGCGGTACCAACACATTTATGAAGAGTAAATCTTGTATTAACAAGCTACTCTATCCTCCTGATTCTGAAAAATAACCTTTTTTGATGAACAAAGAACTAAATTATTTTCTTCTAAGACTTATGAAAATTATTTTGGGAATATAACTGAATCATACACCTAACAGTAATTTATCAGGTGCAGATCAATGGGATTCGTTTTCCCGATATAGTTTCCACAATAACATTTGGTCGAAAACAAACAAACAAACAACCAGGCAATGAGGGAAAGAAAGAAGAGTTAGCCAAATAACAAAGCATAAAGAAAGACCTATTTGAAGTTCTTACAGTTATCTTTCTCAATCTTTGCTCTATTCCTTTGAAAACCAATGAAGGCATTTAGCATGAGACCTTGTTGATTCCTACGTCAACCGTCGTTTTTTAATATGTCAAATCCAGACAAACTTACCTCGGCATTTCTATTTGGTTTTTCAGCTTATCCTCTTTGGTATTGTAATTGATGTGCTTTATTTTTCTTGTTTGTTTTCTGATTTCGTCCTCGTTGTCAGGTTCCCAAGAACTGTCTTGTAGGCGATAAAGGAACAATAAAAATATCCGGCTTTCATTGTGCAAGGTGAGTCACTATTTGCAAAGGCAGAGTGAGACATGAATAGGCAAAAACAGAGAGAAATAACCAATCGAACAAACAATAGAGAAAACAACAAACGAATAGAAATAAAAAACAAACAACTAGAAAACAAACACTCAAAAAGTCACTCAAATGCAGATCCTGTTAGGGTCGATTAAGTGACCCCATTTTGTACTCTTGTTAGTTGTTAGTAAGATTTAAAAACCCTGAAAAATCTTATAGAAGAGATGATAATGAAATATTTTTCAGACAGATGAAAAAAATTTGAAAAAAAAAATTAAATTAAATAAATTTGGGCAAATATAGATCTCCCTGGTGCAAGAGAGCACTCTCGGACGATGTTTACAAGAACAAGATCCCCATTCCAGCCCCTGAACTTATGGAGTCTACAGGATCGTTTCCGTCAGACGTCTGGGCTTACGGTTAGTTAACTCATATTGCACTATAAGTCACCAAAATGCAGGCTTATGTATAAATTGCCTTTATTTTCACAGATTTTGTTTGTTCTCTAGTGACTGAACATGATATTTTGCAGGTTTATTCATCTTTGCTGTCACCACAGCGATCCAGCAACCAATAACAGATTTAGAGCAGGTGCGTCGCAAGTATTTTCACACTGCGTTGTTTAAGAACAGACTAGATGATATTTTTTGCAATAATTCAGGCTTCAGACCTCAGACTTCAGACTTGTACTGTCATAAAATGAAAAGTCTCCGAAAATGGAATTAGAGAATTTTTGAAAATTACCTCGGTGAAAGAATCCCTCTCTTCTTTAAATTTGACGAAATTCTAAAATTTTAATAATCGATGTCGACAGAAAATGTTGTTTACAGTTGCTGCCAGGCTACATAAATTCTTCGTGTGGCTTACGTGCATTGTTTATGACACGATAATATCGCAAAATCTATTGAAGGCAAGCATAGGCTGAGAAACAGTGCTTCATCATAAATACGAGAAAAACTGGTTCTTGTCCGCTGATTAACCCTTTATACCCAGTAACCGATCTGTTTGCTATTCGATATACTATTTCTCTATACATTTCATATGGTATTTACAAGGACAATTTCTTCCATAATCAGTAGCTGCCTGGCTTCGTGATCATTTCCTTTACTCTCATGACCTTAATGTTTGATTCGGGGCTGATACTGTTGGAAGAAATAAGATGCTCATCAATCAATGCTTAATTGGTTAACCTCGGTGTTCTTTTTGTCTGATGATAAGGTATTACAGTTCAAACGGAAGGACGACACATTGGACAACGTTTCCAGTTTCATTGATAAGATTACTATGTGCTTGCAAGCGGTATGTTGAACATCAAATAGTAACTGGAACAATGGATAAGCCAAATCAATTATGTGCTTCCCTGCAGCTCAACCATACTATACCTTATCCAAAATCGTGCTATAATGTCCAGTAACAATCGAAGCGCATTGAAAACCCTATTGCGCAAAACGATTTAGTGATTTCCATGACTGACCAGGGAACTCTTGAACCTCTTGTTAACTTTTGGATCCAAACTATTCAAGTGAAACGTCTCATTAACAGAATTAGAGCCAGAGCCACATATTTTACGCTTGATAAAAGTACCTCTTCTAATGCTACTTTAGGAACCTATGGCTCGCCCAACCTTTCAAGATCTTCGTGACTCACTTTCAGAGAAGGTTGGATCTTCGACCCCAAGTTGTTCTTCCCATTCTTTGGAAGGTGAGACAATTTCAATTTCCTATTACATATTGGTAAGGAGGTGGTCGGTACATTACTACTTTTATGTTAGGTTAACAGCCACACTGCCCTTGACTTTTACTACATGTCACTCACATGCACTTGTGGGCTCTGGTGGAATAGTGTTAATGAATCTCCCATACATAGGCAATCGATGTAGACCTAGGAGGTGTCTGATGCCTCTATAATTTTTCCTTCACCGACAGACCCACTGAACGTGCTGAATTTTGCTGATGAAAATTCAAAATCTATCGTCAAGAAAAACAAAGATACTATGGTGGAATCATTTGAGGATGGCAACGCTGCAATGGATTGGGACGATACTGACATACCAGCATCTTATGATCAGGAAAAACTGAAACAACGACTTCGAAGTGCCGAGTTGGAAGCGTTAAAAGCAAAAGCTTTGCAGAAAAGAGCTGAAGCTGCCAAAGACTCCATCCTTGCTCAAGTCCAAGAGGCGGAAACAAAGTGTTTGAAAGAAGTGGAACTAATGACGAAGACCTTTCTGTTACGATTAAACGAAGCAAACGATCGAGCAGTCGAAGCCGAACAAGCACGCTACATCGCGGAAGAGGTGAAGCGCCTTACTGAAGAGAAGTACACACTTTACAAGTACGAAAGTGAGAAAAATATGCACGAGCTGAGATCTATGTTTGACGATACCCTTCTCGAGAGGGATGAGTTAGTCGCAGCCTTGAAATCCGTTGGCAAAGATTTCGATGCAACGGAGTTGATTTCTCCAAAAAGGAAAGACTCCATCAACCAACTAGAAGAGAAGTATCAGCGGTACATTTCTACAAGTGATCGAACAATACAAAGCCTGAAGACACAACTAAATGGAGTTGTAAAACAGAGGGATGAGTTAGCTATCCATCATGAAACCACAAGGAACGAAATGAAAGACACTCGAGAAGCGTTGGATCAAGCAAAAAAAGAGAAAGAAGAATTTCAATTCAGGTTAGAAGAGGCACAATTTGAAATAGAGCGACTAGAAGAGATGATCTCAACCATGACTCAAAAACGTCAGCAAGCAGAACGTGAGAGAGACCAGTTACAGATGCTTACGGACATGTCTCTGATGAAACTCAGGCAGGCGGAATCAGAGGCACCAAGGAAAAGGGCTTCCCTGTGTTCCTTTCCACCAAAGATTGACGACCGTCCCAAAGAAAAGAGAGATCCTAGTCTAAGAAGACTTTCTGAACAATTATTGCACTTGATCGATCCTCCATCGGAAGAAATTCCACTAAAATCAAGTGATAATGTCGTCGACGAAGGAAGTGAAACTCAAGAGACGGAAAGAAATATGACAAAGTCCGGTACTGCGATCGAGAACGTATCGTCTCATGGAAAACAGAAACTACGGAGGCTTGGAAAAAGTGCAATGCCCTTGATACCACAGATAAAGAAATTTGCTCCATTCAAACCAATAAGTCGCAAGCAAAATTACTTTCACCAGAATGCGTCAGATGGACACTATTCAACATCAGCTGCGAATAACGTTTACATCAACATCGACCAAAACGTAAAATCACAAAATGACACTTGGCAGGAGGCTGTGAATGCACATGAGGAGCCTGAAAAAACGACGTTTCCCGAAGACCATCCAAACCTCTCTGATTTCGTTTCATCAAAGCAATTTACGATTCCAACTTTGCACATAGAGGAGGCGGATACTGACTCTGATATGGACCATGGGAAGGAAGTTCCGCAGATTGCAATTTCAGACTTTGATAATACAGAACTCGCAATAACCGAAGTCGACGATGACGAAGAGTACAGTAGTTATGAAACCGACGGCCAAGACTCTCCAATGTTCATCATAGGAGACCAAGAAGGTCAAACGAGAATTGTTTACAGTGTCGACGACCTTCCAAAGCTTTTAGAGGGAATCCCTCAAACAAACCTCTGATGAAAAACTCGAAAACATATTAACAAAACCTTTCTTGCATGACTTTCTTGCAAGACTTTACGCCGTTATTGTATATATTATAGGGTAGTCATGGGAAACAGGAGGGAAGTGTTCAAGTACATCATCATTTACCATTTCCACTAAATTAAAAATGTTTTCAAACAAAGTAAAAAAAAAATTGGAGAAAACCTTATCTAACCCGACAGATGGAGATCACCTGCACATCCATCACCTTTATCATTTGATAAAAAGTTTTGTGAGATTAATTTTTGTTTATGTCCTGCACTACATTTTTTCAGGAAAAAAAACAAATAGAAAATTATCCATAAACATTTTATTCTTCTTCCAATATTTTCTTCAGAGAATATTTCATGAAGTATCTTTTGTTTTTGTATTCCACTTCAAAACTCTTCAAAACTCGAATAACTAGTGATAAGATATCGTAAGCTAATCGCAAGTGAAATGCAGTAACTAAACTTTCAAATAGAATAACTTAGTTGAAACAATACGCAGATGATTTGGATTTGCGGATCACTCCTTCATATGATCTACCGAGCCACGTCTTTTATGAGATGATAAGCAGTTGTCTTGATTCGTGATAAAATTTATGGAATTGATTTCGTGCATCCCTTTCAATTCGAAGTGATTTAACCTGACCTTGGAATGCAGCGTAAACATGATTCATTACCAATTTTTGTAACAAACATATGTTTTAATTTGTGCAGATAAGCCAGATAAAGTGTTGATATAAAAGGAAACGATAGGTCCAACATGATTAGTAATAGGCGTATCCCGTGTGCCGACAAGACGTCCTTGATATACAATGAATCTTCATCAGATTTTTTTACCGTTTGTCATCCTTGCAAATACTTTGTTTGCGGTGAAAGGTAAGACAATTGGTTATTAACATGGACAACCGTCATTTTTCTTATAGTAAATTCTGAAGCGAATATCAAGCGGGTGAGAGGCGGGTGCGCACTACGAGCTGTAACAATATATGCCCTGGAATCTCTCCCATTTCTCGATGCTACTTTTCTTTTTATCATTACTTTAGAAATCCCTTTTTGTTTTTATCAAAGTTCAAATTATTGGACGTTTTGCACACTAAAAGTAGAAATCATTTGTTGCAAAATAAAATAATATTATTCATCAACGGTTGCATCAGTTGCCACTATTTCACACTGTTTTCTAATTTGAAAACAATTTGAAAATGTTTGCTCATTCTATGTATAAAATGTAAGCAATTAAAAGGAAAGTGTTTTTTTTCCGAGCTACGTTCATTTTATGGAGGTATTCTTCAAGTCCGTGCAGTTACAGGCGAAACTGTCTAAAATATGAGGAGTTGATTATGTCAGCGTCTTCGATATAACATTTCATTAAATTAACATCATTAACTCTAAAAAACAAACAAAGATAGAAAACGCTTGCATTGTTTAATACAAATTTCGACTTCAGTTGTTTGTTAGTGATCAGAAATCGAACTATTGCTCCCATAGAGAATTCTTCATAAGTAAACTGTGCGTTATCTCTGTTATGCCCTGTTTTACTTGCAAAAAGAAGTCAAAGGGATCACGACTGCGCGTGTCTCGCATGTTTTCTTTGACTATTTTCCCATTTAACTGTATTAACATATCACATTCATCATTTTCATGCGGCAATTCGGTAATTCTGTTGGCTTAAAACCTTATGAACTCTATTCAGGATTAACTCCCAAGGTTACGCAAAAATAAAATTATACTCACATGTGGGTATTTAATGGCTGAGAATGTTCTCATGCATGTCATCGAAACGTCCATTATCAAATATTTATTTGCTCTTTACAAAAATATAAACTTCTTAACGTTCCTACTTAAAGAGGTTATCTTACTTTTAAGAAGCGGCGTGGTCTTTAAATCGTATCAAATAGGTTTTGTTATCTTTAAAGTTTGTTATCGTTATCTAATAAAGTTTAAGCTTATAAATTACAACAGATGCGAGGGGAAAAAAAAAGTTGGTCGACACCTAATTATTATCTCACTAATCTGCCAAAACTTGGTGGAATTTTAATGTGTTTAAAATTAATTTTTGGACGATCTGTTTACAATGTCTTGAGGCGCGCGCAGTTTGCAAACGAGGTACTGTCTAATGATAAGGACACGTGGGATGCTTAATGCAAATTCTGGTGTTAAGTGGCTTACCCTTAGTATTAAAAAGCTTTTGTTTAGAACCATACAGAAAGGCTTAAAGTATTTAATGGAAGACAAGGCCTTTCAACCACACAAGTGTCATATAAAAGAGTACTTTAATTAAAATCTTATTTAGCGCATTATTCTCTCTATCTCATTAGAGTTCATAGATCGCCAACTTAGCGTTACTCGATCAGACCGTTACGTCAAAAATGACATGACATGATCTGGTCATGTTATGACGAGACTGAATGTATTACTTGCGATGAAGTAGTCCAGAAAGGACTAAGGACGCTTATTTTCCTAAGAAATTAGGTCTGGAACAGATTTTCACTTGCCTTCACCGACTGAGAGCCCATATCAGACTAAATAAAAATGCACCCTGTCAGGAATTTTTTTCTTCTCTCGTTTATTTCTTGCCTTGGAACGATTTCCTAAAAATCCTAGGCAATGACCTAGAGTACCATTCATTTCAGACTTTAAGGAATAAATAGATCATAGCAGAAAAACACCATCATGAATGACACTGTTTCCTTTGTGCTTGAAGGAACTTCTCTTCAGACTGGTAAGCTTAACATTTCGCAAACATTTCAACAATGGAGCTGTAACAGTGGCTGCACTCCTTCCTTTCACTGCCGTTTGCCTCGTTGCTCTAGCGTCGCATTTCCTAGGACGTTTAGTGGATCCGAGAAGGTATGAATGAAGGAAAGTATAAATCTTTTCACAGGTTTGAATTGCATTCTTGTCATACTTTCTGTTTCGAGATTTGCGCGTATTTGAAAACAACATAACAAGAGAATACAAACGTAAAGCTCATATGTCCTTGCCGCCAACGCTTTACTTCCAAGAATTTAATTTAACCTTTTTAAGCCACGAATGACGGAAAAACAGCGTAATAAACTTCCCAAGCAAAATAATGATTTTTTAGTTTCACTTTGTAACTCAAGGTGCAAGTTCACGTGTCACTGAGCTATGGCGAAGAGTTTTCCCGTGTTCACTCTCCATCAACTATGTGGGTTAGATCTATAACCACACGTGGATTTGACGTGTGTGTCCGTGAAACAGGCTCAGCAAGGAATGAAAGTGGTGTTATCAACTGGGTGGCTTTCCAAGATCACATGGGTATGATACACGGAAGTCTTGAGTTCAGCGGAATCTGGACAACAGAAACAAAGTGTAACAAAGTGGACTTTTCAAAAGTTAGTCAACCCCGCTTTTTTGTAGCTTGTTGTACAATGATGATGAAAAACGCGTGTATTAGGAACGAGTTATGCCGCATAGCTACTCATTCTAAGTCGTTCAAGGTCCCAGATGCATTCTGGGCGAAGCTAAAAGGGGTCACTATCAGCAACACCAAAAATGGCCAAAAACACTTGCTTCCCCTCAAACTTGAAATCGAGATGGAAAGGTTGATTTGAAAATAATAATATAGGACCTCTCACGGAAAGAATACTCCCGACAAGTATGTTTATCTGAAACATTCTTAAAATTATTTTTGAACAACGTTCTATCAACTCTTGTTGTTTAGAGAGTATCATGGATACGTTGGTGGTAATGGCAAAAGATAAGTAAGTTTCATCCCTATTCTTACGCTGACATGAGTAGCATATGTATACGGCCATACAAAATATTAGTACCGAGAACGTCTGCTTAGAGGACAATGAAATAATTGCAGGGTTTTGGTGGTATTCCTTTCGTATTTGTCTCCGCTAAGTACAATCGTAATACAAAACCCGATGACGCCATGTATGTTTGACTGGAGAACATTAAACATGGAAGTTTCGAAGTGTGCATCCGGGAGTTCCTGCCGTTTGACGGACAACACCAAGATACAATTGTGGTAAGCAAGCTGATTGACGCTTTCCATAGAAGACCATCCACAGTGATAGGCTTTCATTTTCCGCTAGTTTCCATTGTGCGCTACTTTACAATTTTTCAGTATTTTTTTAAAACACCATCGAATTCAGAAGTAAGAAGCCCAATCTACCCTCTTTTTACCATACGTTTGGAGTAATTGCTGTTAAATGTTTATTCAGATTTTGCTGCTATTTGTAACACATGATTATTTAAAAAAAAAACAGAAGAGATTTGAAAATGATTCGAAAATATTACCAGCACTCTAAAGATCCTATTCTTTTCTCCCTTCTTAGTAAAATTTCAAAGATATCAGTCATTGATGACAGTCTCGCGCACCTGCCATGGCAATTCCGCACTATCACCTTCAGATGAAAAGAGTCTATGCTAAAATTGTCCCCAAAAATGGTTATGATATTGAAGATAATTCATACCATGGTAGAGCTTATATAACTAACTGATTTCCGGATATTTTTTCTTTTCTTTTTGGAAGCATTTTGTTCTTTACTCTTTTGTTAGGACTGGTTTGCCTTCACTGGAAGTGGCACAGACCTAAATTTCACTTTGACAGGAGAAGCTAGGTTTGAAAACAGGAATACCCCAAAAGTTGAGGACAATTATGGTTTCTGTCAAGTAAGTGTCTGAGGATGTGCGACCCTCTTTACACCCTTTACTATTTTGAACAGTCATTGTCTCTTAATAGGCTTAAAGCTGTGTTTTTTCTATTTGTTTATTTGCCTATCTATCTACATATAGAGAATAATACATGGGTGCGCGTGAATATGAAATTTCTCTTCGAGTGTTTAACTCTCCAGTTTACAAAAAGGACGAAGTAACGATAAAATCGAACTATCGGCCAGTCAGCGTTCTCTCCACAATACCTAAACTTTTCGAGCGCGCTAAGTTTGACCAACTCTACCATGCATTTGCCCCGTTATTCTCGGACAATATGTCAGGCTTTTTGCGTGGTCACTCGTGCTGCACTGCACTCGTGAAGCTCTCTGCGTGCGGCACTGGACAAGAAAGAAAGCATAGGGGTAGTGGCTATTGACCTTTCCAAAGCCTTTGATTCAGTCTGCTACAATTTGCTACTCGCTAAGCTTAAAGCATATGGAGTGCGCCAGGAGGCTCTGGAGCTTATACAGTCTTATCTGTCTGACAGATTCCAACGTGTTAGATGCAATGGGTCCTACTCGAACTGGCTGCCCGTGCGCTGCGGGCTTCCGCAGGGTAGCTTGTTAGGACCTTTACTTTTTAAGAGGCTGTCTCTCTTATTTCCACCCGGTCAATTTTGCGTCAAAAATAATTTTGCCTGAAACTCTGTTAACAGAAAGACTTTACCTAGGAAAGAACTAAATTAGATTTGGTTTGATTCGAAATAATTTTCTGACTGCATTACGGGCCATAATTATTTCCCAGTCCTTAGGGACCGTCGCAACGTCTCGAAAATTGAAAAATAGGCATATTTTGTAACGTTGTAAAATATTTGATTCGCATAGTTAAGCCACAGAATTTATATCAGATTGCTTAAAAACCTTTCTAGTTTGCCAAGAAAGTTAGAATTTGCCCTCTCAACATATTTGAAAAGGCGAATTTTAGCATATTCTGACCACTAGAAATCGCCATCGGCCGATGGCCGTAAATGACCTTGATTTAGACGCTAAGTTTTGGGATTTGGGACCTGGTTGACGATTCTATCCTACACAGCCGTTAAGTTTAGACCTTTATAGGCAAAAATAGGCAAAAATATGCAAAAACCCCTGTACGTTTTCGATTTTTCAAAAGTTATGACCGTTTGAATCAGCACATGTACGAGCATTCGCGATTTTTTCGCCTACACCAAAATCGAACCACTGGAGCAGATTTCGTCATAAATACAGCTTACCCGCTTTGCAGCCCGGCTTCATGGCTCACTTCAGAATTTTTCTAATAACCAAATTGGTGAAATCCATGATAACTTCAAAAAATAGCTAGGTATTGCCTTCGAAAAGTAGGCGGCATCCATCGTGATTCGTGGTATCAAAACAAATGTGGAAATTGGCCACATTTCGCGGTGAATCACCCATTTAACATCGCTGCAGAGCTGAATTTATCCAAAATCAGAATATAAACTCTCCATGTCTGGAAACTGAGGGAGAAATGAAGGTTTTAGGCTTCTGAAGTGAAGAAATAATCGCTTAAATTTAGATCAGTTCGATGTTATACTGTTCTCACAAAGGTCCGCACAAAAGAGAAGACCGCTGATAGCTTGTGCCGTACGTTGTGCCATATGGTTTTGTTTTGTATCCCAAAGTAATATTTGGGCAGAAAAATTTTGGATGAAAAGAATAAATGCTTTTACCTGGAGTTTGATATCATATAATTAATAAATCAATTTCAAATATCCTGAGCTTGCTTCTCTCGGTTCCGCGTCGATTGTGTCCACAGAACAGCAACCTGTCAATAGCCAGAAAAATCGGCTACCAACGTGTTAAAAACTTGACACATGCTTCGTATGAACAGATGTTATAAGTGTTGCTTTTGGTAAATTTTCAATCGATTTCATCAAAACATTTCACTGTCTACTAGATATTATAATATATTACACTATAACAACGCCGTCAGAACTTGATATCGGAAGTAAAGATAGTTTGTATCTGTAGAGCATATTCTACACTTTCAGCCACCGTATAAGACATTGTTTACATAAGTCTACTGAGAAACACACTGACAATCACTAATCACGTCCGACAGTTTGTCTGTGAGGATCTGTTTTTTGTCTCTCAATCTTACAGGGATCTCAAAATGACTACAGATGGCTCTCAACAAAACCACATTGAATTTCTGAAGTGTGTTATTGTGGTAACGTTCACAGAGGTCCTACGTATCGTAGCAGATTGGATGTGAGACTTTGATCTCTTTGTTAACTTTGTCTACCAGATCTTATCTCTCGGAATTTTCCTGGACGCATTGGATATCTTCCTCCTCATCCAGTGATATCCCGATCACACCCTGATCTTTTTGCCGCATTGCTGCTAGCCGGGAGAAAAAGCTCTGAACTTGGCTCTTTGTCAGCCACTGTTCTCTAGTGAACAAACGTGCATTTGATTCATTTTTCGCATTTCGCATGTCCACTGCAACTTGGGCGGGGTCGGCCTTTCGCCCAGTTCTTTCTCCAAGTGTAAACCGTGCCGTTAGGTATTCTTTTACCTTCTCTGAAAATCTAACGCTGCCCCTTGGTTTGCTTACGGCCCATCCTGTTCGAAAAGACGAGTGGGGCGAAGTATCCTCGGGAGAAGTGAGTGGTGTACTAGAATCTAACGAACAGCTCGAACACTCGATACCAGCCGTATCTATCGACGAGAACTTAAGGGCCCAGTCCCTTTTGATTGCATCATACTGGCTTTAACCTGCTGACTGTATGCTTTCCAACGTCCAGGTGCAGCTCCAGCTGCGAAAAGATTTCGAACACTTCAACACATCCAAACACAGAGCATTCAAACAATGGCGTTGTACTCTCTGTTTCCTTTCTGCCCTTTGAACGACGCTTGACCACACGCTTTTCAGGAGGATCATAAAACCCTTGAGATTCTATGGTTTGAAGGGACGTTTGACCTTGGTGCTTGATATAAATTACGTCATATGGAATGTACTTCCCTTTACCGATGCCATAACGTTTCCAAACTCTCAGACCGATATCTCCATATTCGAAGTTGTGGAAGCTACTAAAATGCTCAATCCTATTTATACAGAGAGTGTTCTTTGATTCTTCTACTATTCTTACTGCAGCTGTTGTTCCCTTCACTGGGTGTTTCTTCAATGCGTATCCTCTGTCCAATGAAAGCTTTAACAACCTCGCTGAAGACTCGCTACAGACTGAAGCCTCTCTGGTTTCGAAAAAGCACTTGCATGCCATACTACACTTGCAGGCCTTCCAAAAAAAAAATAAAGGGTCATCGGGTTCACCCGCAATGATTAATGCGGACTTCTGTTATGCGCGATAGTGCAATCGTTCAGCTTTAAATTCCAAAACGCCAAACTTCGACACATAGACTTACAAGTGGAGTTCTATGACTGATTCTTGAATAGAATGCAGCTGCAATTCAAAGTTTCAACGGGACATTAAGCGCGAAACATGGCTTTAGTTTTCGAGTTTAGTTCGCAACAACGAGTCAAAGAAGAGTATCGACAGATGCCGACCGCTGAATCTTGGAGGTATTTGCTGGAGTTATCATAAAGTCCAGTTCACCAGTTTGGGAAGCGAGGAATATCTGAAATTTTACATAAACCCATGATTTCTCCGGCTATTGATAGGTTGCTGTTCTGTGGACACAATCGACGCGGAACCGAGAGAAGCAAGCTCAGGATGATATCAAACTCCAGGTAAAAGCATTTATTCTTTTCATCCAAAATTTTTCTGCCCAAATATTACTTTGGGATACAAAACAAAACCATATGGCATAACGTACCGCACAAGCTATCAGCGGTCTTCTCTTTTGTGCGGACCTTTGTGAGAACAGTATAACATCGAACTGATCTAAATTTAAGCGATTATTTCTTCACTTCAGAAGCCTAAAACCTTCATTTCTCCCTCAGTTTCCAGACATGGAGAGTTTATATTCTGATTTTGGATAAATTCAGCTCTGCAGCGATGTTAAATGGGTGATTCACCGCGAAATGTGGCCAATTTCCACATTTGTTTTGATACCACGAATCACGATGGATGCCGCCTACTTTTCGAAGGCAATACCTAGTTATTAGTTGAAGTTATCATGGATTTCACCAATTTGGTTATTAGAAAAATTCTGAAGTGAGCCATGAAGCCGGGCTGCAAAGCGGGTGAGCTGTATTTATGACGAAATCTGCTCCAGTGGTTCGATTTTGGTGTAGGCGAAAAAATCGCGAATGCTCGTACATGTGCTGATTCAAACGGTCATAACTTTTGAAAAATCGAAAACGTACAGGGGTTTTTGCATATTTTTGCCTATTTTTGCCTATAAAGGTCTAAACTTAACGGCTGTGTAGGATAGAATCGTCAACCAGGTCCCAAATCCCAAAACTTAGCGTCTAAATCAAGGTCATTTACGGCCATCGGCCGATGGCGATTTCTAGTGGTCAGAATATGCTAAAATTCGCCTTTTCAAATATGTTGAGAGGGCAAATTCTAACTTTCTTGGCAAACTAGAAAGGTTTTTAAGCAATCTGATATAAATTCTGTGGCTTAACTATGCGAATCAAATATTTTACAACGTTACAAAATATGCCTATTTTTCAATTTTCGAGACGTTGCGACGGTCCCTACGGACTGGGAAATAATTATGGCCCGTAATGCAGTCAGAAAATTATTTCGAATCAAACCAAATCTAATTTAGTTCTTTCTTAGGTAAAGTCTTTCTGTTAACAGAGTTTCAGGCAAAATTATTTTTTGACGCAAAATTGACCGGGTGGAAATAAGAGAGACAGCCTCTTAACATTTTTATCAATGATGTTAATTACTGTGTTGCTACCTCCTCACTACGTCTATACGCGGATGACACTACCCAATACTCGTCTAGCGTCTGCCCTATGACTCTGGAGTTTAATCTCAATGCGGATATATCAAGACTCAAGGAATGGTTCACTTACAACTATCAACAACTAGGAATCAATAGCACCAAAACGCAGGCAATGGTACTTGGAAACAGTTCCTACAATTTTGAATTCTTTGTGGACCCGCAGCAGGTTATTGACATAAAGCCGATTCTAAAGATCCTGGGCGTTACGCTGGACAAGAAACTCTCCTTCAAAGACCACGTAACAATTACGCTGAAAAAGGCATATGCAAAAATCGCCGCTCTCCGCAGAATAAAGCGTCTCATACCTTCCTCCATTATGATCTCTTTGTATATAACATATGTGGTACCTCATTTAGAATATTGTTCCCCTCTATTGTTGGGAATCTCTACTCCTCTGAAAAATAAGCTGGAAAAATGTAACTTTTACGCGTTAAGAACTGTGCTTAATCTAAGTAGATCTACTGAGTACAAAGACTGTCTCAGGCTTGCTAGTATGGACACCTTAATCCAAAGACGTCTTACTGCGTCTTTAATAATGTTTTTCAAGGCATACAGGCTACAGGGAGCTTCGTATATCTCTAATTTTTTCACACCTAGGGTCTGTCACTACAATTTGCGCTCCTCTGCTCTTAATGTTTCCCAGCCTGTAAATACCTCTAGCCATTTTCATAGGTCTTTTTTATATATTATCTCTCATTCCTGGAACCAGCTACCATCTTCAGTTAAATCGGCAACTACTCTAGCAGAATTTAAGACTGGCCTATCTCGCATAACTACGCTTGGCTGTAAGTGTAATAAATGTATTAGTATACAATTGTAGGGGTAGGGTTATGAATTGGTAATTAGGCTTAAGGGTTAGGGCTACAAGTTAGGTGATTAGGGCTGGTAGGGTTTCAGGGGAGGTTCAGGATTAGGACTAAGGGTAGGGAGCTAGGTGATATTTTTGCGTTTCTTTTTTTCGTCATATATACATATATTTAACTTGTACATATATTTATATACACATCTGTATTTTAACTGTCGAGCGTTTTCAACATGAGCCATTAGGCTCGGGGGATTGGGTAACCACCCCCTACGTTACCGACATAAAATAAATTGTATTGTATTGTATTGTATTGATAGCTCACGAGGAGCGCAGCGAACGAGTAAGATATCAAGCTGAACACGACGTCTAACTCGACTTCAAACTTGTTCGCTGCGCTCACTCGTTAGCTATCGAGATGAACGCTTGAAGAGAAATTCTATATCTACGCGCGCCTATGTATTATTCTTTATATCATTTATTTAATAAAGGGGTAAGTTTGTAGAGAAACTGTGGTGCTCGTCGGCGGGAGAGAATAACAAGGTAATTTGGTATTATCAACTGAGTTGATAACGTAAATTGGTCATAATAAAGAGTTTCAAAGCTGATATTTCCAGCTGTTGCCCTCCAAACGCCCGAAACTTCAACTTTGAAACTCTTTACATTGGCCTATTTATATTATCTACTCAGTCAATAATTCTAAATTACTCTATCTATCTATCTATCTATCTATCTATCTATCTATCTTTCTATCTATCTATCTATCTATCTATCTATCTATCTATCTATCTATCTATCTATCTATCTATCTATCTATCTTTCTATCTATCTATCTATCTATCTATCTTTCTATCTATCTATCTATCTATCTATCTATCTATCTATCTATCTATCTATCTATCTATCTATCTATCTTTCTATCTATCTATCTATCTATCTATCTATCTTTCTATCTATCTATCTATCTATCTATCTATCTTTCTTATCTATCTATCTATCTATCTATCTATCTATCTTTCTATCTATCTATCTATCTATCTATCTATCTATCCATCCTTCTATCTGTCTTTCTATTTGAGTATCTATTTATCTGTGAATAAATTTATCTATCTGTTTATCAATTCATTCGCTAATTGTTTCATAAGGAAAATCAAGGAAAATTGTCATTGCTATGAAACAAAAATAGAGGATCGACTAGAATAAGGTGTGAGTCAACGCGAGGAAATTATTAGGGACTCTTTTAGGCTTAGTCTCTCCTGCCTTTTTTTTCCAGAAAATGAAAGTTATCCTAAATAAAACTGAAAGAGATGACTGTTTCAATTCACTAAGTATCCTACAGAAAGATAACGCTAATCCTTTCACTCTCTTCTCTCCCAGGAAGTGTCGTTCAACACTACTTTCTACACTTCACCTGTTGCGCTGGTTTCTGTTCATCACTTCTATGACCGTCAGCAGAAAAGCCTCATTCTACCGGAAAACAACATAATAACGGCTTGGGTGGAGGTATCATTGGAGCCTTTGATTAGTTTATTTGTGTCTTTCTTTTGAGTTATCTTGGTGCAAACGCAAAGAAAAGTTTTATAATTGTTTTGTCTTCCCTTTCGCACTAAAATACACTCTCGTAGATGAGCTAAAGAGTTAAGTTGAAGGCCTGACATAAACGGACGGGAAAAAGGGGTTTTTCCACGGCCTAGACCAGGGTGGATCCCGGAGGAACCAGGAGCTCATTCTAGGGGTTCGATTGTACTGATAATTAACACACTGTAGTGTTTTCGCAACTCGTAGGAAATTCGACTTACATCCATGACGATTTGTGTGAAAGATTTAAGTGGAATAGGAAGTAAACACGACCCTTTGTCTGTCTACTATGTTGTGATTGGAGGTAAGTGTTGCGGACTGCATTCAACTCTATTTTAAAAGTTTCCTTGAAATCAACACTTCATCAATCTTTCATTCAGGTTTTGGCCTGATCAATTTAAAATCAATATTGATAACTACTTTAGCCTTGTTCCATTAAGGAAGTCTATGATGCTCTTCTTTTCCTAATTCCATATAAAACATTGTTTTTCCTAATTCCCATATAAAACATTGTTCTCTCTCTCTCTCTCTCTCTCTCTCTCTCTCTCTCTCTCTTTTTCGCTGTTTCCTTTTTCCATTTGATTGCTAAATTTTTACAATAGTGTTTTACGCAATAATGTTGTTCGAGTTTGGTAAGCGGCCTTTTTATCATTATATTTTAACAGATCTTAATCCATGTCTTGGCGTGCATTGTCCTTCATTTGGAATTTGCAAAACATTTAGTGCCTATGAATCTCGCTGTGTTTGTTACGAAGACTGTCCCTCGTATCAAGATCCTGTGTGCACCACAAATGGAACGACTTACGACAACCAATGCTGGTATGAGTTGAACTACTGCAGAGGACTGGAAAAAAATTCTGTTTATCATCCAGGAAGCTGCGAAGGTAAGTGAAAGGTCTCAATTAACCAGGAGAAATTCCTTTTATTCCACATTTCGTCCGTTCCTCAGTCCACCGATCCATCCATCGATCCATCCACCGATCCATCCATCGATCCATCCACCGATCCATCCATCGATCCATCCACCGATCCATCCATCCATCCATCCATCCATCCACCTCGGCATCCATATATCCATCAATTCATTCAAGCATCCATCAATCCATCAATCCATCCAGGCATTCATATATTAACTAATCCATCCATCTACACATTTATGTATCCACCTATCTTTCAATCGATTCATCAATTAATTGAATTTTCTTCGCTGTTTAAAGCGATTCTGTTCAGTTTCTACCTAAATAATGGAGCTTGCAGACATGAATGTGGATTACTTTCATAAATTATAAAAATCCATTTCCTGATCAAATATTTATCTTGATGTATACCATACAGGCTTCCCATTACTGCGGGACAAGATAGAACTCCGCGTGCCAAAATGGTCAGATTCCAGCTGTGAAACGGTCATTTTCCCGCTATACCGCTTCTATCCTGAAAAGCAGGTTCATGTACAAATTACCGTCACCCACATGAATTTGAATGACTCAGAAACCGTTCATGACGCTGTAACGTCATGGATTGAAGATTCAAACACGGAAAACTTTACAGTTTGTGCCATGCAGTCTGGAAGGAAATCAAGAAACTCTAACCCATTTGCAACAATTATTTAGGTGGCATACCAAGGTGCACCGCCAAACGGAATGACGGGAATTATCAAGATGCAAGAGTGGTGGTCTGGAACCAAGTGCGCAAAAGTGACTTTTTCAAAAGTTAGTTTGGAAAACGTTCGCTGCTGTGTCCACTTCTTTATTTTATTTTGTATCTAATTATGATAAACATAATGTGGCACAAAAATGGTCATGTTTAATTTTCTATTTCTTTTTTCAGTTATTCAGTTTTTTTCCTCGTTCCGTTTTTCTTGGCGTTTTTCTTTGATATGCAAACATTACAATTTCAACACAGAAAAGAAAAAAGTTATGTTTTCTGCCTGTTAAAAAAAAACGCTTCCTACATATTCTTGCCGCAACTGTGTAATGTGTTGCACAATTGAGTGAAAAATTTGCAGTTGTTCCAATTCATTGTCTGAAGAAGGCTAGTTAACAGCAGTCAAAAACTTTTTCGTAAAAAAAAAAAATGATCACACTTTACTGCTGGTGAACAATTCCTTTTTTTTTTTTTTGTAACATATGCATTTTTCCTCGGTAACCTTAAGACAAGTTTAAGTCGGCACCAGTAGTTCTTGTGACAGCTGAACATCTGAGGACAGGTGTAGAATACGATGCAGCTCTGACCTGGACTGAGGACGCGACTAAGGACTCTTTTAAAGTTTGTCTCCGTGAAATGCAGAACTTTGATGGAAAGCACGAGGATATCACCGTGGTAAGTTCTCTCGTTTTCGAGAAAGTAGTTGGTCGTTGGTCTTTCGGTATCAAAAGAAAACAGTTAGCACAAATTGACAATTATTTCAATAGATCATTTAACATAATAACAGTGATATCTACTTGAATAGACGGAAATACTCATGGTTGCTTTCTTATCCCATCAGATGAAACACTTTACCTTTTCCCGTATTCTACGCTCCTTTACTCATCTTGCATTGAATGTTCTTTCTCAACATTCATATTCATGTTTCATAACAGTTTACTTCAGTATTACATGATTATAACATTCCGTTGCAGAACTGGATGGCATTTACTGACCTTCATAAGCCGTTCTTCGCCGAACATGGTTTCATCAAATTTCCAAACACAAATCCTCCATTAGATGAAAATAACAATGCCTACTGTCAGGTAAGCAGCTTCCAATGTTACAGTATATAGATGACGGAAACTCTTCGTCAAGCTCTTATTCAAGCTATTCGGGCCCTTTAAAAATGGCTACCGCTTAATAAGGCTTGTGTGAGATCATGACTGTTAAGCTGGGTAGCGGCGTTCATGATAACTTTCTGGTAAAAGTGGAGTTCTAGCAATGATAATCGAACCTCAATACACTTACCATTACCAAAATGTAAGACATCTTTCGAGGTTTCATACGGGAAATACAATTCTTGATTACTACAGTAATCTCCCATATGTTCTTTGCAAATTGCCATCAAATGCCACTAGAAATCCTTCGATCTCTGCTTGAGTAACAAACGAGTCCAAAAAGTGATCTTTGCATTCTCCTTCGAAGGTTGTCCTCTCGTAATAGCCTGTTTTTGGATCAGTTCCACATATTTTGGAGCAGAGAAATTTTCTCCTAAGACTGCATACTTTTCCTCTTTTAAGTACGAGTAAGGGAGCCAAACGTTAAGCTTTAAAGTCGGCGAAAATCTCGCGCAAATCCGAGTAAAAGAAAAAGAAGGAAATCTGTCCACCATTTTGGAAAGAGCAACCACGTTTGCAATCGGTGCAAAAATAGACCCAAGAGGGGTAGGAAAGAAGTGGTAAAATAATTAAAACTTTTATATAATTTGTTGGGAAGTTAAAACGTATTTGTAAAAACACTTCGTTCTTAACATGACAACAAAAAAAATGTCTATATTCAATATCGGCTGAAGAAAATCTATTTAATTGGGCATAGTCGATTAGGTTCCGTGAACGCTTCCCACTACGGCCCGCCATTTTGGATACATCTGAGCCTGCGCGTGCGAGTTTCCGCTGGAAGGCCTGTCAAAATATCGTGGGAGCAAAACTTCACCAGTTGTAGGTAATGCTGTTCATGAAGTTACGTCCGTTCTTATTTCAAAAACAGTTTGTCCTGTTCACCAAAAGCTACAACAGCACACCATCAGTCCTAGTGACTGCCAATCACCACACAGACAATGGAAATTCAGCCCCAGTTCACAATGGAATCACAACATGGATTGAGGTTATCTTCATCTTTTTTCTCCATTTTCAAAATATCCAATTCTTATTTACTTCTGGAGAGGTTAATGAAACGTGTCTATCCACAAATGTTCTTCATTTGTTGATTTTCAATGAATGAAATGTTTATTTCCAGAACATGAATTCTACGGGATTCAGAGCCTGCCTCAAAGAATTGTATGAAACCAGATATGAACCTGTATCATTAAGTTATGCAGTTCTGACAGGTCAGTTAGATAGTAATTAATTCTTAAACAACGAAGTACTTGAAATGGTGCATGGACCCTATCTCAAGTTTGCTATTAGAATTGGAAAAATCAGTTCTGTTAGTCGTAACACGTATTCTAGTTCTGCGGATGTATATCGACAAAGTTGAAATTATTGGCATGATGTTGAGGAGCTGCATTTCGTTCTCGACCAGTTTTTATCGAAATTGTTCACTGAACTGAATTTTGTATTGTTGGTATAAAAAATAATTTATGATCATTAGAATTAAAGAATGATGTCTTTCATACAAAACTGTATTAGGCTGGGATCAAGGGTTTCTGAGTCATGCTGTGACGGATTGTTGTGCTAGACATCGCTAAATCGTGTGTTCCAAAGATTATTTCCTTCTATTATCTTTATTCTTGATCTCCAAGAGACTGTGCTACGAGACCAATAAGAGCTGTATATTTGCCTGAGTGTAGCAGAGTCTGTGATAAGTACATTGTCCTCTTCTTGATAAGCAAGAAGAGGATGATGTATTTTTTAAAGTATTTTTCTACAGCAACTTCATCATGCTCTGAGTTTACTGCATTGTGGAAGCCTTCTCTCTATCTACAGTACAACTTTTGCTTCTTACATAGATATATGCGACCCTGGATGGAACTACTTCGATGGTCACTGCTATTTTACAAGTAAAACCTGCGCAAACTGGACCACAGCCCTAAGGAACTGTCGAAACGAAAACTCAGCTATCGCTGATATTAAAAGCAGCGAAGAAAACGTTTTCATACAGCATCGCCATAATGGAGAAAAATCATGGCTTGGCCTCAATGACAGAACATCAGAGGGTAATTTTACATGGGCGGATCGAGGAAGAGGGAATTTTACAGCCTGGGCTAAGAATCAGCCAAATAATTTTAAAGAAGAAGATTGTGTGCACGCACTTGGCATTAAATATCGCTACGAATGGAACGACGTAAAGTGCAGTGACTGTCATCAGTACACTTGTAAGAAAGGTAAGGTGTTTACGTCGTTAATCAAGATTTATTTGGGAAGGATAGAGGGAAGTTAAGAGAGAGAGATGAAACGCATGTGCTACAAAAAAAAGTTCCTGCGTCACTTTCAAGGTAACTCTCGAACATTAAACATTCATTTCATACATTCACTTTCCGCCCTTGCTAGCCTTTCACTGGTTCTTTTTGACCAATCTTTCCTCGCCTTTCGATGTCTTTTCTCGCTTTTTGTCAATCTACGTGGGCGACCTCTTCCCTGGTTTCTTTGCCTTCATTGCATTTCTTCACCTTTCCTCGTATTTTTTTTCGCCTACCCTCGCTTTTGTTTGGCTTCCATGGCCTTTTTATTTTGCCCCAAATTCCTACCCTACCCAGAATCTAGGTAAAAGTTACTTTTCTTACCCTACTTCATAGATTCAGGATACAGATAATATTTCTTTTTTAAAACTTTTTTTGGTTTGATGTCTTCATTTTGTTTGTTTGTTTGTTTTTTTATTATTGTATTGTAAAGGTCAATAGATATATTTCAATCTTCAGACTTGGATGAGTGCAACACAAACCAGGACGCATGTGACAGTAAAGCAAGTTGCATTAACACCGTGGGCTCATACACATGTCTTTGTGATAGTTCTTACCATGGAGATGGCTTTGAATGCTGTAAGTACGATACATATATAAATGAGAAAGCATAAAAAAAGCCATTAGCCAATCAGCTCTTCCCAAAACTATCTGTATTCGTTTTCCAAGTTATAGCTTTGGTGCAATGATGTTTACAATTATTACCATTCAAGTTAACTCGCCAAAAAGGCTAGCCCTCGGACCTATGAGTTATGTGAGACCCCATCTTGGCACAATTAGAAGAATATATAAAGCGAGGAAGACAGTTTGTAATCGTTTGAATAATAGTGCTCGACAAGTGAGTTTTACAAAAGAGATACATGTCATGGTAACTGGCGCTTCTCAGGATATGATATCATTCAATATGTTTATTTCTAATAGGCCTAAATCTATTTTTTTTTGCTTGCCCGTTTGTTTAGCACCAACCCTTGGCTTGTATTCCAGTGATCCTGCTCATTCCTGCAAGGAAATGCGTGACTTAGGACTTTCTAGGAAAGATGGAAAATACTGGATCGACCCTGAGAAAAACGGAAATCCTTTAAAGGTTTTTTGCGATATGACAACAGACGGAGGTATGCTGTAGCTCCAGAAACTAGTTTGTGATAACTAATTTCTCTCAGGGCTGAGACAAAACAATCGAACTAACTTATGCTATTATTCATCTTTTCTCAGTTTCTCCTATTCTACTATCCTGGGTTGGCCCCGTAAAGGAGAAATTAATATAGGTTAATTCGAGACCATTCCCAACAAGGGTGACGTTAGAAAATTATGGTAACAAATCCCTAGTTCTACAATTTACCCGATATAATTCACCCGCACCCCTCCCCCCCCTTTTTTTTTACCAATAATCTGATCGAGTTCCCAACAAGAAGGGAAACCCCGATTTTCAATCGTTACTTATTCATTTACTTCCAACATATTTGTTTGTTTATTTATTTATTCAATCATTATATAATTTCTATTCTACTGATTTAATTTGTAACTTGGAGTTTTATCCGACTTTAGGAGGATGGCTTCTTGTGTCTGAGGTTGTGGTCGGCAGTTCAAACAAACCCTTTCGGTTCTCAGTGGAATCGTCGTACCTTGGAATCAGTAAATCTCAGATGTTCCTCTCAAGCAGTGCCATGAAGCAACTAAGACAGCATTTGTCTTTCACTCAGTTGAGGTTCTACTGCAGAAAGCAGAGAACGTTCCACGTCATGACGGCAAAGAACAGCGCTGGTGAAGCAGCTGTCCAGTTTTTCAGTTACCAAACGAATGTAATGCCTCTCTCCTGTGGCTCGTATGTGAAAATGGCTGATGATAATTCTTATTTAGCAGGACAATGCAGTAGATGGGGATATGACAGTGTGTATTTTGTAGGCAAATGGGGTCACTTGGGCGTGGGTAATACAGCAAGGCTCTTTAATCACCCTACTTTTGTGGGGTATGCGTATCACTTTTTGTTAGATGGCCATAGGTGGGAATGCGATGACTACAGTGGTGGAGTTTCCTCTGGAGACTCATGGAAAGTCTTTGTTCGTTAGGACCAGGAAACTTACTATCAACAAGCATTGGTTTTATTTTCCAAAGCTTTCAAAAACCATTATTATACGATAAAAAAATACCATTTTTTCATAGCCGTAGTTAACAATGGTAATAGCAATCATGATCATAACAATAATGATAACAATAATTATAATATAAATCATAACAATGATAACAATAATTACGATTTTAATGACAATAGTGATAATAATAACAATGATAATAATAATAACAATAAAAATAATGATATAAGAATCAACCATAATTATTAAAAGCAAATAGTTATTGATTGAATCTGATCAAAATTGAATGTACTTTTATTTGATATTTTAGCCACTACCCAAATAAGAAAAAAAAATTACTAAAATAGGACTGAACTAAATGCTTGCTTTTTTTATGTAACAAGAAAGCTCAGACTCGATTCAACAATTTATAGAGCCAAAAAAGTGCTGGTAAGCGTTTTGTTTTGTTTTGTTTTTTAAGTTTAGTTACATGTATTCACTGAAACCTCCTAATTAAGGGCTCTTCCTTTTTTTTTCTCTCAGGATTGTAACTTCTGACTTTAATGAATGTCTGTAATAAAGGAGATCAGTTCAGTTTCCCTTTATCATCAGTCCTTACATTCATTCCCCAAACTTTTGCTATTTCCTGTAAACGTTGATAATATGTCATGTAGCCTTCAAGTAGTGCTGGAACTTACTTCCTGATTGTTTTGAATGAAATTTCTGTATGGGGCCAATTTTCACATGGGCATGGCTCAGCTTTACGAAGAGAGGTAGTAGAGAGCATCGGAAAAAATATTCATTCTCATACCTTGTTAAGAATTGGCGATTAGTAAGTCGCCTGGGGGCGTTTACGTGGGATGCTTCTATTTGTGTGAAATGGGAAGATTAGTTTCAAATGTCACTGATCCCTGAAGTCGACCGAGTCGCTGTTCTTCCGTGCCTGATCGAGAAATATTTTTCATAGGAGGCTTAGGTTGCTAGATCTAAGAGCAAACGGAGATCACTTTAGAACTTTCCTCAAAGAAACAACTCCGGGAACACAGTAATTCGAAGAAGGGAAGTGATACTTGCGTTGGGGATTTCATGCGAGCTTTTCCGATAACCTTTCGCGCAAAAATAAAGATGTCAGGCAAGCCAAATCTCAGACGTGACAGATACCAACTTGGTAACAGGCAAGTGGTTAATTTCCATACTTGATTACTACGACACTCTAGCGAAATTTTAACGTGGTCTTTACAGGCATCCCACGTAATAGCAAAATATTTTTGTAACAAAAACAGCTTTTGATTTGGATGGGTCATGCAGTAGAGTATTTCCCGTTAATTTCACTTATCATAACGAGCATAGTTGCTGGGAGATTACCTTCGATTCAGTATGGGTTGCCTTGAATACAAATCAAGGAGGTTAGGGAGGAGATTTATAACAAGATTCAGGGCTAAAAATTGGCGGTCGCACGGTCGCTAGTGGCGAGTGAAAACTGACCAGGGCTACCAAAAATTAAAGTTTGAACGCCCGATGTGCGACTATGCTACAGAATTTCGAAAAGTTGCACTGTAAATCATGCGAAGTACAAAGTTAAAAATAAAACTCAATATGTAGTTTTTAAAATTGGATTACCTTTCTCTTCTTTGCCTGGACTCTAAGATCATCCATTTTAGCGAGTTTTTTAGTTCTGAAGTGGAAATTCCTAGCGGTTTTAACAGTGATTTCACGAGCTTGTTCTTTCCTTTTAGTTAACGCTCCTTTTAAAGTCATGGGGCGTTTATTCAAGTTTTTAATTTTAAACTAGAGGAAATCTAGGACTACTTAATTTTGGGATGGGCCACTAAGAATTCAGGGAAACTGGCCCGACTGGCCACCCGGCACTGCAGTTAATTTTTAGCCCTGAAGATTGTGAGTTATCACTGGTTAATTGGAGTTCCAAATAATGGTATTCCACTTGTATAAATTCAATCAATAGGCAGTTCTAGCAAATAGCAAATTATCATTTATGACTAGACTGTAATCGGTAGGCAGACGAAGGCCATGCCTCAGCAATTTTATGACCGTTTTGATACTTAGCAAAATATTTAGAAAATACCAAACTGACTCCAAGGACGAGAAGGATAATTAAGAAGAAGGTTTACCGTAATCATTACTTTTCCTGCAGACCCAGTTTTTTTTTTTACTAGCATGGCGCATGAGCCTCTTTCATCAAGACTGTGCAGAAATTCTAAATATAGGATGTGGTCTACGAATCAATTCCAAAATTCAAGACAGTCATAAGAACGATTAGTTACCTATCACCGATCGATGCTACGGTTATAAGAGCTATCTATTTCGACTAGAATTCCTGTTTCAGTACTTATCTGTGCACTAAATAATTAGGAGAAAAAATCCGGCTTCGACCAGTGTTTCGTGCGCCCAACAGCATGTCTATTTTTTTTTTTTCCTTTTCAAGAATAGTAGTTCAAATGCTACACGGTACGCATGTTTTCTGCTGAAGCAATGGGCCATTCCCGAAATTACAAAATCTGCTTTAAAAAGTGGCTAAAAACTATTGATTTTGTTTATTCTCAAGCAGATTTATCGCATTTATACAAGAGAAGCCTCGCATTTAGCCTCAACTTCAACATGAGGAATTTCAGAGCCTTATGAGATCCACTTAACGGACTACGTTCATTAGACGCTGCGGTTGAAGGTGATTCTCCGTAACAAGTTAAACTGGTCGTGGTATTTTCAATATGTCGCTAGTCTCCCCTCTTGTTTTTTCCTTTGGAACCAGACTTCCCTTTACCATTTTTCTTCCCTCCCTTTCTCTTTTTTTCCTTTCTTTTATCCTTCTTATTTTTTCGTTTGCTGCACGCCTTTTTGTATTTTAGCTTTAGAGGCTTTTGTTTGTTTCTCCTTGCAAGACACTTTGTGACCCGGAAGACGCACAAGTTAGGGTACGTTTTCCCGTCCGACCCACACACGGGTCTCCTCACAATTTTGCAGTCCTCCCATCTAGGGCAAGGCTTTGGGGTGGTCGGGGAACTGCATGGTCCATTATACTGCAACTGAAGAGAGCTCCTGTTTTTCTTGGGCAGTGCACATTTGGCAATGGATAGAAGACAGCTGTTTTCGTACGTCTTATTATCTGTGCCACACACGGGTCGATATTTAGTTGGACACTTTTTTGGACACGATTTGGAAGGTTTCCGTTTGCCACACGCCCCTGAAAGAAATGTTGGAAATAGCTTGCATTAAACAGAGATCCAACATCAAGAATTTCCTGAACTAACTGAACATCTCCTTAACGCTACGGAGTTTAAATCGCGTAATTCTTTAGCAACTATTGTGTGCAAGATATTTACTTAGATCATGCCCTGGTTGATAAGGAAAATGCAATAATTCGGTAATCTCTTAATTCGATTTCCGTTTCCTTGTCCAACAAACGAGAAATATACTGTTCGTGACAAGGAAAGGGAATAAACCACTTCCAAAAAGTGCCGCTTTTCCAATTATCCTTTCAAACAACAATAAATTAATGAACCCTATTGCTGATAAGTTCTGCTAAAATTAGCTTATAAAAATCCGTGCCAAAACTCAATCATGAATAAAAGGAACTGAGACTTGGTAATTTTAAGAAAAAAATGCTTGCCAAGAGGCAAGCAATGATTTTTCCTTGACTATTTTCTTTCAATAAGCTTTCCCTATCTTCCTTTCAGGTCTATACAGCTGCATTCAATCCTGTTTTGAGTGGACCCTCGTTCGTGTCCGCAATTATATATGGTAGCGCGAACAAAATACGTATAGGAGCATTTCAAGGATAATCCCAATATTTAATTGACACTTTATTAACAACAGTCACAATGTCAAAGAAGCTTCAAAGACTCTGGAACATTCGTTTGTAAGCTTTGTAGTTGGATAATGGGTCTATAATGACTTTTGCTGGCAGAAATTTAAACGTTGTAGACGAGAGATTGTTATCAACCAGCTGAGGGGGGCTTCAAACTAACAAAGAGTTCAATTCTGCCATCAATGCACAGTATTTACCGCGAGGAAAATGAACAGCTGATACCAATTCAATTCGTGTTTTTACAACCGCACAATGCACATTTTCACAACCGCACAATGCACATTTTCACAACCGCACAATGCGCATTTTCACAACCGCACAATGCACATTTTCACAACCGGTGAGTGATAGGATCCCAAAGTGTACCAAAACAACAGTGGTGGTGTATCAGTCTACCATGATTTCCGTACGTGATTGTAGGTCAGAGAGGTCACGATAGATCAAAACCAAAGTCTCTTGTATGTAAACTTTAGTAGAACTTCTGCAAAACATATGTTCATATTTTTTTTTCGTTTTGATAATATTAGAGGAAATTACCGAGATCAGTGAAGAATCGTTGTCGTGACTTCACTTTGATGCCGGAAAAGAAGGAGAAAGTCTTTATTAAAGGGCTCTATCTATAAAAACCTTGCAAACATAAATGTTGCTTGTATTTCAGCACATCATAGGAGTTAACAAAAAAGCTTTGAAAATAAGACAGTCTACCCCAGATGAGTGTTTCATTTTATTTTACAAATTCCCGAAGATTATTTTCAAGAGGTTAAGATATTAAGGTAGAATATTTAATAAGAGGCCACCAGTAAGGTGTTTACGCGTGAGTAAGAGAATATTCAGGAATAAAACGAGTGATCGCAGCAAACGGGTGAAATTCCTGGTAAATATTAACGAGAGAATAACAATGTCTATCTTGATCGGAAAAAAAACTTTTGACACTTTTAGAAAATCGACGATGTGGAATGTCTTTTGTTATGATCGTCGTGTTACTTTTCGCAAGACAAGTAATCAATATGGAAAGTATCGTGTCGTTTTTCTTACACGCGACATATGTTTTACACATCATTTGATTGGCTATCAGCTACACAGACCAGCTTGGAAATGAAGACTTACTTCGTTGTCTGTTCAGTTGGAAATCTTCGTATGTATAAAATAAACATCTCTCCCGCATCGAGTAAACAAGATTTCAATGGAAATGATCCCATTTTGAGAGCGCTTTTGTTGATGGAATTAGTGTTTGGTTTCTGAAATTCAAAACGTTTGGCTTTGATTCTTGTGTTCATCCATGAATGCTGTAATAAAGGAGTTGCAAACAAACGCGAAAGAATGCCTAATAAATATTCCAGATCATATGGCGCTGTAGCATTTTTGAGATTTACTTAAAGCTTCTTTGGTTCTTCACGATCGTGTGCCTTGGAAGTTAAAACATGAGTTTAACCGCTGCACTTTTAATATAGCGCACAAATCACCGACAAAGAAGACAAATCAGGTGGAGATTGTTTCAACTGATATTTGACCTTGCTTTTAAAGAACTTTGACCTTATCATATAGCCGCTATTTAGGCCTGGACATTTTCCTTTAAATTTTCTTTCCTTCGCTGCCTTTAGTTGTGTGAAAAAAAATTCATGCATGCTTACCTCTCTTCTTGATAGTCAACTTCTGGTTCTGCCGTTTGGCGATGCACTTTGAAACCCGAAAGAAACAAGGATTTCTGTAAGTTTTTTTGTCGCTGCCACAGACGGGCTGTTCTTTAATGTAACATTGGCCCAAATTCGGGCACACTCTTGTTTTTTTCTGCTTTTTACACTCCCCCTTATACAGCACCGTCAACCTGGTTTTGTTTTGCTTCGCTTCGCACCTCGCGACACGAAAGGAACAAAATGATTCGTAAGTGGTATTGTCGCTTCCGCACATGGCTTGTTTCGTGGAGTTGCCATCCTGATCGCATTTGGGAAGTACTTTAGAGCAGCGGCAAGATCCGGTGTGCTCTACTGTCAGACTGACGCCAGTCTTATTGGCTTTACACCTTGCCTTGTTGAACAGACAAAAGTTCTTGTACGTTTTACCGTCGCTCCCACACAAAGATTTTTTCACTCTGAAGCCTTGGCATGATCGATTGCACGTTCTATCACGACCTTTGGATTTTCTCTTTTTCGCTTCAATAACTGCAACTATGAGATAAAATGTATGATGCTTAAGCCTATTTTCTGGATGGAAAAAAACCTTTAAGGACTTTTTCCTTTCTTTATAATATCAATAATCAGTGATAAGCATACGAATGATAGCTCTCAGGAGTATAATTTGATTTAATTCCATATTCTCAGATTGTGAGTGGCAAGAAGGGATGGATGAGAGTAAGGAGAATTTCTCTTGGGATCTTAAAAGTTAGGGGGTTGAAGGATCGTAGTTCATGCTCTTTTGCGCCACTTTTGCGATTTAGAAAATTTCCTCTAGAAAAGAAAGACAAACTTTGAAATCGTGGTTTTTCTAAATAGGCAAGTACCAAAAGGTAAGATTTATCCCAAACACGACTGTGCAGGAATAAGGAAATTCGGACGAAGATGCGATTTAGAAAGAAAAAGCGTGAAGTTAAATTTTTCAAGAGTGAAAAACGTGACTTGAATTTCGTGCATAAGTCTTGGCCCGGCAACGCAATCCAAATATGGAAATCGAATCTGTAAACTCGTCACTGGATTTCCTCAACTCAGTCCAATCTTCATCACTTTAACTTCCACTACTTCAGTTGCGAAATTATTGATAAACCTAATCCGTTCGACTCAATTCGTAGCCGGAGCGTCACTCTCAGAATATTTTAGGATCATATGTCAGTCTCCTATAAGTTATGTTTAAAAGACTTTCTTAAATTTGCCTTATCGTAAGTGAAACTTCATTTCATGCATTTAGTCACGTACCGATGTTATCCAATTTATCCAAATTCTTTTTGAAAAGAACACGCTAACAAAAATACTTCCTACCACAATTCTGGTGATAAAAAGGAAATTCGGGCGCAATGTTAACTTCTTTCAAATCTCAAAAAGCTGTAATAAGACTTTTATGTTGTTCTTTGAAAAGGCTTTCGGTAATGAGTAGAATTGTGTCATACTGATAACGTTCCTCATCCACGAGGATATTTGCAATGTTGAAATCTCTTTCATGAAAAAACGCTGTTTTTGTTATCATAATAATTTATTGCTCCGTAAAAGCCGTCGTTAGTGTCCCATGGATATGATGACAATCTGATCGAAATAAACCGCAAATGACTGTTTAAAACCAGAGGAATGTAATCCGCGTGGTAAGGTATGATGAAGATTACTTCTCGATTTGACACATATATCGCTCGAAAGAAAATTACAGATGCCGCTTGAATTAAAACAGACACCTGTCGTCTTAATTAACTCGATAACTTAATTGAAACGTCTGGATTATTTAGCAGAAATGACAAACAGTTTCAAGCCATCGGAAAAGGATACATATTTAAACGCCCGAATTCCATTACTTCAAAACCTGACCTTTCCACTTTTCAGTCAGAAATTCCACTTTCTCGACTAATTCCTTAGCGTCCAAACAGATAGCAAAGCGCTTAAATTGAACATAAACATAGCGTACTGTGCGCTTAAGATCTTAAGTTGACCGCCATGTTTCTCTTGGCTCTGGGCCCGAGGAGCAATCAGATTGTGAAAAAATATAGAAGGTTCATATGTCTTATTGACCCAAAATGTCTTTTGAGTCTTAAAGAGACTTTTCAAACAACAAAAAGGGATAAGCCCTATGTATTTTTCTTTAGTCGGTCTTATACTGTTACTGATTCTTGCTGAAGGCATAAATCTTTCCGGGATAGAGAAGTAAACTTTACGTAATTTTCGCCGTTACACATAAAATTTTTCCAACGCTCTCTTCCCTTCAATCGGTTCGATACAACTGCAAAGTAAAATTTATCGGCGCAGGGATCTTTTGCTTGAATCCTTCAATAACTCGGTGTTAGTGAGTAATGTTTTAAAAAGAAATTGTCGTATTTCCTACCTGATATTAGCATCACAGCAACAAAAAAGACAAAAGTTTTCTTCATGATGAATTGAGGGCGTTCTTCACTGGCAGTCAAGCGATCGTGGTAAAGTGCCGACAAAAGGCCTGACGAACCGTCTCGCGTCGTGGCAGAATTCGAACTGATCCCTCGGTGATAAGAACTTACTTGTATATCCACTGATTACATGCCTGACCCCATACCCCTTGGTTTACAAGAGAGCTAAAGCTTTCATACCTTTCATTCACAACTCTTGAGATGCATCAGTGACAGAGGAGGGAAAAAATGTTTTAAAATGAGGGGGGTAGGGGGGTTGTTGCTGTCGGAAACCAAGCCAAGCACATTCCTTTACTCAAATTTCCCTGTTTCTTTTAAACATATTTAAAGCAGACCTCTCTTCCATCTTCAAAGAGTATTCATAATCGATTTTAGGCAGAAGTGTTGGCGAGTATTACAACATATCACCTCGCTTGACACAACCCTTATGATATAATTTGTGAAAAAGAGTTACGGTAAAATACATTTTGCACAGAAAGTGAAAGAGTGAGCAACATTTTCTGTACCTAAACTTGGGAGCCGTAGCCCTCCAAATTTTAGTTTCGGAATTAGGCAGCTCGTGCCTCCTTCGACCTCGTCACCCCAACTTCCTACTCCGCCGCATTTGTGACAGGATCAACCAGGATTATGCTCGCCTCTAGATCTTCTTAAAGACAATTCTAGGCTTCGTTTGACTTAAGACGACCATCGACTTACGTACCCTAAGAAGATCTACTGAAAATACTTTTATTTTTAATTCTTTTAAGAAACGACTTCACTAATATTAAGAGACCAAAAAATGTAGATTTTTCGTTTTTAAATGGTGGGAATTCGGACAACTTTTGGAATTAGGAAAACGCTGATCAACGTTCAATCAATGCACATTGGCATCATGAAAAACCCAATTTGATGTACGAATATGGGCGAATGTAGGGTACCTCTTCATACCGGAAGCTGCACCTCTGTCAATCATTCACCACTGGATTATCTGAAATAATCTGTACTCGAGTTTCATGTGCAACTTTTATGGATGATTGGCATCCAACAAGTTTTACGACGCTGAAAATGTTAATATCCATACAGTCTGTGCCTTGCGCTTTAAAAGTCATTGTTCTGGGTCTAATGAATCAGTCTCATTCAACACTTGACATTCTCGCCGATAATGCAGTAAGTTGTAGTAGATTTTGAGTTTTATCTATGACGCGCTCTTCAAGTTTTCCTCTCCCATAATCTTTCGCTGAGGCAAATCCATTTATCGTTGGACCGATTCATTCTGTAGAGTTCAAAATGACTCATTACTTAGAGTTCAAAATGACTCATTACTGATCGTCAATGGAATAGCGTGAAGCTAAGGTACACTGAATATAAACAATCGAATTTAATGTACATGTGTCTGACTTTTTTTTGGTAACACTTCCGGTGTCACAAAACGTGACACAAAACTCGCGTACTCCCGTGATTCCTCAAAAAAGAAACATTGTAACTTTTTACCTCGTCCACTGATTGAAAATATTTTCGGACTGCATTCGTGCAAATTCGCCTGATTACGTGATTTTTGTGCGCAGTGCAGGATGCGCAATGCAATTCTGGCGAATGCTGCATTTCGGCGTTTCTGATAAACAGGTCACGCGGCCGCTGCTAAGCCAATCAAAATGGAAAAAATACTGTTCTAACCTCCTGTACTCGCAAGAAACTCAACTACAACGGAGGCAAAGCCGCAATCTCGTGTAATTGACCGAGACTCTACAACACAAAGTAGTCTCCTATCTTAGAAATTGTATTTCTTGGCGCTTTCAATAGGCATGACTTAAAGTATGAAAATGACTCAATACGTTCTGCATTGAGCTTTTTTTCTTTGAAGCAGTTTACCAATCATCACCTTATAGATGTTTATCTTAGGGTCAGAACAGCGATAGATCTTTGAAAATGTTTCCCCCCCCCCCATGATCCTTGTGGATAAAAGTGCAATTTTAGGGTAGAGCCTAAGTTTGTAAGACCCGGTGGGACAGCCAGTAACACAAAATAGACTAATTTAAATGTCCTTTGCATTTCCCCTTTTAAAGCAGGCATACCCTGTCCATAAAATATAATCAAGAAACTCTAAAAGCCCTTCAAAGATCGACCAAAATCAGACAAAGGCCCCAAGGATAAAATTTGATACACAAAAAAGCTGTTTTAGAAAATATCAAAGCTTTCTCAAGAAAGAATATCGAATATTCCTTATTGGAAGGTTGTCTTATCTGACGCCAAAATAGTGTGAAAAAAAGCCCCTGCCCTCCATGTGAGGGGCTAGGAACTATAAATTGAACATTTTGGAACTGTAAAATTTGTCGCCAATTTCTTTTATTGTTTTTGGGGGTTTTTTTTTTCTTGTGAGAATTTCTTCTTTTAGACCTAAGAGGGTATTGGTTGATACAATAACTGTAACCATGTTATTTGGGTCGCAAAGGGCTATGAAATGCTGATTGTTTCCTAATTAATCAAAACTATACCTGCATCCCCAGAGTCGCAAGCCTATACTGACAAAAAAGCAACAAACAAAAAACAAAAAACATGTTTCAAAACCTATGTTGAAATCGAATTGCGTTGCATTTCAAGAACTGTCTTTTTTAAGACTTCGTTTACATTTTCAACGTCTTTCTTTTCCCGCAGTTTCTTTTGCATTTCAAGAACTGCCTTTTTGAAGACTTCGTTTTCCCTCTCAACGCCTTTCATTTTCTTTTCTAAGGCACGAACTTCCTCTTTTAAAGCTTCAAAGTCACTTTCAAGAACACTTAATCTGTCACAAATGTTATCCTGACTATCTCGTCTTTCTTTGACTTCCTGATTCTTATTTTCTTCCAACTTGGACCGTCTAATGTTGATTAACTCCCTTCCTTTCTTAGCTCAGATTTGAATGACTCAAGTGCTTCACTTATCTGAAACTGAACCTCCTTACTCAGAGTTCCTCTCAAATCAGCAAAGGCTGTAGAGAAAGCCTTCACCTCTTGTAAAGAGTCGCGAAGACAATCAGGGACATCTAGACTCGCAAGAAAAAAATCCGTTCCTGTGAAGATATGTTAAAAAGGAAGTTAGTCATCAACTGGTTGATCTAGAGTTTGCCAAGTATAAGATAAGAGCACTTCATAGATGACGAAGCCACACATAACGATAAAATTCACTTTTTTTTTCGTTTTTTAATCGTTTTGTTTGTTCATAATGCAATTTAGAACAAGCACTATCTTTCATTCCTGAATAAAAGAAAGCAACAAGTTAATGTGAGTGATATTTACATCCTCAATAACACAACCAGTGTGTGTATATTCAATATTCAGTTTTTTAGATGAGCTCGTGGGCTTTGCACAGTTCCTACTGCTCCTTTTAAAGGCAATGCCTCCCTTTACCAGACAAAAAGTAGTCTCCTTTCTCAACGGGTTTTTTTTTTGGCCCTTTCAGTAGGGGTGACCAGAAGTGCCAAAATGAATCAATTAATTTTGGTTGAGTTTTTTTTGTTTTTGTTTTTTGTTTTGTTTTGTTTTTTTTGAGGTAGTTTATCAACTACCACCTCATGAATGTTCATGTTAGAGTCAGAACAGTGACAGATCTTTAAAAATGTTTCCCCTACCATGGTCTTTGTGGATAAAAGTGCCTTTTTTAGGGTAAGGCCTATGTTTGTAGGACCTGCTAAGACAGCCAGTAACACAAAAGAGACTAATTATATAATGTACTTTGCAGTTCTCTTCCAAAGTAGGCATTTTAAAACCTTACCCCATCCATAAAATATAATCTTCAGAACTCTATTTCTCCGTAAGCTCCTTTTACCCTGTAAATAGACGTTAAGAGTTTATTTGGGAAAATGTAATTCTAGATTTATTCAAATAGCCTGAACTGAATCTTCTTTAAGATGTTTTATATACAGATTTTTTTTGTATTCTACTAATATAATAAGCAGTCGAGCAGCTACTCCTAGTATCATGGTTTGTTTGTTCGCTCAGTTTTTATTTTTGTTTTTTTGGGTTTTGTTTTTGTTTTTTGCTGTTTTAGTTTTTTCTATTCAGTTTTTGTTTTCTGTTTTGTTTTGTTTTGCATAGGTTTCTATGTTTTATGTTGTTGCTTTTGTTGTTTCTTTTTCAGCATAGGCTTGCGACTCTGGTGACGCAGGTATAGCTTTGATTAATTAGGAAAAATCAGAATTTTTTTCAGTCTGCGACCTAAATAACATGGTTACAGTTAATGTAAGAATCAATACTCTCTAGGTCTAAAAGAAAAAAATTCTCACAGAACTGATTATGTCAGTCTGACTGCAAGGTCGTATTTGACTAAACCTTAATTCTTTAATAATTTAAGATGGCTCTGAATCGAATGTGTACATCTATTTTAAAACAAATAGCAGTAAAGTGCGGTCTCATCCTTCAAAGCGCTTCTTTTTACAAGAGTCCTGGCTATTTCAACCTTTTTTCGCTCTTAGTCTGTTCCAGAACTAGAGCAAAGAGTTGGCGCGTTAAACGCTGTCCTGAATCTGTTCTTGCTCTCCAAAAGTTGCGTTAGTTGTTCTTAGCGTCTCGAATTGTGTTTGAATTTCAAGAACTTCGTTTTCCTTTAGCTTCATTTGCATTTCAAGAACTGTCTTTTTTAAGACTTCGATTTCATTCTCAACGTCTCTCTTTTCCTTTAGCTTCATTTGCATTTCAAGAACTGTCTTTTTTAAGACTTCGTTTTCATCCTCAACGTCTTTCTTTTCCTTCAGTTTCATTTGCATTTCAAGAACTGTCTTTTTTAAGACTTTGTTTTCCGTCTCAACGTCTTTTTTTTCCTTCAGTTTCATTTGCATTTCTAGAACTGTCTTTTTTAACACTTCGATTTCATTCTCAACGCCTTTCCTTTCCTTTCTTAAGGCACAAACTTCCTCTTTTAAAGCTTCCTGGTTACTTTCAAGTGTACTTAATCTGTCACAAATGTTATCCTGTCCATCTCGTCGTTCTTTGATTTCCTGATTCTGATTTAACTCCAACTTGGACTGTCTAATGTTAAGTGAGTCCACTTCCACTCTTAGCTCAGATTTGAATGACTCAAGTGCTTCACTTATCTGAAGCTGAACCTCCTCGCTCAAAGTTCCTCTCAAATCAGTAAAGGTTTTGGAGAAAGCCTTCACCTCCTGCAAAGAGTCGCGAAGAAAATCGGGGACATCTAGACTCCCAAGACAAAAAACCGTTCCTGTTAAGATATGTTAAAAAGAAGTTAGTCATCAATTGGTTGATGTAGAGTTTGCCAAGTTTAAGATAAGTGTACTTCATATATGATGAAGCCGCACATAGCAACTAACTTTACCTCTTTCTTCGTCTTGTAATATTTTTGTTTGGTCATAAAGCAGTTTAGAACAGGTGAAAGAGGTAACCTGTCCTTCCGCGTACGATTCGTTTCGCTAACGACCATTTCGCTAACGTCTTAGGTCGTTTCGTCGTAATCTTAGAGCAATTCGCTAACGTATAACAAAACTTTTAGTGATTCTATCGGCAGAACTTGATCAACTTCTAATCGACCGAAAATTCGTGGTGGGAGTTAGTCGTTTTAAGGAAAAACTGAAAGTCAATTCGCAGGTCGCTGTCAAGCTCCCGGCTCAAGATTTCTGCGCGCTTTAACGTCTCAGGTTGCTCTCAATAACTGTAACAGTGACTTAGAGGAGAAAAGATAATTTCTTGTAACTCAAGTTTGTAGTAAGTGTCGGTATTTACGAACATTTACTAGCCTACATTCAGTGTGTCAGGGTAAGTTGTTCTTTAACATATAAAACAAACTAAAATTGGAAATTAAAACTAAAGAGACGACACTGAAATAACCCAAAACGTTAGCGAAACGACCTATGAGACGTTAACGAACTGACCTGAGACGTTGGCGAAACAGCTGACGACGTTAGCGAACTGGCCATTAGCAAAAGGTGATGTTTCTTAGTAAATGACAGAGGCATACTCCGAGAAAAAAAACTCCCAGGGCTCTCAATGGGAGTCGAACCCATGACCTTTCGATTAGTAATTCAAACGCTCTACCTACCTCTAGTGACAACCCTAACCGTTTAATTAGGTCCATTACAGGCAGCCTGCAATAGGTTATGCCTATATGGAACGAAACTGGAACAAAGTAACCCTTCTAATACCAACATGAAGTTATACAATAATTTAAATAAAATGTATAATCGCTAACTGTATTCCAAGTTACAACTTAACAAATATGAACCAAAGCTATCTCTGATGGCGAAGTCAGGGGATCCTTTACATGAGTAACGCAATAAATTACACTTTTTGACGCGAGTGGATCCTTAACGAACGAAATCCTTTCTCCGCCTCATTATAAGTAGATATCGATTGCCAAGAGAGGTAGAGGCTGCTCTAACATCAATTCAACAACTATATTTCTTTTTAAGCTACCCTAACATACCATGCTTTTTCCACCACTGTAATCTTTGCAGGATCTGCGTGTTATCCGTCCAATCAGGAAATTCCACCGATATATGAGAAACCAAATCCTTCAGGAACCTGAAGCAATCAGTATAATACTTCTTTGTCCATTTAGTAAAGTCTGGATGTGCCCATTCCGTGCGCACGTTAAAGTTAACGTCTTTTGCTGACTTGGTAACACCAGGCCTGAATAATCCTTCATATGAGAGCACGGCCAAGGCAGCTGAAGTATCGAAGGAGTCATCGAATGCAGTGAATTTTGCCATGAAAGGTTGAACCAAAAGCTTAGCCAAAGACACTGCATCCTCAACTTTGTAATCGAAGTTTTCAGGGTCTTGGTGGTCGTTTCCGTTTATGCTCTCGTAGTTCAGATCTCTCCTGGCTCCTGGAAAAATCTTACTCAGATATTTTGAATGGGTTTGAGTGTCTATGCGGTTCATCCGTTTCTTCGAATCGTAGACTGATTTAATTTTTTCAGCAATTATTCCTCTGAGACGTGGAATGACGACAATATGGAGACATATACTTATAACTAACCAACGTCGCTTATCCTGGGACAATTCCCCAGAGGTAGGAGCCATCTTTCTTTTTATAAAGCTGGCAAATGTTCTCTTTGAAAACTCCTATGGAATAATTAAACGTGCATATTAAACATAAAATATGAACTTTGATTTCTTTACTGTGGAAAGAGTCACTGTGGTTTCTGTAGGTTGTTTCATAATAATAATAGTAAAAAATTATAGTAACTGTTAAAAAAAAGGACAAGGGAATGAAAATCAAAAAGAAGGAAAAGAGGAAAAAACGAGAAATCAAGGTGCCTTGCGTCTTATAATAATATCTGAAACGGTTTAGATGAACTTTAAGTAATTTCAAAACAATTTGTTTCGTTTTATTTTTTCCTGTTTCTGATGACGTGAAGACTACAGATGAAATGAACTGCGCTCGGTGCCTGCAGTTCCCTCGCAATGCATTCGTTAATGATTAGTAAATTACAAATTTGGTGCTGGCATAATGTCATTGGTGAATGTAGTGTAATGTTGATAAGTGCTTTGCAATTTCAGCCACCTCTGAATAAGGGAGTTTATTAGTCCAAGGGTTTAGCTCGCATGGCACTTGGAAATAAACTAAACCTCTTCGCGAAATCTAAATTAAAACATTGGAATCCCTTTCATTGTTCAACTGTGAAGCCATCAAGTCTTACTGAAAGCATGGCACACAGTTAGAAAATCATTAGAAGATGCGGATCCTCCTCTCTTGAGAAACCCCGCTCTATTTAGAACTTTCTTGAAGAAAAATGACTGTGTGATGATTAATTTAAATTTTAGTGTTACATGCACGCGACAGGCAGAAACATATCATGTCTGAACCAACCTGCAATTCAAAATTTATGAATCATTCAAATTTCCATCGAGCAGTTATACCGGGTATAACTGCTCGATGGAAATTTGAATCAACAGGATTTGCAGCTATCTAAATCATATGGATTGTTCCTCGAGACTAGAATAGAGAGTTTTGTCTATCTAAGACAGCAGCGTAAATGTCCAAATATGAAGCGTTGTTCGCCCGTAATTTTTTTCCGATAGTCTCGTTATATTATCGAATCACGTCATGTTTTGATATTGACATCTGTTTTGAGAAATTTTGCTTCAAAGAGTAAATTCAGGATATCAATGGAATACTAAGATGATATCGGTCTGTTAAAGTCTAAGAGTTGAGTTTGTTTTCGAAGGGACTCTTCACGATTGAAATCATTCCGGAAGTACTTCTGATTAAATTACACTTGTCACATATGTCAACTGAATCAAATCTGGTAGATGAGGCGCTTATTCACTCTGCCGATCCAAAGCGTGAGCAGTGCTCGCCGACAAATGACGTTTGTTACGCGAGTTTTAATCGTTAAGATCAAGAGACTGGCTTTTCTGGTGACAAGCTCGAGAATATCAATGAAAACAGTCGTATGCAGTGCTTTTCATGCGTGCAAAACATGATTAAACTAATGATCATTGATCCGAGGCTACGCCTGTAGCAAGCTTTTGCATAATTTACTCACACTAGACGAAAAAATAACAACGTATTATCCATCTGCCCTTCGGCTTGACTATTTGCAGGGACTTTTAAAGTTAGTATGCGTATTGAGTTGAAATTGAGGATTAGGAATTCTTTGGAAGTGTCTGATCATGATGTTCACAAATTTCATTCCGTTTCTCATTTAGTTTTTCATGGTGGAATGAACTCAGGTTCTGTTAAATATGTACATGATGTATACCAAAGCTAGACCGATAAACGAAATTTATACGATTTATAACTTGATCTAGAGTCACTCGTTTTCAGTTGGCGATCATAAAACGTATCCCAGTGTTACTACTGGTTTTCCCTGAGCGATGGCAGCGGGCTACAGCTTTCGCCCAGAAGTCGAACTTTTGTATCCCACCGCTCTGTTCCATTTCCATCGTTTCGTTCCAATCAAATTTGTTTTGTTCCATAGCAAAGCTGAGTCGATATACGAAAGAAAAGGCCTTACATCGAAATAAAACGGCACAGATTTCCCAAAGTTTACATGACTCGAAGACGTGCAGTCATGGCAGCTCGAAAAATGTTTCACGGAGGTAAACCTCTCCTTTTTCGCTAGACCTCTTAGAACTGATATAGAAACCTTCTAACACGCGAAAAGCGATTAGTCGCTAATTCAAAAAGACGTCTGCGCGATGGATTAAATATAAGGCTATTCGGAAAGCTTTACATCGCTTTGCAGTCGACGAAAGTGGCTGGTTAGAGTCAGTGCAGAGAAGGCGTGTTCAAACGCCGATGAAATACTGTTGTCTGTGCTGTGCGATGTCGTCAGAGTTAAAACACTTCGTGTTTTCGACCGTGTTTGGCTCAGATTAAGAAAGAGATCATAGATCATCCAAAATAAACTTTTAAACTAATGTCACATCGAAAAAACTGATCGACTTACTGAGTAAAGCTTGGTCTATTTTTGCCTGCTAGGCAGTGTAACTCCCGCGCTCGATCATTCAGATTTCTCAAAGCAGTCATTGCAGCCGGCTCGACAAATGTTTCTCGTAAAGAAAACTCTCCTTTTTCGCTCGACCTCTTAGAACTGATATAGAAACCTTCTCGCAAGAAAAAAACAATTAAACGCTAATTCATAATATATGGCTGTTCGGAAAGCTTTCAATCGCTTTGCAGTCGACGAAAGTTGAAACACTGATGAAATATTGTTGTTTGTACTGGGCGATATCGTCAAAGTTGAAACACCTCAGTTTTTTTACCGTGTTTGGCTCACATTAAGAAATAGATCAACAAATCATCCAGAATCAACCTTTAAAACAAATGCCATAACGAAAACGCGGGTCGACTTACCGAGTAAAGAGCTTGGTCTGTTTTTTCCTGTTAGGATGCAGACTAACTTCCGCGTCCGATCTTCGCTGCGTGGGAAGACTTATTGTGATTCACTTCATCCAGGCCCTATAATTTGAGTATTGAACTGTAAGTTACCTCGGATTTTCCAGCCGCTTGTTACTTCAGTAAGGGTAATTTACTAGATGAAACCTTAGGTTACTAGATAATAACCCTAATGCACGCTATCGAATCGATCGCATTTATTGCATCGTCATTGTCTGGCTGATTTCTCGGAGGGAGTCTCTCTCGATTACGTCACGACTCACGATGGGCCCCAGGTTTGACTGCGCAGAAAAATGCCGTGTCGTCACAGTACTTCTAAATAGCCAATGATGTACCACTCGTAGAGTGGCAAAAAGGCTGCCCTCATGAGTGTTTTCCTGTGACCTATTTCTGATAAAGTGAGAGGTACCTTAAGGAAAGAATCGATACTATGAAGCGTTGGAAGTACAAATTTTTAAAAATAATATTGATCGTATTACAAAATAGAATGTGCAAAAATATTCTAGCTCTCACTAAGGTTGATTGCACTTTGAGGGCAGGTCGGAGTTGTCAATACACAACGCTTTAGGCACTTCAATGGAACTTCGTCGCATGACAAGCAACGCTGGTCCCCAATGCTAGGTGGATTAACGAATAAAGGGGGTAAGTTTTTAAAGAAACCGTGGTGCTGCAATGGTGGGAGAGTATAACAGGGAATTTAAATATCAACTGAGGTGATAACGTAAATTGGCCTTCGTAGAGAGTTTCAAAGCTGACGTTTCGAGCGTTACCCTTCATCAGACCTACCTAGGTGGATTGATACTGTTGGAGCTGTTGTAAATTTAGGATGTAATGTGGCAAATTGAACTGAGGATGGAGATATTTCTTCAATTGGGCTATTGATTAAACACAAGGATAGAAACCGACTTCAAATAAAAAGTCATGTAGACGGTGAAAAACATTTAAATAGTTTTTCAAATTATTTTTTGGCTTTTTTTTGTTTTCGCATAAATTGGTTTCGAAATATAATTGAAACTGAATTGGCCTTAGAACAAAATACTAAAGTGGAAATAAAAAAAGGTAGTTTTAAGTTGACAGATCAACTATGTGCCTTCCCAAAGTCGAAGGACCACAGCAGGAAGGCGTCGCAGTCTTTTGGGATTTTGAAGGGATCCCAAAACAATAGCCAATTCGAGGCTGAGATTTCAATGTATGGAGATATGTAGTCAACATGCTCTGTTACTAATAAACTTTAAAAACTTAGGACAGACGTGCGGACAAGATCATTATTCATAATTAGTTGCGATCAAGAAGCCAAAGCAAACCTTAATCCTGTTGCGGAAATTAATCAAGATTTTGAGGAACAGTGGATTGGGAATGATAGGATAGTGAGACATCATTATGGCCTCCGCCTAGCAGGGGTGAAGATAAATGAGTTAGGCCAGGAGCCCATTAATGGTGACGGGTAATGGGCTCCTGGCTAAGCGTAAAGTCAAGGAAGCGCAACATATAAGATTAGCCTTAAAAATTAAGGGAAACATTTCTGAAGATTACCATTAAAAAATTTCGCCTCTGAAAGAAACGGCCATAAGACCGTTGGTATCAACAGATTGTAATCTCTTGTTGGTTCTCAAACATTGTTATTGACGTAAGTCTCTTAGGTAAAATTGAAAATCAACGATACTGTATGTTTCCAGTTTCGACACGTATGACTATTTTGAAATCTCTCCACAATGATTGATTAAGGTTCGAATGTACCTCTCTAATTTTCAATTACTACCAATCCGCAACAGTGATGGTCACTCTTCGTAAGGCTCTAAAGTTCCTTGTGGGTTCCACGATTCCTTAATTTATTTCAGATACTAATCGAGCCGGCCTGGGAAATAGCGTGTAACGCCTGTCATATTTTATTTTGTTGTCCCAACCAACGATTCAAAACATTGAGACGCTGTGGTTCTGCATTTGAACGAACACTTACTCAACTGAACAGATCTCAATTCAGCCTCGAAGCAAGGTGTGGATAAAGAAGATACCGATGAACAAACACTGTAAGAATCCAAACTGAACCTGCAGACATCTAGAATGCCACACGGAGCAGCTCGGTACAATCCAACAATTTTCCAAATCTGGAGAAGGCTGAAAAGAATGGGAATAATTTCGCCAAAAGGTTTTATCCTATCCATCATTTTCTGGAGTCTTTTCCTGACCTTTTCGTATTACGCTTACGTGGAAGTTAACAATAACCTCGCCAAATTACGGGTGCATAAAGTGACATTAGCCAAGTCGCTCATGGTACAAATTAACGAGACATTGTTCAACGGCCGTCAAGAAGAGGCTCTTCGATTGTTCAAGAAATACGCGAAATGGAACTCTAGTTTGGAGGATTTAGTGAAATTTGTGAAAAGAAATGCTTAGAACATCATTTTTAAGCTCTGGTTATTCATCGTTTGGAAGGTAACAAAAAAGTGATCAGTGAGCGTGCAATTGATCGGAAATATAGTGATGTTTGTCGAGGAAGGATCCAAGAAGTAGATTATTTGACACTGCCTTATACTTCTTACACCGAATGTCTTAATTACCAAAATAATGTTGACTATCTATGTGTGACTTATTAAAGTATTCATTTCTTTATATGTGTATTTAATTAATTTGAGGAAAACTGCTGCGCATGGGTGACCACTTAATGACTGTAGCCTAAAGAATGTAGACTATTTTTTGGTAGCAATTGAATTAAATTTTTCACATTAATGATCCCAAAAAGTTAAAATTGTGAATTAAGTAACATAGTGCACTCAGTGTACCTAATCAACATTGTTTATCTGAAGAAATGACACACATGTATAGGGAGTGCAAGTCAGCAGGTAATTAAGCAACTAATAATAGGGAAGGTATGGTGGATCTTTAAGCTGTCAACCACTGTCAAAAGGTAGTGTCTAACCCTAACCCTAAGGCACACTTTTGAAGTGCAAGTGTGTGACATGTGAAAAGGAAATGAATTGGCTGGTACAAACTACTGATGGCAACAAAGAAACAACTCAGTGGATGTTTGCAGTTTATTACTGCTGTTCAAACAAGATGGGTTACATCTGCTTTACAGAAAGTAAAATTAAGATGAAAGGATTTTATTTTGCAGCTGCAAATCACAAATATCTTTCATTCCTGAAGAAGAGAAAGCTACAAGTTTATATGAGTGATATTCACATCCTTTAGATACTGGCACTGTGTGTATTAAATATTCAGTTTTTCAGGTACGTTTGTGGCTCTGCACAGTTCCTACTGCTCCTTTTGAAGGCAATAAGTCCCCTTACCAGAGGAAATCCATAATGGGAAAACCCTAGAGGAAACTGAAAGAAAGCACTGTGACAACCAAATCCACTTTCCTCGATGGTCACAATCTTCCCACTGCTTCTGTTTTTTATCTGAATTCTACAAATGACACCTCAACAATGTCACTGAGCCATTTAATGTGTTGACATTTTGTCTACAGCAGCGTGCATGGTTCTGTTCCAGGATAATCTGGGAGAGACAAATTGTACTTTTGTGCTAGTGAATCAGGAACAAATCTCCCTCCAAGAAAGTGAAATCTTCCTTCAAAGTGCTTTGCACAAAGCTTAGGCGCTGTCAGAGATACGAGGAAGTCTGGTTTTATCCCATCTGGATTTCCATTTTCTACATGCCATCCTTGATGAGAAATTAATGGGATACAAATAGATAAATATGAACCTAAACAATATAATAGACAAAACTGTGCAAGAATACTTAAATTAATGCTCCCTTTACTTTGTTTTTGGCAACTCTCATTTGACATTCTGGTGGTATTTTCAGTCATATGTTTGGAAGTATTTCCCTTACAACAAAGATCCCAAAGACCTCAGTAAATACAAGGGCTCTCTTTGACAGATATCCTTTTCAGGTGTTTTGACAAAGATAACTTATCATATGGAACCAACATTCAAACAATCAAGGACCACACAGAAGTAATAGAGGAATGATAAGGTAATTAAAACATATCTATACTACTCTTGGATAAATAAGAGTCATTTTAAATCTTATATTTATTTTCCCACTTGTACAAGAATTATCTTAACACTTTCAAAAAATTGTATTTTTTCTACACATCAAACAAAAAGAAAAAATTTAAAAAATAAACAATGAATAATAACAAAAATAATAATAAATAATAATAAACTATCAATAGTCTTGCAGTCCCAGATGTGCATTATAGTTTTGGCATTATTGACTGGAAAATCTTTGAACTGAAGAAGATTGACTAAAAACATGCAAACTACTGAACATGCACAAGATGTTACATCCTAAAGCAGATGTGGAAAGGCTGTTAACAATCCTAGAAAAGATGGAAGGGGTCTGATTGATGTAGAAACAGCATTCAAAACAGTAATAGGGCTCAATCCAAGGGCAATATCCAAAGCAGATGCTTGAAGATGAAAGATCTAAAGCCAAAAATTCAATAACCAAGAAGGCTACTAAGTTCAAAAGGGAATTATAACAATGCCAGCGGAGTTTGAGAACAGAGAGATGATTAAATCAGCCTCACAAAATGCTAAGGCCCTGAAACACATATTCAAGTTTCAGATGAAATCCATGGAAGAAGAAAAGTGCAAAGAGGGACTGAGATAAGCTGCACTCCCAGTTTCTAGTGATGATTTTTGGAAAAAAGGTGTGGCTTATCTGTGGGTCTTTATGGTACTTGTCCCAGCTCAAGAACAGGCCATAAACACCAGAAACTATCAGGAGGTAATATGTGGCCAGCAAGTGGAGAGCATATTTATACAGATTGTGTTTGCAATATAAGAAGAAAGAGGACCATATTATATCTGGATGTTAGGTATTAGTTAAAACAGAGTACATCTTCAGGCACAATAATGCTGCATTGAAGCATCTGTAAAGATCATGACATTGAGATTACAGATAAATGGTACCAACATGAGCCAGAGACTGTGATGCACAATAAAGACAACAACATCAGGGATGTGCCAGTCAATACTGACAGAACTATAACAGCAAACAGACCAGACATCCTAATCAAAGATTCAGTGAATTCCACCTGAATTCAGTGAATTCCACCCGCAAACTGATTGATATGACTGTTCCATCAGATAGAAACATTGCTCTGAAGGAAATGGCAAAGAAAGCAAGTACAAAGACCTAGAACTAGAAATACAGAGAATGTAGCATATGAAAACCTAGTGATTCCTGTGGTTGTTGGTGTGCTTGGTACAGTAAAGAAGGGGATGGTGGAAAACATAAAGAAAGTATCAGAAGCAGTTACTGTGACAGAGATTCAAAAGATCTGCATTCTAGGAATTGTGCAAATCCTCAGGAAGGTGCTTAATGTATGAACAGAATGACTGACTTGAGTAACTGATACCCTAGGTGCATGGTTTGCGCCCAGCTGATGCACAAAAAGAAAACCAGCAAAGACTGTGCTTGAAGAGAATAATAATAATAATAATAATAAAATGAATTAATACACCATAAATACAAAGCTTCATCAAAAAACACAAATTGTACATGTTGTATATGGTACATTTTAAAGTCCCTATATACTGTGATCTGTGTTCATATACAGTAAGCTCTGAAAAAAATGGGTTCACGTCAGAAAGAAAAGAAATTTGTTTAATCTCACCTGAAGGAATATCAACTGAGCAAACAGGAATTGTAACTTCTTTTAAGGCCGATAATACATCTGCAAATGGTGGTCTTGCATTTCCCTTAAAACTAAAACCAAATATGGCATCCACAATAAACTTGTAGTCAGAATCAATCTGTGAAGGTTTTGGTATATCATCCATGAATGGGATGTCCATCCTTGCACACTGTGTAATTAGATTCTTAAAAAGCTGTTTATCTGACTTCTTTGGGTAATATATCTTTGGATTGTATCCCTAAAGAAATTAATGAAAGTAGAAAACAATGTCAAAAAGTATAGATTAACATGTAACTTCTTCCTATAGTATCCATACATTATCCAGCATACAGGTAGTGGAAATACTCAAATTAACAGGTAGGAGTTGTAGTATCTTATTTACAAGAAAATGTGTAACAGCTAGAGGGGAGAATCAACAATCAGCTATATCTAGCAATAAGAAAGCAAAAATCAAGTTTGCATTTGGTCTCAGAAGGATCAGTTATTAACCCTCAGTAAAGCAACCCTATTCTCCAAAAGACTGTTTTCAGGGATGAGCTGGTGGCATTTTAACCTTACAATTATTTTTCCCTCAAAGTTTTGGTTTTTAAGCATTCCCTAAGGACATAAACAAGATTTTCAGGATTTCTAGGTAGGAGCATTATCTTAAACTAATACCAAATTCCCATAAGTAATTTACTTAGAAATGTGTAGCAGCCATAAGGGAGAATTAACAATTACATCTTGGGAGTTAACCCTTTACACCCTAACATCATTATGCATATTCTCCATACGTTTCCAAAGGTACTGACAAGGAGAATTTCTTTAGCAATCAAAATCCTTTTTAGATGGTGATCATTTCCTTTATTCTTGTGACCTTAATGTATGATTCAGGGGGTGATATTGTAAGGAGAAGTTAGATGCTAATCACTCTTCAGGGGTTAAAGGGTTTGTAAAACAGAACCAGTTTGGGGGTTCAGGCTCATATTATTTTTATGTCACCTTATGACAACCTTTACAATCATAACCAGTTCCCAGAGATTAAATTCTGGTTACCAAAACAAAAAGGAGGACTCTGTCTAATATAACATGTTGTAATAAACTACATGCCACACTGCCTGTGTTTGGAGTAACCAGTGTGGCTGGTATCATTTTTTAGGAGATTTATGCTTAATACTTGGGATATTGGGGAGTTAAACAGAGAAATGGTAATTTCTGCAGAAGAAAACATTCTATGCCTGTCTGTTCTCACAACTTATTTGCAAAATAATCTTTTGACGTCCCATGAGCAACCAAAGAGGAATTTACATCATAAATACATTTTTAAACAGAAAGTTTGGTGAGGAGAAAAAAAAACTCAAAATGTCTATTGCTTGATTTAACTTTAAATTCTAAGGAAGAACATTGCCAGAAATGCAAAACAGACAATGTACACAATTGAGTGATTTAATATTATCAACTGAGTTGATAAATTAACTTGGCCACTGTTGAGAGTTACACAGCTGACATTTTAAGCATTAGCCCTTCATCATTTGCTCTGACAAAGGGCTGATGCTCGAAATGTCAGCTTTGTAACTCTTTACAGTGGCCAATTTATGCTATCAACTCAGTTGATAATACTAAATCCCCCTGCTGTGCTCTTCCACCAACGCAGCACCACAGTTTCTTTCGAAAGTTACCCCCTTTAATGCAGAGAATTAACTTTTTGATATTGAAGGTGAAAGGGCCGGAGCTAAAGGTAAAGGAAATTTAGTGGCAATTTGTTTCTTCTTTGGCCAACTTTAAGTTGATAATTGAATCAATACTTAACTAAAGGACCTAAAGCACCAAAATAATTTAAGAAATTTAAAAAACATTGTAATTCTATGGCTATCAGATAAACTTTCTCAACAACACCATTAGACAACTAAACAAAAAAAGAACGAAGGCTGCATGATAAGTGACATTTTGTTCATTTAGAGATGAACATGGACACGAAACCTGAATGAGCTGAAATTTGGCCGAATTACTCAAGGACAGGCATGTAATCACGGTATATAGAATCAAATAACTTACCATGCGAGCTGAATTTGAGATGGAATTTAGTCAAACTAGAGCCAATAGACTCATGGGCGAGAAACATATCTTATTTCAGACTTAACTTACAAACAATTTGAGATGCCTGGCTGCTACCAATCCGTCTCCTCCATTATTTCCAGGACCACTACATACAAGAACGTTTGGATGATCTTGTCCTCTGGGGTAAGCCTTGGTCAGTGCTACAGCCACACTCAGTCCAGCGAGCTCCATCAGCTGATCTACACTAAACGAATACTCATTAAATAATTCTAAATCTATATTTTGAGCCTCTTCTTGGCTCAAGTACTTCATAGTCGTTCCAACTGTACAAAATCTCCTAAACAAGCCAGCAGGAACACTAAAGAGAGAATGGATTCGAAAAAACATCAGCCAAGGATACTCCACTTATGATTCCTAAGAGCACGAACGCCGTCCATTCCATGCCCGCGATCCATTCAATTAAGCAGCGGTGTTTGATTTAACCATCTCCAAACATATTTGTTATGCGTCACGCCGCAAGCAATGATTTTCATAGTGCCGACTCATTTGCCATTTTTATCTTGTTTTAATCCTCAGTTCTAGAAAACTGTTCCCCTGATGGATCCTCACGAACCACATCTATCTCAAAAAACCTCGATGCCGAAGTGACCTTTATGGCACTCATGCGGCGGCTGTGGCATCACGGTTTGCGAGGAAGCTCTTATTGGCGTTAAGGAGTAGGAGGTAGGAGGGGGATGGGAGGGAGAAGGCAGGGAGGAGGTGGTAGTACACTGCGTGGGTCTGGCCGCTATTCCTGTATAATGTGATAGGCCCTGACCTTAACTATATGACTATATGATAAAGTATACGGACGCACGAGCCTGTAAACTTGCCCATTCCATTCCATTTAGGCCTCCAATGCTATCCTTTTTAGATGTAGATTGGTGAAATTCAGTAAGATAGTATCCTGAGTCCACTGAAATTAAAATAGTATCCATTGTGAAAGACTCGTGAAAGATGCTGAGTAAGTAAGAGGTGTGGGTGGAGTTCAGTTGATGACGAAGTCAAACAAAAGGGTTACTTCAGCGGACAAAATAACTTTTGTAAAGAAGTTCAAGTGTACATCAAAGCAAAAAAACATAAGGCAACGTGGCAAACATGACAAAACCTATGATGACAGCGTGACGGAAGGGAGGAGCTGGCAGTACACTGTGTGGGTCTAGCCGCTAATCCCGGCTGCATAAAAAGTGACAAACCCTAACCTCAGCTATATGACTATGTAATAAAGTAAGTAGACGCATAAGCTTGTAAACCTCCAAACCGAGTCTTGCCCATTCCACTCTATTTAAACCTCCAGCGCTATCTCTTCAGATGCAGATTGGTGAAATTCAGTGCGAAAGTATTCCATGCAAAGCCACTGAAGTGAAAATAATACCTTATGAAAAGACTAGTAAGAGATATTGAGTAAGTGAGAGTTGTGGGTGGAGTTCAGTAGATGACGAAGTCAAACAAAAGGGTTACTCCAACGGACAAAATAACTTTTGTAAGGAAGTCAAGTGTGCATCGAAACATAAGTCAACGTGGCAAAACATGACAAAGCCTAAGGTGACAGCGTGACATGACACGACATGACATGACAGAAAAGTGACGCCTCCGCAGTTATTCAAGATAAAGCACAAGAACGCTCAACGCCTAGCTACATTCGTACTCCAACACTTTCAGCAGTCAGTTTTTGAAGAGGTGTTCTCTTTGCAGAAGTCACGTGTGCATCAAAACAAAACAAAACATAAATCAACGTGGCAAAACATGACAAAGCCTAAGGTGACAGCGTGACTTGACATGACATGACAAAAGTGACGCCTCCGCAATTATTCAAGATAAAGCACACCAACGCTCCACGCCTTGCCACATTCGTGCTCAAACGCTTTCAGCATTCAGTTCTCGAAGGGAGGCTCGGAGGCGTTCTCTTTGCAGCATATTGAACAGTCATACCTACAGCTTGCAATAAAGGTAATATTAGCACTTTGATATTATCTTAAAATTTCGTATTTGGAAGTTTCATATCTTTATTATTTCTCAAGCGGTGAACTCGGTCAAACTGATCGAATTTAAACTGCGCTTGGGTTCAAATGTTAAAATTAAAATAGTTTCCCCTGTGTGGAGTTTATTTTCACCATATGAAGCTGAATTTGCACGGCAAAAAAAGTCTTCTTGACATTGATGATCTGCTTCTGCAAAAATTGATGCGTAGGTAGATTTGCTTTCTTGCTTTGTTTTATCAAAGGTAAACTAATCATTACTAGACGTCTAATTTATTTGCATGAAATCTCTTTAGCTAATAATTCGCTTTAGGCTCCATTGCTCCTTCTGGCATTTTCCAAATGACCTACAATTTCTCACGCGACTACTCTTCGTGCAAAAATCTCAATGCAAATATAATCTTTGTGCAAATATATTGCATATTTTTTCTGGATTTTTTAATATCTGGGGCTTGCTTGCAATGAGTACATTGCAACGCATAACAAACAGTTATTTAGTCATACATTTTTGTTATTGCAAATAAGTGTCTCTAAGAGCTGTATTTTATTACTATTCTTGTACTCTTTAAGCACTAGGCGTTTGTCGGAGTCAATTATTCCATCGAATGCTAAAAGGCCCGAAATGTCGGCCATTAAAAAACCAATACGGCCGTTTGGTAAAGTTTCCGCACAGCCCCATACTATCGTAAAACAAATCTGTTTTCCCAGTGGAAATGTATTGTTTTTGTCATTGTTTTCTCTGTTCAAGAACTGAATGCATAATGTAGGATGGGGCTGTGCGGAAATTTTACCGGCCGTTTCCCTTCCTTGGTCGAAATGTTTCACTCGCCCACCGACTCAGCACAACAGTTTATTTGGATATTGGTAGCTTCTGAATAAATTGTTGTCAGCCTGACGTCAAAAGACGTCTATTGTAATGAAAATATCCTGATCGCGGCAATCATGCAATGGTCTATGGATGATATTAATTAAAAATACGTCTATAAAACGTAAACTGCTTCTAGTTAAGGTAATTAGGGACTCTCTGGTCATGTCACTGCGTCAATCTACGGAACAATCGTTGCTGGCGATTAATTAGTGAAAGGTTTTGATTATAAGTTTTTATAGGGGGAACACAAATCAAAGTTTAGGTAAAGATATCTGTACCTCTTACAAAAAATTTAGCGAAATTATCAGATACCTACAGTCTAAAGAACAGAATAGCTTATTCAGTCATCAGTACATTCTAGTTGTTAAGGGCACAATCTTATTTTCTCTAGACTGATGTTAACTTGCGTTAACATGCTTTAGTTGGCCTACCGGTTGGTTGTACGACTCGACTGTTGTAATTTGACCTTTGATACATACGTTGGCGTTACGCGTCTATTGAAATCACTCCTGCACAATTGTCGATAACCAAACCTTTCCGAACAACACAAAGTCGACAAGCGTGGCTTTCCGAACAGCACACGGTCGACAAGCGTAGCTTTCCGAACAGCACGCAATCAAAAAGCGAACCTCTCCGACAACACGCGGTCGACAAGCATGGATTTCAGAGCATCACGCGGTCGACAAGCGTGGCTTTCCGAACAGCACATGGTCGAAAAGCCCGACTTTCTGCCCTAAGAAAAGCTTGTCTCAATCAAAAGCAATTGCAAGTACAGTGAGCGGCTTTTGTTTCACCGATAGCAACTAGGCGGATGGAATCTCTCTTACGGCATCCCCTCTAAACAATATATGATATTGACAATAATATGATAACAATAATGAGTTGAAATGATAAAAATTTTTCATTCCTTTAGGGACTTTTGTTCCTCCAACATCCCGTCTTCCCTACTGTAAGCCTGAAGATTACTGATTGATTTCGGTGTGTTTTCTCTGAATTCTTTTTGCATAGCTTGCACAAGACGTACTATCATGGCTTACGAAGGATACACTACTTTTAAAGTAGAGATCAAGGAAGGTGTGGCGTGGGTCACATTTGACTTTCCTCCAGTAAATGTCCAAGGAAAGCCGATGTTGGACGATCTCAATCGTTTGGCCGAAGCTTTGGAACCGGATCGCTCCATCAAAGTCGTGGTATTTCAGTCTGCCCATCCTGACATTTTTGTATGCCATGCAGATATCGACATGTTAACCGAGATTCCGGCTAAAGAACGCTCCATGGACGAACCTTTACTGTACCTGCAGCAGGTGCTACAAAGGATCAGTGCTCTCCCTCAGGCGACTATTGCCAAGGTAGAAGGAATGGCCCGCGGAGGTGGTCACGAATTCATGCTGGCTTGTGACATGCGTTTCGCCGCCAGGGGGAAGGCAGTTTTCATGCAGATGGAGGTCGGTATGGGCATAGTTCCATGCGGCGGGGGAACGCAACGACTTCCACGCCAGGTCGGTATGGGTCGAGCCATGGAGATTATCCTAGGGGCACATGACTTTGATGCTGACTTGGCAGAACGATACGGAAGCATCAACCGAGCGCTGGACCCGAACGAAATTGGGCCATTTGTGGAAGAGCTGGCTGACCGTATAGCTAAGTTCCCTGCAGGTTCCATTACAGCGTGCAAAAGGAGTGTTCTGGCTGCTGTTGAAACTCCGATTGAAGAGGGCCTAAAGATCGAGGCATACCAGCTAGGGCAAGCTATGTCCACGACCCCTGGAGCTAAAAGATTTGCTTTTGGAAAGGAACAGGGCATCCAGGTTGATTTGGAAACCCAGAAGAACTGGGACAAAGGAGTTATGGACATCCAAGCAGTTCAATAACTAAGCATTTTTCTTTAGCTGAGTTTGCATGGAAAGACTGTCTTCACTAATATGTAGGTTCTGATTACATTTGAACTAGGAAATAACAGCTGCAGTTATATGTGTTGTAAACATGATTTGGTATGTCTATCGATTATCTTTGTCCATGTCAGTTTCCTTTTCCTTCGGCAATGGAATATTAAAGTTTGGACATTGCAGGACGAAAACCTGTTTGCTGGTGGTCTCTTTAACAAGTGCACTTAGATGAGTAAAGAGTCTTCTTTAATTCTTTCACCCCTCACTGACAGTGACTGGCAAATAATTTATCCTTAAAATAGCACTCCCAGCCGAGACAAACACTAAGGTCATAGGAATAAATGAAATGATCACCAACTTGAAGAGCCCTTGATTGTTAAACGTATTTTCCATGTTCGTACCGTGGGAACTGTGGGGAATGTACGGAGAGAAAATTGGAATATGCATACTTTTGTTAAGTTATGAATGATTAAGAGTTGTCGGTTAATGCCGTAAGGTATTTGTTTAGAATGAAACACACTTTTTACTCTTCAACCTCAAATCACTTCCTTCAACATAGTCTAAAATTGCAAAATAATGAATGGAATCGATGACAATTTCATCCATAGATCAGTGAACACGGCTAGGACTCCTCAGCTTTTTAAATCGTTGGATACGGCTTTTGTAACAAATTTCTATAATACACATTAAAATTAAAACCAAAACAAGAAACCCCCAAGGGTCGTTGGCTCGAGGTTCGCATACTTCGAAAACTTTGTTACTTTTCTTTTTTTTAGTAAATTTGTTTGGGTGTCCTGTTTTTGGTTTTAGGTTTTTGTTTTTGTTTCTGTTTCTGCTTTTCTGTTTTGTTTTTCATCTGTTTTTTAAACAAATGAAATAAAGGATTTCAAGAAAGAAGACCTCATAAAATAGAGTCTTTTCATTGAGGGGAATATTTTAACAGGCCTCCGCTAGCCTTCATTGATGGGAATATCTCAAGACGCCTCCGCTAGCCTAATCACTCATCAGCAGTCCTGATGATCTCCACCGTAGCATTCACAAATTCGCACCTCGGGCACCATTTGAGGTCCATTCTATCAAGGTTAGCTCGGTATCATGAAACAAGGATAATAAGTCGAGACAAAGAATAACGAACAAGCAAAAAGAAAGTTAGAGCATGCAATTTCGAGTTTGGCCGAGTATCGAGTCCTCATAATAGTCTCAGATTTTCCCGTGTTCCCCGCTCGTTTTGATACAACCATCTAACATCTTTTTTTATAACGATGCAGAGTGATCTTTAAACTGAAGCAGGAGTAAAAGTCGTTCGTAAGTAGTGAAAGATATCTGTGTGTTTGGAACAGATGTACAAACATGCATATCGCTTAACTCTCTTCATGGCCTCGACTTGTATTCTAAATAAATATCAAACTTTTAAATATATTCATAATTTGTTGTAAAAGGATCATCTGATCAAATAGTAAAAGTAGCTAGTATAGCATGATCAGGGAAGGAAAGATATCAAACCGAAGATGCGTTTTTCAAAATGAGCTTTTCTCTCAAGAGGCTAGTTTTCTACATGCAACATTTGCTTTTTTCTCGTCAACAATTTTCAGATAATTTTTTAAACCTATTTCTATGAATAAAAACTTAACAATTTAATTGCAAATCAAAATCATTTTAATCATCCATTCTTCATGAAAGTCCTTGAAATTGAATGCGTTCTTTCTCAGAGTTCAATTGAGACACATTTCGTTCTGTTTGGTCAGGTTTGAACCTCTGCCGGGGAAAATGTAATTCATTTTTCATGTGCTATTGAATTCTCCTTTACAAAAGAGCTCACCTTAACATCTGCTAAGCGATTTTTAATTGCTTCGTTGGTTTAAAGGAACCTTTAGCCGACGTTATTTAAACAGGTTTCGATGACTCTATGAATCTTAAGATATTTAAAGGCTTCAGTTGATTTTCTCTGATAATTCTAACTACATGTGTTGTGCTTTCTGTAGCAATTTCTTATCATGAGACACATTCTGGTTGCTTTAGTTTTGTGTCTAGGCGTTGTGTACGCCCAGAGTCCTGAGGGTATGTATCAGATTGAAAAGACTAAAGAAAACATTAAGACTAAAGAAAACATTAAAGGACGTTTGAAATCACGAGGCGCATTATGTAATTGTGTTTTTTATGGACCATTGCACCATCAACCAATAACTCTGCTGAGGCATTCTCCAGAATATGACCGGCTTATTTCGTGTTTCCTATCTTGTCACATGTGATGATTCCTTGTCTATTTTTATCCTTAGCTCCGTCTAATAATTCGCCTTCCATCGCACATATCTATCTTACACAACGAATATTTTGTACTCTTCAAAGAGTTTGCAAATTGTTATATCTATATAGCTATACTTGTGGTTGGTAAGCAAGTTTTTCTTGCTTCCTGACTGATTTTGCTAAGTTAATTCATTAACCAAATCTTTATTACTCTAAATGCATCAGAGAACCGAGACTCCATTAATCCAGACCTGTTTGAAGGAGATATGATTCTAGAACCAGGTCAGCGATTGGCGGCTGAGTTTGGGCTTGATCTTGATGGGCTTAACCGTGGAAGCGTCAGAAACCGACAGTGGCCAAATGGAATTGTTCCTTACAATATTCACTCCAGTCTTGGTAACGATCGTTCTACATAGTTAGAATTATTGGTGGAATGATATACTGTTTTACATATAGCAACTCAATCAGAACTTTGTCAAGAAACCACAACAACCAAAACCCCCAAAATGATTGCCCATGTTACCTCCCTTGAAATTTCCGAGATCTCAATTTATTTACCCTCGATACTAGTTTTTGTTTTTAATCTCATTGCTGTTTCGTTTGCTTTTGTTCTTGATACATTATTTTCCTTTTTTTTTACCTATAATTTTTTTTTCGCCAATTGTACTAGCCACGCAACCAAAGGCAATGAAAGCAATCCAAGCTGGTATGGATCTCTGGAGCAGCCAAACCTGCATCCAGTTTGTTCAGAGGACGGCTGAGAAGGCTTACATAGAGTTCTTCAAAGGGAGAGGGTATGGAATAAACCGTTGAACGAATTTTTACACTCAACAGATCTAAAAGACCAGTTATTAGTTGTAAACGAGGGTGGGGGAGGAAAGGGGGGGGGGAAGGGAAGGATGAAGGATTCAATGGAGGATTTACTGGGGGAATGGAGAGAGGATCAATCGTCGCCAAAAAAGTATAAAATCGGGTACTATAAAAAATTGACTGCTAATTTTCTGCCAATGAGGTGATGGGAGGGGGGGAGGGGGAGAACATAAGAATATTCTAGTGCCCTAATTTTATCCAAAATCACCACCCTTCCCCGGACATGAATAATGGCCAATCCCTAAACTCTGATGGACAGTGCCATAGAAACGAAATCATTTTCTTCTTGTAGAATGACTTTGGTTTTGTACAGTTAGCAAGATTTGATGATTAAAATCTCGCGAGGTCTTGCAGTCTTGCAATCACTATGATCGTATAACTTGAGATAAAAAAAAAAGATTCTTGTAACAAACTTGTACAAAAAAAATTCTTTCTCCAGTTGTTGGTCATACGTGGGACGAATCGGAAAGAAACAACTACTCAGTTTAGCCGCAGGATGTTGGGGCAAGGGTACAGTGTCACACGAAATCGGTAAGTTTGAATGAACAATCCCGGAAGTAATCGACATTACTTTGATTTTCCTTTACTAGAGCAGATGCATTTCGATCGAGTGTCGTAAAACTAAGACTGAAGGAGCAATGGTCAATAAAAATAGAATGAAAAATCATGATAAGCCAATTAGAATTCAAAGTAAAAAAGCAAACAAGCTGGAAATGCCAGTGACATTAAAGGCGTGATTTGTTTTAGTTTTAAGGGATCTTAGTCAAGAACAAGGCATTGCACGCTTGGTCCGCTATTTACTATGCCATCTAATTTCGTGAAATTTTCATTGTCTCATCCTAGTGCATCCAAGAAATTTAAATATATCGAGGTCTTCAATTGTTGCAGCAGTCCTCTGAAATTATCACTGGTTTATTCTGGGTAGTTATTGTAGTGGTTTCTTGCAATTTTCTTGAGAAATTTTTGTTTGTAATAGGACCATCGATAGCATCTCGCGTTCCTTCACATGGAAGGACTAAAGCCACGTGGCAGATAGAAAGGATTCTGCTTAGAATTGGATGATATTTCGTTACAAAAGACAATATTTTCTTCTGTGTGCCAATTTCTTTGTTTCAAGTGACCCTTCTCTATCGGAGCAGATAACTCCAGACACATGTTTCTCCAGAACTTCGTCGGGTATCTTCTGTTCCCTTCTTTAAACGTATTTTGAAACTTTTTAGGTTGTTATTAACGTGGAGCGCGCTTCTCAGTTACGAATCTTTTCCTTACTTCTGGTAAGTGTTGACGGGCCAGCACGATTCCTGCCAGGCGTTCAGTGTAATATGAACGATTTTTCCCGCAGTTGCCCGTATGTAAACAAAACCAATGGCATGGTTCACTTGGATAAGAAAGTGGCATGGGTTCGAAGGACCAACCAAGGGACCAATGAAGCTTGTACAGTATCGCAAAACTTTATCGAAATGAGCCCTCATCCTTTTTTCAGTTTCATAACGACTCCCTCCTGCTCCACAAACGCTGAAAAAACTCTTTCGCTAACTTACTCAAAAGGATAAAGACGGATTTTCTTTTTTCTTTGCAGCCCATGCCCTCGGGTTTTTTCACGAGCAATCCCGCCCTGACAGAGATGATTACGTGACTATACACTTTGAGAACATTAAAGATGGTAGGTACTATTATTATTAGCTTTAGCCTTATTGTGTATGGATACGATTTTTCTGCTATCTGCGTCGACAAAAGACACTGAACATTTTTCAATATTTCAAATAGTCTACAGGTTAATGAATAACTTGGATTATCATATATATTAGCTAGACTTACTATAAAATATCTGCTTGGTCGAGAGCATTCAGTCAATGTACAATAGCAGATGAAGTTGAAATGATAACCCAATATCTGCAACGGATATTTCATTTATCATGTCGAGTTCAAAGTCTGCCTAGTTTCCAAGTCCCTTGTCCGTATAGTGTTCTCTAACTTTTGCATACTCAGTTCAGTTGTTTTCAAAACACTGTAAAATGTAACAATTATTAAATTCGATTTTCACATGATGTCATTAATTATCGCGTAAAAGTCATCTGCCTCAACCTTCGGCTTTGGCAAATAACTCAGATATAATAATTCATGATAACATGCTCAACCTCATCCAATAATTGCTTAATTGCTCCAGTTCAACAACGTCGATCGTAACATACCTATCAGCGTTTTTTAATCAAAGGCGAGGGAGTTCATCATCACAGTGCTAGCACTTCTATCGGTCACTCGATCATATCCGAATAATGCCGAACGTTTTCAGAGACAGGCCATATTCGAGCTATATGTAGGATTTTCCAAAATTAAGTAAGTCTTGGCAATGAAAATTGACGCAAACGTGTGTTCAGTGCTCCATCATCTCAGTGTTTGCATGGATCTGCTTTTGCTATCAAAATGATTCAAGTTCATTCTACATACTTCCTTTCAATCTCGAAAATACGCCTATTAAGGCGAAAAAATATAAAAATCTTCCGTTACGAGTGAGGTGTTGGTTGGCAGACTTTGGCTAGAATGCGATTGAGTTTTCAACATGGCAAGCGTAACGATTGCATTATATATCGTTGTCGTGATGTGTCTCTAAACTAGAGCGAGATCAAGATAAGCATGGACACAGGCCAAATTATTTTTGACACCATCCTCTTCTCTTGATCTACTTTCTTGCAGGAAGAGCCGGAAACTTCAGAAAGTACCGAAAGTCTTCTGTCAATACGCTTCTAACCTCGTACGATTATGGCAGTGTAATGCATTATGGGGCCAGATATTTCAGTAAGAATAGAAAGCCGACAATCGTGCCCAAGAAGAGCGGGGTAGGTGTAAAGTTTCATGAAGCGTGAGGGTCATCAATCAAACCATGAAAAAAAAAAAAATAAAAAAAACAGAAAACAAACAAGCACACAATTTAACATTGTCTTCACGCCACTCCTAGTTAATTTTAACATTTTTGGAGAATACGCATCGTTTCCTGAAGGAAAGTTGTCTTTTCACCGAGAGATCAAACAATTTGGGATACTTCTGCATGATCAATTGATTTTACATTAAAGAGATAAAAATTGCGGCTATACCAATTCCAGAAATAGAGCCAATTTTTTAATCAGCTATTGTGTAAATACTGCATACTCTTAGGATCAGCAATGTTGAGGCGTCGGGTTTGAAAATTTTGAGCTGGGTAAAGAAATAGCTTGTGATTTTTTTCCCTCATGTCACGAGCGTAAGACAGAGAAAAACCCTTTGAGTCATTGATAACGACAGAAATAATGAGGATGATGATGATGATGATGATGATATTTAGAGTACGACTACCTAACAAAAGTGCAAGCCGAAGGACTGTGAGGTTTATTATGAATTCTCGGAGATCTTAAGCCTCAATACTCATCTGTAATGTAAAATTAACTTCAGTAACATTGGTTTTTTTTTATTTCTGGTTTTCTGTATAGGTTTTCATTGGTCAGCGAGCTGGTCCCAGCGCAACGGATGTTCTTGAAATGAACTCTGTCTACAAATGCAGTGGACCAAGTTCTTTCGGTAAATTCAGACCATGAGACGATTGAAAAGATAGAAGAGTGTAAACAGAATTTTTTAAAAAGATGCATTTAGTTTAAATAATGGTCGATTAAAATATAATATAGGTTTAATTGGTGCTCTTACTGAGAACCAAATCCGTTGATCTGGAAATCTGTCTCACTAGATCTAACACGGAAATGTGGTCAAAGTACAGTGTTAAGTTTGTACAACCACTCTTCTTCTCTACGAGTCAGCAGCAAACACAATTAAATTGCCCGTTTGGTGATAAGACACACAGAGCATTAGGTGTATTTACACGAAGAGATTCAGTTGATTATCTCTTGTGTATACTGGAAACGGAGCTAATCAGTCGAGGGAGAGCGAGATTGTGTCGAAGGAGAGCGATCGGTTTAGTTTGCCAATAAAGTTTAAAGTTAGAACTACGTCGGAGTCAGTATGCAATGTTCCTGCAAGAACGCTCACCAGTAAGATTCTGCTTCAGGTTGGTGCCGAGACAAATACCCTAGATGGTGCCAACAGAACAGAAGATACTGCCACTGGCACAGTCACATGAAAGGAAAATGCAATCGAACCTGCTAGTTATGCTAAAAAGGTAAGTTAGATTAAAATAAAATTTTAAAATGTATATATTAGAAAGAAAACGGCTACGAGTCTAAAAAGTAAATTTACTGCATGCACATTCATGCTTGTATATCAACATAAGCTTAGATATAAGCCAATCAGTCAATGAGATTTCGGGCTTATATCAGAGCTTACTAAAACCACACATTAATAACATTAAAAAAACATATGAACGATCCTCGACCAACCTGAGCAGCCCATTTTGCATAATAACGTGCGTCATTATGAAAATGAAAGATGGACAAAACTAAACACAGCTGAAAAATTAAGTTGCGCAGTTCAATTACCATTATTAACATAGTAGAGTGCATTACACTTTTGTCTCACGGCAGTAATAAGCGAATTATAGAAGAGGTATAATGTTACATCAAAATTGCACCACTAAACAACGCTCAATTCCACTCTTTTTTAGACCCTTTTGAAATAATGCAGTTTAAGTGTTAAATCGTGGGAGTTTGGTCGCCACCACTGACTAAGGGGTAAAAAGAAATGCTGAAATGCGATTGATTGTTATGTTTTGGTGTTCCCAAAGTTCTTCCTCGCCTGCAAAAGAAGAAAAGATACGATTTAGAGGAAACGATCGATAATGCGGTTCGTGAGTAGATCGCACTGCTAAAAACCAATCAAATTGAAAGACTACAAGAGCTTTAAAATGGATTTAAAAAGAAACGTCTAACTGTCTCTGAAAATTTTTGCACAGAATGGGTAATTGATACAATAACAATACTCTTAACTTTCAACTTAATGCAGAAAATGTTTCTATGTTAACAATTATGTATTATCTCTAACACTTAGCACTCCGATCATAAATATTCCATTTCCTTTCCTCTCGCAGGTCAGGTCCACTGTTGGAGGAAATACGTCATTTAACACACCAAAAATCAATAAATACATTGAAATTATAGAATTAAATGACAGTTTTTCACCTTTTCTTGCTATCGCCCAATAGTCGGTCAAATGCTCTCTCAGACCACGTAGGTAAAACAGACGAAGAAAAAGGAAAAAAAAATAGAAAGAAAGAGAGAAAGAAAAGAATTAATAGATTGAAGCTAAATAAAGCAAAAGGGTCGTAGCCTAATTAGTTGTCGGATGTTGTATCAGCTGGAAAAAAAAGACAATACACCATAATACTGAGTTTAGTGCATGAGCGCCTGATTACTCCCTTACTTGTTATTTCTCACTTCTGAGAATGAAATAAGACCCTTTCCCGAGTTGATTGATCTTAATTTGCAAAAAGCGATCGAAAGATTGAATGACGAGTATCCCGAATAATCCCAATAAATGTAATATATAGCAGAGAGACACCAGCAAAAAATGTCGTCGATATGCTGTGGGCAGTCACGATTTTACAATCAGGAATTTTTTTTTGTAAACTCGATATAACGCCAGTACATACAATGGATGAACGATAAGGCCGACACAAAGGTCAGTCAGGGCCAATTCAAACAGGACATAGTTCGATGTTGTGCGCATAGACGAAACCAGCATAAAACTGAAAATAATTAAGATGTTTCCCACAGCTGCTGTGAACATGAGCCCGATATTGAAGATAACATTCAACAATATTGTGTATTCGTATTTCCCGATGAGTATTATAACTGGAACATTTATGAAGCATTCACTTAGAGATGCGTTTAATGTTTAACTCATCTCTGAAAATGCCGCTTCGTATTTGTTTTCAAACCCGCGCTTATCGGGCATCGATTTTGACCTTTCTTTGATTTACATACGTCCATAACTTCATTTTTGTTCAGATTAGCATGGTGGTGCGAAATTTCTCCGAACAAAGAAAACTATATCAAAAGGTAAATAAGTTAGTCCAGTTCATTTACTACACTTGACTAATTAAATTTCCTTCTTACATTGCAATAAGAACAAAAATTACTTGAAGAATGTCTCGGGGTGGATTCTATAGCAGTATTAAAATAACACTTTTCCTCGTTTAATGTTTATTGCGCATGCTGTTGTATATTTATGGTCTTTGCATTAGCTCCCTCGACCAGGTCGTCCAGCTCCCGACCACCGAGGAAGACAAAGCGCTAAGTTTTTACTTTTCTCTCTGTTCTTTAAGCTCAAGTGAGAAGTGTTCGGGGGATGGGGGTAGGGAGATGACCAAATCCCAAATAAAAATTTGGCAAATTCTCTCCATTTCTGATATTTGTTACTTTGTACGTAAATTAATGTTCGAGTATTGCAAAAGCTTTGAGTTTGAAATGATTTCCAATTGTCCATTGGCAACAATACCGCGTTAATTGGCAAACCATTTATTCAGCGATCCCAAGATCTTCGCTTTCAATATCGCAGGATATTTATCTGAATCATATGGCTAAATATCATCCGCAAAGGCAGTTACAGAAACTTCTCTCAGGGAATAGAATAAATCTTCATAAGAAAATATTAAATAAATTCGTGCATGGTCATGGAATAATATTAGGAGAAAACCAAAAACACGAGCACACTGTACCAGACAGCTAGTCTTTGATAGCTTCATTCGCTTGCAGCATCCAGACAAAAGATGCGACGATAAGTTCTCTTGACGGCGATTCGAAAATCCCTAAGCCGTAAACAGTACATTACTGGATTCAAAGAGGAGTTGGAGAACATTAGTGTTACAGTGAACTCGTATATCAAAGCCACACTAACGTTTGGAGCACCGCTAGAGATCTTGTTTACAGCTGTGGTCACGAAAAAGGGAAAGTAGCATACCAAGAAGGCAAAAAATACGTAGAACGTGTTTATTGCGGATCTCCTTTGTTTTTTCAATCGATTTGTTTCGCTCTGTTCGCTCTGTGCTTCCATTTGATCGCGGATTTGGGCTTTATGGCGCCTCACAACCAGGTAAATTTTGATATACACTGCAAATGTAGCCACCAATGAAATTGCTATAACAACTGCTGCAAGAGTTGAATACACATGGAACCCTTCCATCCAAACCAAGCTAAGTAAGGCGTTAGTCGCCCAGATAGACAACTGCACTAGCTTGACTCGTTTTTCGGTGACAAGTAGTGGATATCTCAAATGCAGCCGAATCGCCAGAAATCGATCTAAACCAATAAATGTGATGTATAACAGCGAGACACCCGCAAAAAATGTCGTCGATATGCTGTAGGCAGTCACGATATTACAATCAGGAATGGCATTTTTGTAGACTCGATATAACACCAGTATATACAATGGGTGAACGATAAGGCCGACACCAAGGTCAGTCAGGGCCAATCCAAACAGGACATAGTTCGATGTTGTACGCAGAGACGAAACCAGCATAAAACTGAGAATAATCAAAATGTTTCCCACAGCTGCTGTGAACGTAAGCCCGATATTGAAGATAACATTCAACAATATTGCGTATTCGTATTTCCCAATAAGTATTGTAACTGGAACATTTATGGAGCATTCACTTTTAGATGCATTCAGTGGTAAATTCATCACTAACAGTGTTGTTTCCTTTCAATCCCACGCTAATCTTGACCTTTCCTCGGTCACTGTTGATATAAGAAGGCTTGATGCGTTCTCCGATGGTTATCAGCGGCTAATTACGCAAAACACGAAGGTGTCCGATCGAGAGTCATTTATTTAAATAGTTTAGTCATTTTAATAGCTTGTTGCCCTATGCCGGGGTCAGAATTAACATATAGAATACAGTGTTACGAGATATTATTATGGCAGCCGCTATTGCTCGGGTCGGCGAAAAAAGTGAATTCTTATAAACTAAAATGAAATAATTTTCTCGCACACGTTTTCTAAGGGGTGGGAAGTTCGAAGAGAATAACATATAACAAAAAAATTAGTCAGAGTCTAACGGCTCAGAAAATCAAGCAGCATCTGTGTCTGTCAAAATGGGATGAAAGATGAAAGGCAGGTGTTCTTGCATTAATTAGTTTTACTCTCCATCCTTCATAAGAACTTGTGCTCGGCTTGGGGAATTTTACAACCTGGACAACGCTTGGTTCGACCCATTGAAATCAATAAACGTACGAAAAACAACGCCACTTGACAAAACACTGATCACGCTACGAGAGCTGTAACAAAACTGAAACCTAATACTGTAAACAATAAAGAATAGACAAAGGTGTGTCGCGTGGCGTGAGGCAATTAATCCCTTTGCGCAATAATGCCCAAAGAGGGAAAATTAGCCGCTTACAAAATGTTCATCCTCTTTCTTATCTTGATTTGGTAATGTACTGTTTTGCTCTACACAATTGTCACGAATCAGAAGTTGAAGGTACTTAATTATTAACGTCGTAAAAGTATTTTTAACTGGATGTAAGCGCTTGTTTATCCAAACAACTACTGAAATATCATCAGTCATTGAAAGGGTACCATCTTGGTTTAAAATAAATTGCGGAAAAACCAACTAAATAAAGTGATCTCGGGGGAAAATGCAACAGGCGATGAGCATGCTCCATCAAATATTTTTCTTGGTTTAGTTATCATGATCACAATAGCTTTCAAAAATATTGTGTATAGATAGGCTATAGAAGCGAGAGAGTGCTATCCTCTTTTAATTTTCTAGAAATTTCCCCCTTTTGGGCTGATTAGAAATTACCAACACAATTACTCCTGAGTTGCACGACACGGGAAAAAAAAAACAGCTTGTATGGTATATTTTTGTAAAATATGATCGCTTTTTATCCTTTAACGTGATATCGAAGGTTGAATACAAACAAAGATGATTTACTGCTCGATAAACCTATATAATTATATATGCTTATTTTAAACTATTAAATGGCCGATGAAGAATACTCATGAAGTGTTCAAAAAGGTTTAAAACATAAAGGAAATATTTTCAAAATTTCAATCATTTCCTCGTGTGCTTACCCCTTCTCTCTCCTTGAGTTAAATTAAGAAGCTACTTCTTTGCGTTGTCGGAATTTGAAATGTGCCCCATCTTTTCCGACGGCGGAAATGACAAATGTTACCTATTATTCTGTTCTAAAACTTCACACCGGCAACGATCTTTTCCGACCAAGTTCTTTCGAAAACAGAACACAATCCCAAACTATTTGTAACCAAACAAGTATGTTTACTAAACTCAGTAGCGAGAATGAAATGCTAGATATTGTTGGTTGAAAAAATAAAATTGAAAAATGAAAAAAATTTTAAATGGCAACGCTGTTGGGAACCCGCTCCGGTAGCAGCCAAGGATAGGAAAATTCCAGAGACGCGTTGCGTTCCTTGATGGCATCCGATATCCGCTGAAGGGAAGACTGGAAACGAGAAACAGCATTCTCCACTTCTTTCCCTGTCAAAGAGCTCTGAGAATAGTCTCCAATGAAACGCTGCAAAACAGAAAGTTCCAAGTGAACTAATTCAGAGTTCCTGGAGATCTAAGTGCATCTGGCCAAACAACATCTACTCACCATAATACCACAAACAAAGTCTAATTGAGGGAAATTTCACTGTTCAAATTATGTTATCCCAGGTCCAAACAACTATTAGTGTCATTATTAACATAATGATTATACTGAGTATAGCCAGTCGTAAAGTTCTATTTCTACATTACTAGTTCCTCTTTTACGCAAAAATTCCTTTCCCGCAAAAACCACAACTGTAAGTTCCTACCTCGTTTTCTGCCATTCTCGTAAGAGTGTACACAGTAGCAACGTGCCAGCCAGTTTGATAGTGGCTGGGTAATGTATCCATGATGGTCTTCAGAGTTACTTCATTCTTTCTAGTTGGTGGTGGAAGACGCATTACAGGTGGGACATTCGGGACGAAGCCGGTAAATTCCATCTGAGCGTAGTTAACCGCTGCGTGTTGACATGAACACCCAAACACTATACACGTTAGTAGGTGAACCAGCTGATCACGTTTCTGTAAACTTCTGGGAAACTCGTGGTCAACATCTCCTTCTCTTACAGGGAAACCGTTTTCGTGTATATCCTTCACGAAGGACTGCAACTCATGATCCTTAATAACATCTTCGTCTGACGCATAGAAGATGGCAACGAATTCCTGTAGGAAATCTGAGATGGCATTCCACATAAGGAGTCCGTCATCTCTGATGTGTACAGTAAATATGGTTAGGAAATTGATAGAAATAACGTGTCACACTTTTCGAAGATAAAAGGCTGATTAGGCTGGCCGATATGTCACTTGTTTCTTACAGATTCACCCAAAATGGCTAACCACAACCATGCCTCAATCAACCTTCAAAGCCTTTTTAACCCTGCATCTTTGTGAAAGAAGGTTTACCAAATAATTTATTCGTTGATTTGGTCTTATCAAATGAGTTTATAATGTAAATTGGCCACTTTGAAGAGTTGCTGAGCTAACGTTTCGAGCATTAGCCCTATTTCGTTTGCCCTTCGTCATTCACTCTGATAGAGGGCTAATTCTCGAAACGTCAGCTTAGAACTCTTCACAGTGGCCAATTAACATTATCAACTCTCTCGTTAAAACCACATTATTCATCGAAAGCTTACCTGTAGAAGTAATTAGGCAACTTTTCAATGTCTTCCACACCTCTTTTTTTCAACATGCCTGGCAAAGAGAGCATTTCAAACTTGAAATTCTTGTACGTTTTTTCCAATAGTTGAATGTGCCCTCCACCGCCAATGCTCAGAGTTTTGTCGCAAATGCCTCCTTTTGCAATCAATTCATTTCTTCCAATGGTATTGATGGCCATTACTGAACGAAGATGAGGAAAGAGAAGCTGAAAGATAGGATGAATAGACGGCAATTGCCGCCATGAGGCAACAGCAAACGCTTCCATCAGCAAATGAGTTTTTGTCAAGTGGGTCCCCATCTACGAGAAACAATAGACACACTTGTGATTATTACATACCTTATTACATCAGATCTTTGTTAATGAGTTCGCATTTGAAGATGAAATGTCTCTTTGCATTCTCGTAAGGGATTCCTCTTCCCATGACATATACATATTTAGACATTAAAAAATTGGTAGGATCGTAGCTTACTTGGTCGCGCTGATAAGACGCAACTTTAAAAATCGGATGGTGTCCACCAATCTAACAGACCTCACTTGCCTAGGATGAATTCGACCAAGCATTCTGATACTGACCTGATGCACTTGATGGTCTGCATTTCGAAACCACATTTTCGCCAGGAGCCAATCATAATGCGTGTCGCCGGGAGTCCATATTGGGTTATTTTCGCTGGGTTCTTGGAAAAGTTGAATTGCAATAGGCACCAGGTCTCCTGAATTCTTAACATAAAAGAGACAAATAGGCTCAGCTGCGTAGTGGGATTTGTAGTTGCTGTCCTTACCACCGCGTTTGATTCCCCTGAGTTCCTTGTAGTCAACAATGAAGACATGTCCAGCCTGATTAAAAGAAAGAGATGTTAGTATCAGCTATCTGCTATTGTGAAATGTCAGGCCCGAGTTGGCGATCAAAGGCGCAAGTCTATCACGGTTAGCTGCATTGCATAACCGACTTGTAGCTTTGATTAAATTAAGTCACCCAGCGTCAACTGTAGTAACCAACCAGACGGGCTATAATATTCTAAAGAAGCCTTTATTATTAATTAATGTAGCTTGAACTTAATTACCTGATGGATTATATTAACGAATTTCTAGTCCATTTGGAATGTTTTGTTCAACAATGGGATTCTGTTTACAAATGCAGAGACCTGACTGGTCAATTTTGACTAATATCAGTGCTCATATAAAAATGCGGATGACTCAGCGCTGTCTCTTATGATGATTGATGGAAATTTGTGAGGCTTTCTCGATGAACTTCAGCGCAGAGCACTTGTTTCATTGTGGTGTGATTGTTTGTTTGCTTTTGGTTTGTTTCTTTTGTGCAATACTAACCCTAATTTCTTGAGCCAATGTCATTCCTCGGTCGAGAAACTTTGCCACCATTTCGTCTGAAACAGGAAAGTTGATTGGCAGCTCGTCGCATCGTTCGATAACACATGGATTGCAGCCGTTTAGGAACTGGTAGCCAAACATCCTATCTTCCATCCAGAGATTATTTTGGGAAATTTTAGGTATATCTCCTGTCCAGCCAGTAAAGACTCTCTGAAAGCTTTCAAAGCTGTCCCAACTGCTGAAAATACTGCGCAGATAAGAAATCCCAAGATTGATCACTCCATGAAGACGGCCATCACGAAATGAGCGTGACTCCTCGTCAGAAAACTGCGCATCTCTTGGGAGATCACCATGTTTAGGAGCATGAATGAAACCTGGCAAATCGTTTACACCGGGTGGAAGACGTCCCCAGAGGTATTGTTCCTTACGGTCTTGTATCTCAAGAATGCGTTGGTTCTTTATTACTTCTGGTTGATCTTGGAAAGGAAGGACTGCTATATACACATAAAAAAAGTTAATTGGTTAGATAAGACGTACTAACCTCGAGCAATCTCATTAGCCATCACAATAAGAATGCCCATGGATATAATCTACGACGCCTGACGAAGTAGACATTTTAAAACTGAGATGAACAGGGTATTGCAACGAGAATAGATACACACATAGTGAGAAGTAGCGCAGTAAAAAATTATCTCAAAAAATAGTTTTTCACAAGCATTAGTCGCTTTATCATTTCAAGCCGATATACGCAATTAGTGCTTGCTTTCGATTTATCTTATAACGAGGTACGTTGTACACAACTCTGCAACCTCGATGCTTTCAGTCTTGCGAAACCTATCGTTCTGAAGAAAAGATGTGACGAATGATACTCTTATTTGCTTTATTCTGCACAAGTGTGAAGTTCCTTAATTGATGGATGGCGTTGAAATGCACTTGCGCTCATTTTGAAGTAAGCTCATTCGGGATTATACTTCAAGCTGAGATATTAGATATCAGTGAATAGAATTACCTTTTCCTATAAAAAGAGTCATATCGGAAACCACCCAGCGAAAACATGGAAATTCAAAAGGGTCTTTTTGCTCAGAGCTCGTCACAGTGATCCTGTTAACGAACCAATGCGGATGTTTGTGCCACGAATATGCACCGTCATTGTGAAGATGGATCATCAATATCTCTCCAACATCCATCGCTTGTAGGGTGTATTCGTCCTTGTGTCCAGCTTCTAAGTCATTGGACCAAGAGGATAGAAAAAGCTTTTCAGTTTTTCCTCTAGTTCCTGAAGAGAACGCAACAAAAAACGTTTCAAAACATGTCTAAAAGTAACTGAATTAGCTTGAGGAGTATCAAAAAATCTTTTGGTTGTAAATACCTGTCAGTGATACCGAGATGTTAGCATCAGTTCCTGCTCTTAGCCTTTCACCAGTTTCCACCCTTATCTTATACGTGGCCACGTGATCTGGTTTTATGCTCGCCTTCCTACTTAATCTAATTGTCTGCGTCCTCTGGTACACCTCTTTCCGTATGTGAGCTATACAGTTAGAGTGCTGGGTACCTCGTGCTTGCAGAAGGTAAATGGAGCTCGGTAGGTTTCCGACATTGAACCTCAATGCCTCGCTGGCTTGAGGGGATAGGATGGTGGTTAATGTGACATCAGCTACGTCCAACCAGGGATGAGCATTCTCGTCCCAGTATCGCCCGAGATCAAGGATATTTGGAGGATCGTCTGATCGTACTTCGTGGAGAGTCAGTTGAAGCTTGTACTTGACTGGTCCACGAGATATTCTTGCCTTGAACTCTTCTGTCAAATATTCCTTTGGTCTAGTTTCCGTTGGAAGTCTTTCCTGCTCCCTTAAAAAAGAAATACAACAGGAACAGTAATCAAAAGGCTAACTTAACTGATTGCAATGGATAGGAAGAAACTCAAAATTTGTTGGCAACCCTTTTTAACAATTAATATACAAGTATACTGAGGGCATGAATTGGCTGCAATACTTCCATTGTTGTAGTTTTATTTCGCATTATCAGTGTAAGGAACGTAAGGAAAAAACACAAACAAAACACAATCTAATAATTAATTCTAAAATTGTTGTTTAAGTGCAGAGAGTGTGGCAGGCTTTTTCCTCGCTCTGGAAGTAAAGAGAGATGTATGTAAGGTGGTGCGGAAGATTTGTTTTATTAGGTAGGGAAAAATTACACCATACAGTAATGTACTTGCTACAGCCACTAGGTAGTCAAAGCCGTCTCTAAGTAATTATATCAGCTTACCAAGCCTTTCTTTGCTCATCTTTTGAAAGCAAACCCGTTTCCAGCGACCCATCAGCTGGCACCAGTCGGAATCTAACGTAACGCTCAACGCTGTCAAAGGCCTTCAGGCCCATTATCGTTTCGGAGTAATATCGCTGGTCGTAATATGAGTTTGGTGCACGCCGCAGACCGTCTATATTACTGGCAAATCTGAAATTTAAAGGAGAAAAGTGTAAATAATTGAAATGAGCACTAGGCATGGTACACCTTTCTAAATTAATAATGATCAGCCATGTAGACTTTGAGTAAATTTCCGTTAGTGTAAATATCCCTTGTCAATGTACTCATATTCGAGTTTTTGCCGACCTAGTAAACAAGTCATGTGCGAGCACTGCATCAAAAGTTAGGTTTGCATACCCACGCACTTGTTGGACTTTTGCAGGTGGCTGATTATTGTTTTCCTAAGCGTACCAGCGCTTAGGAAAGCAAAGAAAACACGAGTCATTAATATGTTATTTTTATATCCTATCTTGACATTTTCTGTGATGTATAAATATACAGACGCACGGCAACATAGAACTTTATATGCAATTGAAACGTTATCTATGCGTCTGGAAGAACCAATCGAAATGCGTGTTTAACTCTTTAAACCCTAAGAGTGACTAAAATCAAAATTGTTCCTTTAGCATCACCCCTAATCACACATTAAGGTCATGAGAATACAGGAAATGATCACCAACGGAAGAAGCTTTTGACTGGTAAACAAATTCTTTTTGTGAGCACTTAGGAAATGAATAATGAGCAGTATGGAGGATATGTATACTGATTTTAAGGAATCAAGGGTTAACTCAACTCATTATATAATCAATAATACTTCATTTCGTATTTATCTATCTAATCGTGCATTTGTTTATTTACTTATTATTTTGTTTTTTTGATTTGTTTCTACAGTTGCCTCCTATTCATGTACCATCTACATCTTTTATACTTTTGGAACGTATCCAGCAACGCTTTCTAGAATGCAACTTACCGAACGGGATTATTTAGATAGAACTCTTTCACATTACCACTTCGATAGGATTCCAGTGCATCATAAATCGTCTGTATATTCGATAAGACGGCTGGCCGCCCAGTTGACATGATAATATCCAAAGGGCTGTCTTCTTGGTCGCTATCTGCAAATCGTATCGAGGCGCCCCGAAAATCTGACATCGCGTCATCTTTACCTTTCAGGGAAGCGTGGCGAAGACAGACGCGAAAAGATTTACCAGGTGTAAGGAACTCACAAGAAGGGAATTTTGGCTCCGACACAACAGTCGCAATCCCCTGGGCTGCGACACCAATGGCATGCGTTGGACGCTTTCCGCTGAACAGAGCAATTGCGCCAAAGATATATTTGAGTTTCTCCTTTTCAATGCCAAGTTTAACTCCATCAAAGATACTTTTTGGTAGGATCTGTCACGAAAAGCGGCATTTATTACGAAATAAACATTTAATCATGATGGCCTCGTCCATGATTGATTTGTTACACTACATTCATATTATGAAAATATTGTCCATAAGGATCTGCACTTCTTCCCTCGCGTGCAATCATTACCTATTTCTCTGAAATGCACTCTTTTCACAAGAAAAAGGAATACATAAATCAAAGAAGTGACAAAATAATTTTTTTCTATGTTTTCTCTTCCCTCTTTGGATGTATTATATGCTTACTATGCTTTGGTAGCACACACTGTGACATGCACAGTCAGAAGAAAAAGACAATTTCTAAAATGTTGCAGGAGTTACATTAATTTTTTTGTTTTGTTTTTGTTTTTGTTTTTTTTTTACTTTCATGATGTGTTGAATGTTTAACATGTTATTAGAAGCACACCGCTTGTAAAGCTTTGAACTCAGGATTCTTACCGTATCTGCCTCCTTCATCTTTCTTTCAAAGTCTTTTTCCCCCTTGATTTCCTTGTAAATTTCGTAGCCGTAGTTTTTCCCTGAAATAGATGTCTATAACATGAGTTGACTCCAAACTTTATCTAGTTATTTTAATTTTTGGCTAAGGGTGGATAACCGTTTCAGCATAATTCGAATTCTGTTGTAAATTTGTAAATAAAGAAAGCAATGCGCAATTTTTTTTACTATCTTTTTGATTAATCATGACAAGATAAGGTAAGATAATATAAGAAATCAGTTTAAGCTGGTTTCTTTAATTCAGTCAGAGAAGAAGCCATGCTTTTTTTTGGAAAAGTGTTCCGCTAGACTCATTAGCATATTTTGTATTCTTCGCAATTGAATTTTCTTCTTTTGCGTTCATCACTTCCTCGGAAACATTGACAAAACGCGAGGCAGCCATTACGAAATAAAGTGGCGATCTCTATAATAGCGGTCCGGGGCATTTCGCATCGGAAAAAGTTTTGCTTCAAACTTTTCCCATTAAACTATCTTTGGTAGTAAGTAAATAAAACCACATTGGTTTTTGGAAATACGTTAAAAAATATTTTTGAGAGCCCTCAATGATCAAAGCTGCAAAAGGCCCTTTTTAGTTCATTCATGCTGAAAACAGCGAATAAGATATTATGGTGAAGCAGGTGTTGACGGAAGTTGTCGACCAAGGGCGGAAGTTTTATTCCGTGGACGGAAGTTGCATTGTGGACTGTGAACGGAAGTAGTCTCGCATGCTACCCCTCCCCACTTAGTGAAAGTCAAAATTAATTTGGATGAAGCTCAGAAACTCACCTAAAATCACGTTTCCGAACTCTAAAAATGCAACTTAAACCGAGAAGCCGAAATGTTTACACCCAGGGGACCCGTAGCGGGTTAATTTCAACACACGTTGTGACCACGCAGAAGATCAGCAAAGGCAGCCTTATTGGTTAGGCGCGCATTTGCGTCCGTCTTCAGTTGGTATAAAGTAATCATTACTCTTTCGCTGCGCTTGTCCTTCACCGTAGTCACTTCAAACTTTTGGTGTTTTTGCTACCGCGACAGCAGAATTATGCAAATTATCTGTGTGGCAAACTCCGACAATTCTATATTCGTAGCGCCATGAATCTTAGATTAGACAGAGCTTTTAGAACACACTGATTGAAACTCTACACATTTCAAACAGCTAACATCTGGCAAATGATTCTGTCTCGTGACGAATAAGGTAAACGTATCGAATGTCATATTAGATAGCGTTCGGTCAACGTTTTAATGAAAAACTCTTTTGAAAAAAATTAACATTTCAAACTAAACATAGTAATTTATTTAGTGTGACCGGCGATAACAGCACTTGACTACGAGCAGTTCCTCTTTTTTGGCGATGTCCGTCGCGCGAGTCCAAAAATTCAGTGAAGGAAAGATTGATATTGGTCCTCCAACTCCAAGAGCTCCCAGCGGCACGCTAATATCTCGCTTTCATTTTTTGGAACTCTGATTTTTTTTCTTTTTTTTTTTTTTCGACTCGCGCGACGGACTCGGCCGAAGAGGAGGGACTGCTCAGAATCAACAACAGCACATACTGAAATTCACCGTGACCAGTGACTCAGTCACGCATTCATCTAAATAAGGCAGCAATAACGTGACTTTTTGCCCAGAATTCTAGCCGTGTTTGCGCTTGATGGGAGCAGAGAAATATGACTTAAGATCAGCGAGAGGAAATGTTTAGAATCCAATGCAAGTTTTCAGTGCGTGCATTGACAGCATCGCCGACGCTGTAAAAAAAGCTCTTCTCCCATGCGGTCTAGTTCGTGTATGATTATGAAAAATCTTTAAAACCATCCGCACCCTCAGGTACAGTATTTTCTGGACTCCACAATTATTTCTTCTTTGTGACCTATTATATTCTCCTCCTAGAGGATTTACTTATCGGTTGAAATCGATGTTCTTTGGAATGGTCCATGGGCTGTTAATAATGGTACACATAGCAACTGTGCGCACCACTTTAGGCATGACAAATTCTCCACTGCTTGTAACTTTGATGTTGCAAATGCCGTATGCTACGCCTTGATAGTAGTATGGCCTCAATGTGAACTCTTGGAGAAGTGGTTCAGCTGACGCTATTCTACACGGATTGTGTGCCGCGGGATTTTTCCAATAGGCACTCCGGCGCACCCACTCTTCGCTTGTGCTCAGTGCCGTCTTTATTTGTCTATCGGAAAGGTTTTCAATAGGCTGATGTATGTTTTTAGGAGCGTTGGCTGAGAATCTTTTGGCATTAATACTCAGGATTTTAAAGGGTCTTTCTGATAGGCGACGAGAAGGGACTTGAAGGCCATCATCGAAAGCTGCCTTACACCTCTGCTCATAATCTACGGCCGCTTGGAATGACGCTTTACCATCTCTTGGAGCCATGACATCGCACACCACCCGGCATGCTTCTCCAGCTTTTTTAATTGAAATACTCATATTTTTCGGGAAAGGGGCATTTTTCTTAACAGCCTACTTGGGATTCCATTTGCGTAATCGCAGCATTAAAACGTTGACCGAACGCTAAGGATATGATATTCGATACGATGTCGAAGCGCTGTCGACTACTTTAGCCGATATATATGGAACAGTACTTAGCCCTGGAGATGCAATTGGAAAGTAAACTTGGGAACCGTATTGGGAACTTATTCTGAGTAAGGATCGTTATGCAGCATACCGAGGTACGAATCTTCTATCTTCCACCGTTTGATTGCCGCGTAACTAAGAAATCATTTCGGCGGGCTTCGGATTGAAATACTCCGACTAAAAATAGAGATCAAATTTTCTTGCTTGACATTTCCTTCAAATCATGGCGTGTAAATTGACAAATCTGTCAGATTTCACGCCTGACAAAAATTTGTCCTGCTTCGAGGCAGGACGACGGCGTCTTCGAAGTATGGTAAGCCTTGACAAAATTTGGTAGATCTTAAAAACATTGGGCGCACTTGACTCAGGGAACTGGTGACTGATTTTTCTGCAAAGTAAGCAAAAATTTGCCCAGTGCATCCGGGCCCTTACAGAGATAGCCACTTAATTGCCTTAACTGAGGTGATTATAGCGAGGTACGACAGTAGCTTCAACCAAAATTGGAAAAAAAATTCCCAGTCATTTACTTTGCGAATAATTTTTTCTCAAACAAAATTCACATACTTACATTCCATTTTGAATCCTTCTTAATATCCTGTGCGAGTAGACAAAGGAAAAACACAAGTCACAAACCATAAGCAGGCAAACTCCCCAAGGATCTCTCACGACTGAGCACGGTTTTCTGGGATGGTATATTACTGTGAGTAGTAGAGGTGGTTTCTCTGGTCCCTAACCAATCAGAGCGCCATATTAACGAAAGGAATTTCAAATGGACCGATCAGAGAAGCAAACTAAAGTCAAATTAGCTTACTTTGATTTTTCACACCATGCTTACTACATGTGTAGGGTGTCAAACAGTCGCGCATTAGCTTTAGAAAATGACAGTTTCTCTGTCTCAAAATGTCCAGCGCTGCGGTTCTCTTTTCATTTTTTGCGCCCTCCACGAAATGAATTAAATTTCGGAGACAACTCGAGTTGGGCTGCATCAAGCTGGGTAGTAATTTTACTAGTCATTCCGTGCGAAATCAACATCTGAAATCTGCTATCGATATTGTTGTATAGCACTGCGATGTTTCACGCTTATCTCTTGTAATCCCAAAACCCATCGTTCCAATTCGCCATGCAAATTTCTAACTTTGGAATGACTTGTAAAATTACTACAAGGATAAGAGCAGCCCAATTAAATTCACTTCACGGAGGGGGCAAGAAATAACAAAAGGTACCGCGGCGCGGACATTCTGAGAGAAAGAAATAGTCATTTTCTAAGATAAGCTACAATAACTGCAGAATAGAGCAACTCGCACTCTTATGACCTGGCGCTGGCCAATTGTCAGAAATTTTGGAGTGGAAAAATCTTGACCACCAGCGGAACAAATAAAAGGTCACCAAGGTTTTCAAATGCCTACATGGGTTAGCTCCGGACTATTTGACCTCGAAATTCTCCGAACGCAATACATGCAACAACTGAGAGAGTTCGAGAACAAACTGACTGATCGAATATCACACAAAAATTATTTCAAAAATAGTCACAGTGGTAGCGCCACATTTTTTGCGGGGCTAGACACGCGGAATCTCTCGAGTCGTTCAAAGGAGAGATCAACAAAGCTCTCTTAGCAATATACTGAAATTAATGGTGCGATTAACATAATTAAAAGTTTATAGTTTTTGATCTTTTGTAAATAGCTGATAAATTGCCCATGATTAAATAAAGTTTTTTTAAAGTAAAGTTTAGTTACCAAACAGGGAATAAATGTTGGGGATATTATACTGGTCTGCTGCAGTTTTGGGTATTCGTTCAATATCTAAACGCAGAATGCTTAAGACTAACTAACGCAATGAGTCACAGTATATTGAAGTCATCAATCTTATTTCACTCTTAGTAACCTTAGCTACGACAACACTTCTTCTTTGACTTTTTCCTTTTTACACAAATATTTATCGCAAAAGAACAGAGTGCACTTTTACACGAGCACGCGTTTTTCCTTTTCAAGCGGAAGCTAGAATAATTAACTTTATCTTGAGATTAGAACAGACATGCAGCTACTCCAAATTCCAAGCATCAAGTGATTTTATTAACGAATTTGTCTTCTTTTGGAGGGGCTATCTAGTTTTTTGCATGTATCCGTTTGTATTTTCATAATTGATCTCGTTTTCGCTTACAAATCTGCGCTTTCAAAAGTTATTCTACCCGGTAGTTCCCCTGTACAGTTGGTCATTTTATATAATGATTATCAGTTTTTTTGCTTCGGGTAATACTTACACATAATGTTAGCTACTTGCAAACTTACCTTGAGTTACCTCTTAGAGTGACTCGCTACACGTAAACCGCGAACTCAGTAATGTTGGGACCTAAAGGGGCGGTAAGTAAAGTGACTTAGATATGCTTTGGATGAGATTTTACCTAAAAGTCTGCCAAAATGCCCAGTGTTCAGCCTACCTTAATCATGATACTGTTA